ACATACAGCGGACTGTACATCCACGTGCTTCTTTGTCAAGAAATATGATACAGCATTGCTTGAACCTCCACGTGAGGAGAGCATCCTGATAGTTTCATAAATATAGAAGAATGCTAAACATTTGAACTTTGTCAAACAAACATTTCTAAAAGTGATTTGCATATCTTATTAGCTCACATCATATGTGTAATTGTAAAAACTGTATGCTCATGTCAAGACATAAGTTAAAGCATGAAGCTCCTCCTTCAGCCTCAGACATCATGTACACATTAGAGCACATTGTGTCCGTGGTGAAGCACGTGGTTCAGGCTAGTGCAGACCGGTTTCTGAGCAGGAACAAACAGCAGTCTTTCCTTTTTCCCTGCTATACTTCATCAAGAGTACATAATCTCATCACATGTGTTAATGAAATCAGAGAAAATGTGAGAATGGTGAAAACCTGAAAACAAATGAGCATTCATACTAATTTGTGCTGTGCTTGATCATCTTCAGAATCAATAAAGCATTATAAACGGGAACGTAAACTAATCAGCCTTACACAAAAGAATCTTTTAATTCAGCAGAACTCAATGTGGCTGGTTTGTCTCACTGTGAGCGCTTTTAGTAACCTTGTAACCTTTTTTAAATAGCAAGGCACGTTTTCAGTTTGTGTCAGCATGTTGAGTCCATAGACAGTCTCAGAGCCTCATTCCTTTCCAGGCCATTCAGTGTCACACCACCAGTTCTTGGACTGAAGCCTGGAAGAGAGAGTTAGTCACGGCTTCATGATCCTAAATAAATGCCCTTCATAATCATAGGTGTCCACTTCAAAATCTGTAATTTTTTCAAATGATGGTTTGCTACTTGGGAGGCACGTTGGGTGAGGCCTATTATCAGTGTGGAAAACTGTATTTGTATTAATCAAGGATACAAATTTGATCAAACATGAGTTACAAAGGATTTTACTTCAGATAAGTGCTGTTAGTGTCTTGAAAAATGCATCAAGGTTTCCATAAGACTATGGAGGATAAAAAGAAGCAGATGAAAATGTTTTGAATAATAATCATCATTAAAAATTGAGCACCAAAAAAGCAAAACAATCATAAAAGAGCAGCAAGTCATATTATTATAATAATTTCTGAAAGATCATGTGACACTAAGGACATGGTATTATGCTAAATATTCAGTTTTATTGGCACAAGAATAAATGACTTTTTAAAATATAAGACCTGTTAACATGGATAATAGTTTTAAACAATATTAAGTTATTACATCTCAAAATATTGCAACCCAAAATAAAAAAAATCCATTGAACAAAAATGTCACACTATAGAGAACTAAGCAAAATAAGCATACAAAAACAAAAGAAAGAGTTTAAAACATGTAAAACACATTAAAATGGTGCAGCAGGCTGTAATCAGTTAAATTCAATTCATCTTTATTTGTATAGCATTGTGTCAAAGCAGCTTAACATAGAAGTTCTAATAAATTGAATCTGTGTCAGTCCAGATTTTAGAGTTGAAGTACAGTTTAGTTTAGCTTAGTTTAGTTTAGGTCAGTATAATTTAAATTTCACTGCTGAAAGTTTTAACACTGAAGAGCAAATCCCATGATGAGCAGCTCCACAAGTCCCAAACCAATCAAGCCAGTGATGCAGTGGTGAGAAACAAACTTCAGCAATTGATGAAAGTGAAGGGAAAAAAAACTCAATAGGTTATTAATGTAAATCAATTACTATTTTGCATATATTTCTACATAGTTTCATAATAACTGCCTATACATTTTTAATACTAAGGTGTCGTTTTTGGAGTGATTAACTATCCTTTTAACCAGTAATATGCACACTAGGGCCCTTTGTATCCTAGTGGCCCTTTGTATGCTTTGATTTGGCCCGCCTGAAAGAAAATGAATGGGAAGGGTTGGGGAATGTCTTTAACAGAGATTTTCCATTAATGTAACTTTTTGTTTGTTTGTTTTATTCGTGACCTACAAAAAAGTAACCTGAAATTAAATGTTTCAAATAAATGTTAATTAATCAGATTTATTTTAAAAATGTACATACTGTCACTTAACGAATAGGGGACACATCAGAAGAAATCAGCACGCAGATCAAGGCAAAGGCAGGTTCAGCATGACTTGTCTATTTGGCATTGAAAATTTAATTTTTTATGGTTTTATTTTAATAAGTTTGTTGAATTATTATACATTTTCAAAAAAATAAGTATTAGTGAATATGGTTGAAGTAATTTTTTTATTTATTTTTTTGTCATATTAAATGAAATAAATGAGGAAATTACTCATGATAACTTTAATGTAATACAGTTTGCTCTTTTTACTTTCGGCCCACAGCTCTCAATCAAGCATGAATTTTGGCCCTTTATTTGAAAACGTTTGGAGAGCCCTGCTTTAAACCAACTAAACAGAATTATTAAATAAAAATAGAGAAACAGGATTAAAAAAGAATATTTACGTTATTAACTTAAAAGGTTGCTTGAAGTTTTGTGGTTAGCAAAAATATAAAAAAATGTAAAATAATGAATTTAGCAACTTAAAAAATTGATTGTCTTGAACTGTAAGATTTGTGAAATAAATGTAAGAATTGAAATATTGCAAATATTCTGATATCTTTGACAATTCAAAACATGAGCTGAAAACAGAGACTGGTGACTTCACAACCCACCAGGGAGGAATGCGGGAAAAACCAGTTCCTGCTGCATTTGCATCTGAGTCTGCTTCATCCCCCCAACTCACACATATGGTCATTTCAATGTTTGAATGTTCTAGAATTAACCAAACTGACTTTAACTATCATGTTTGATATCATTTGAAATGTCTCAGTGCGATTGGTACAATGGTCTCATTCTCTCAGAAATAGACATAATCAGAACAATAAATATATAACTTCAGGCATCTTTTGATCCACTGTGAGGGGTGTGACACTAAGTGTGAATGCCTTTTGTTATACATTCACACCCCCTTCCTTGAGGGAATTCTTGGATTATTTAAGGTAAGGACTAAGAAAAGCTCAGGGCGATTCTGCCTAACCAGATCAGCCCATAACATGGGGTCTGCCCCATGTTATGTATATTTCAAAGTCAGGAATGCATCTTTTTCATCTTGGATTTATCTTTGATAATTTGATGTTTTGTATTGATCATTTATGAATTGACTGATTGAATTGGCATAATACATTTACCTGACTAATAAATTGTAATGTTTGACCATATTTTGTTCACTCTGTAATTATTAATTCAAGTAGATTACGCTGTATCCTTGTTTCCGCACGTCTTGCGTCAGGTCAGTAGACGGACTAAAATCCAATTGAGATGGAGCATTGGCACACTAATTGTGTTTTAGCGATCCGGCTGACTCTTGATATTGATTCATGTGTACTTAGGTGGAAAGGGCGATAACTTCCGTCTAGGTCAACAAGGTGTTGCACGACTAACCTAGATTGGGTACCCGACCTTTGTTTGAAGGTAATATTATTCTAAATTAAGTTCATATGGGAAACCATGGGCTTGGTGAAAACCAAAGTTACTATAGAGTCCAGTAGTCGGGTACATTTATATTAATGCCCTAACCTCTAATTAGAAATGATTGTCTTAACTCAAAGGTGTACATCTAAGCGGGACTAACTAAAGTATTTTAGAACGAGCGCGCTGGTAGCGGCCATCTAAAGTATTAGTCAATTTACCTCTGTTTAATATTCAAGACTGACCGGAGTGTGACCGTGAGGGACGCCTTCGGCCGAGGCGATTTCTCTGAGCGACATGAGCACCCGAATGAACGGATGTAATAGTTACTAGTGAAGACAAACGGTTCAAACATTTATCTAAATTACATATTGATATAATCTTCTTAATGTTTTATAATTGGAGTCAGATAAAACGAGGATAAACATATTAATATTCTAAACCACCTCATACTAAAATTGGAGTCAGATATGAGTTAAGTTTAATATAAATCAACATTGTGCACTGGAAAGACCGAACATGCAGTGAACCTTCATCCACCAGTGGACACCGGCATTGGGCCAACTGGGTGGACCTTACATAAACATCTGTAATGGGGGACGACACGGTGGCTCAGTGGTTAGTACTGTTGGCTCACAGCAAAAAGGTCGCTAGTTCGAGTCCCGGCTGGGCATTCAGTGTCATACCATCAGTTCTTGGACTGAAGCTCTGAAAGGGAGAGTTAGTCATTGCTTCATGATTCTAAATAAATGTTCTTCATGATCATTATTAGATTTTCACTCCACATAGAGTTTGCATGTTCTCCCCATGTTCGCATGGGTTTCCTGCAGGTGCTCCGGTTTTCCCACAGTCCAAAAACACGCGGTGTAGGTTCATTCATTCATTTTCTTTTCGGCTTAGTCCCTTTATTCATCTGGGGTCGCCAAAGCAGAATGAACCAAGAGCGACACGATGCGACAGGATGTCCACCAAGAATGCCCATGTAGGGCCCACCTGGTATTGTCCACCTGGGTTTGCCCATCTGGGGTCGACCTGGGTTTGCCTTGGATGATAACCCTATTATAAATGCATAATCTTTTAAATAATGAGTCAAGAAAAGAGTCAAGAAAAATAATGTGTATGTGGCATTATGTACCACTGTATTTGAGCATCTAGCCTAGCCTATATATTGAGAGTCTATATGCATATACAATATATAAGCATTAAATAAATGTTTTGAGAAATTTTTCAATACATGCAATAAAGTTCTTAAGTTACATCAAACTGTTTTGACATTTGTTTGGATGTTCTGACACTCAGAGTTTAGAAAGTGTTAAGACTGTTTCGAAAAAAATGTGCCAAAGCAATTGAGAAAATCTGTAATTATTATTCTCTTATTCTGTATATTAACTCTGTTATGACACATAATAAAACCCACCAAGCAGCTGAATCCAGCAGGGGCCAGCAGCTCTGTGAAGAGCGCCATGATTGTGGCGGAAGTGGCGGTGTTCTGTCTAAAGGCGGGATCAGGAAGCGTCGCTCTGTGTGAGTTATTTTGGGCGCACTCAGACTGTGAACGGCACGGTGTCTGTGTGGATGAGGATTGAAATTTCTCCATGATACTGTCTAGGTATGGTAGGTGTGATGGTACATCATTGTGTGTGTATAGGAGTAGTGTTTACATTGTTGTCATTTATGTTGTTTGTCATTGTTGAATGAGGAACGTGTCGTTGTGTGGCGCTGAACGCGAAGAAATGAGGCGGGACCTCAGAAACTCGTGGAAATGAGGAAAACTTCACTTTCGCGCGCAAATTGATTATCTTTAAAAGAAGTTTATTAATCAGACGTCTTTGCCAATTTTGTGGTTTGTGAACATTACAAATTTCACTTTCATTTCCACATTAGTCCAGAAACTTACCTTCACTTTCAATCTTGAGTGTCCGGCAGCGTTTCTAAACACGGTCCTTCTTGCACACGGCTGTAAACATGGGGGTAAACACAGGCCAAACTCACTCATTTACAACTATAGTATTTTAAGCTTCACAATATTTGAAGGAAATGACAAAAAAAAAAAAAAACACGTTAATAATTAATATGTCCAGTTGATTAAATCATTCTGAAAGAAGACGTGTCCATTTACTGACAGAAAGTCTCCAAAACCAACGTTGCAATCATATTACCTATTTTACAACAAAATCTCCAAATGGGTTTCAAGAAAAATCAAAACATTTTCACTTTCACATTCATTTTACAAATTATGCATAAACACCTCAGTACCGAAACAGCCTTTATAATAAAGTTTGCAATCTGTATAATGTACAGTTCAGGTAATGTTCACATTGAACGTTTTTACAAAAAGTAACAAAGTTTGGACTTAATAGATTTCTTTTTATTTATATGTATACTTTTTAGGTTGTATTAATTTATATCCAACTTATATTTATTTTCTCTTTTTTTAAGTCAGTGAAGAAAGTCGTCTTGAGTCCCTCAGCCCTCTCTAATCTGAATCAACAATGTCGTCGACATCACAGAAACACAAGGACTTTGTGGCAGAGCCCATGGGCGAGAAGTCAGTGATGGCACTCGCAGGAATCGGTGAAGTTCTTGGAAAGAGATTGGAAGAGAAGGGCTTTGACAAGGTAAAATCTATGAGAATGTTTCATGCGTACACTTTCTGACAGCTCAAACATGCTGCAAGTTAAGAAAACACAATATGGCTGTTTCTCAATATGCGTTTTTCAGCAATCTTGCGTAACGTCATCTTTAACTGACAAAGTTCAGTGCTACAACTTAAGACGGCAATAACGGAGGACGCGTGAAAGTTCCCAGATGCGTTCTTGATTTTGAGGATGGATTGATGCGTACTTGAGCACAAAACTCACTCGAAGTCCCAGAAGTCATTGTGGCTGAATAAAAGAGGTGGGAAGCGCAGCATTTTATACAGATTTATTATTATTATTGTTCAGAGATGTAGTTTATTTATCTTAGGAGTTTTCCTGAATGAAACTGAAACTAAACATCACCATGAAAAGGGATTAACACATTAAAGGTGTTTACTTGCTAAAATTTGTATAAAATTGTTTTTATTTGTATTGCTCAAAGTATATTTGTAAAGTTTTTGTACATGTTAAATATATTGAAAATGGGAAAAATAACAAATCGTTATATGAATTCTGTAATGTTAAAATAACTTTCTGTTAAAAATACGTGAAGGTCATGTGACCAACAGGAAGAAAGCAGCATCTCATTTCTCAGAGGACACGTTCTGTGTTCTTTTGGTCTCCCGAGTTAATTCTTCCCAGGTAACCTGGTAAGACTGCTCTCCACGAGAATGCATGTCTGTTCTCTGCCTTCTTGGAATTGAGAAACAGCCAATAGAAGTTTGTCAACTATATCAATGCAAGTTTAACAAGATTTGTGCGAATTCTCACAACACATGCAAATAAAGCTGCAAGTTAAAACAAATGAATATAGAAAAATGCTAACAAATGTAGAAAACTAAAAATTTGGGAAAAAAAACAGAAATGTGCATTTAATACTCATGTAGTCAAAACCTAAAACTGTCTAACATGTTTCTTTAACTTCGCTTTTCTGAGAGTCACTCTATTTATTTATTTTTTTTTTAAATTTTTAATTCTTTTTTTTAATGTATATATATATTTTTTTAAAGGAAGAAAATGGAAAGGGTAAAATACGAATGAAAATTGGTATTTATTTCCGGTGCTTTTAAAGATTTATTTTTTTAAATTTCATACCACTTTTAGATAAATGCAAATCTGATATAGCTCGCTGGGGTTCCCTCCCTCTTTCCATAATAGGTCGGGTAAATCTTATCAAAAAGATAATTATTCCCAAATTTTTATACCTTTTTCAACATATCCCAGTCTCCATAAATAAATAGCTTTTTACTAACCTAGAGCAACTTTTGCGCGGGTTAATTTTTTTGGGTTCAAACCAGCTTGTATCAGAATGTCAGCTTCCCAAATCTGAAGGGGGTCTTGCGCTCCCAAATTTTCAATATTACTTTTGGGCTTGTAATATTATCAAAATACTTAATTGGATTGGTCACAAAACTGGTGTTCCTGACCCACCTTGGACACAAATAGAGTTATCTGCCTCTTCACATTGTCTATGTTCTACAGTCTATTCCCAACTTCCCCTTGAAATACACAAAGCATCAAACAACCCAATAGTTAATAACACTTTGAAAATTTGGCAGCAGTTTAGAAAACATTTTGGTCTTCATAGTGCCTCAACTCGTATGCCAATCTCTAATAACCATTTATTCCCTCCCTCTATATTAGATCATGTTTTTAACACTTGGTCAATGAAAGGCCTAGCCACTTTAAATGATCTCTATGATAACAATGCTTTCTCCTCCTTTTCAACCCTATCAACTAAATTTGATCTCCCCAACAACCATCTTTTCCGTTTCTTTCAAGTGAGACGTTTTGTTCAAAAACTATTCCCCCATCCCCCATTTAGTTCACTCTTCATCTATTTGTGCCAGACACGGCCTACTACAGTGTAAAGTACTTCATAGGACCCATTTCACTAATGCCAAACTTTCTAGAATATTTCCAGACAGAAGTGATGCCTGTGACTGCTTACATCTGTTACCGGCCGATTACCTTCATGTTTTGGTCATGTTCAAAATTAACTATTGGTCTAATATTTTTAAAATTAATTTACATTACATTTACATTTAGTCATTTAGCTGACGCTTTTATCCAAAGCGACTTACAAAAGAGGACAAATAAGCAATTCACACAACTATAAGAGCAACAATATATAAGTGCTGTAGGCAAGTTTCAGGTGTGTAAAGTCTAAGAAGGAAAGCATTAGTCATTTTTATTATTATTATTTTTTTGTAGTTAGTGAAGGAGTCAGAGAGAGAGTTGCATATTAGTAAGTAGTATTTAATATAACATGGAGTCCCATACTGTCAGTCATTGAGAACCCTAACGTTTCAGGAACTGCTGACTACAATTTCGAAAGGGAGAAAGAGAGACTTCTAGTTTTTAATTTACATTTTCATCCTCTGTATTTACCTATTCATTTATTTATATTTATTTATTTTATTTATGATTTTTTCAAATGGCTCACTATTTATTTATCAGTGTATTGATTCACCGTAACACTTATTGAATGCCTCAGAAAATAGGGAGGGGTGGGAGATGGGAGGGATGGTACATAGAAGTAGGTAGAAAAGTGTAAGTTTAATTTAAGAGTTCTACAGATTTCTTGGTTTTCTTGCTATGTATTTCATGTCATCTCTGCTTGGCTTCTAGTTTTCATATACATTTGTAAGTTTGTATAATATCTGAAAAAAATGCAATGAAAATATTTGAGAGAAAAAAAGAATGCTTTTACATCAGCTGCATTTACAAATATAGCCTATAAATAGCCTAATAATAAACTATGCTTAAGAAATTATTTTAAAAAAACTGCTTTTTTTTTACATTGCAAGATGCTTCAAAACCGTATTAAAACACAGTTAACTCAAAACACTTAACTCATATATGTCAATGTGTTAATGAAAAATCATAAACATTCTCTCATTTAAATGCACTTTGCAACTCAGAGGGTATTTTCAACTGCAGGGAGCACAATAAACCAAGAAAGATTCTGACTTCTGCCAGAAAAGGCAAACGTTGATTTTTCTCCAGAAAAAGTTTTCTCTACATTCTTTTACAGAACAAAATATAATTATTTGTTTTACAATTATTGGTTTCATTTTATTTTACATAAAAAACATAGTAGTAAAATAAAGTGTTGTTAATTCTGCTTAATTTGTTATTAGTTTTTTCGTAATATAAAAACACCACAAAAAGTACCGATAAGAGAACCGGTTAAGAACCGAACTGATAAGTGGTATCGATAAGTGTGGTAATACCATTACAACCTTAACGATACCCAACCCTACCAACATTATCGCTGGCTAAACAGGAAAGAGCTTTTTTGCATCGTGGTCTTTGCAGTCCATTTCTCTATTTGCATGTGTTGACAAACTGATGAAGATGTTTTCTTAAGTTGTTAGTTTTTAAACATGCACTGGTTTTCTTAACTTGTAGGGAGTTTGAGCTCTCTCAGCCACCGTAATTTTGTCATAGAGCTGAAAGATAAAGTGTTTAAAGTGTTATTTAAGTGTTTCACATTTCGTCCCCACAGGCGTATGTTGTTCTAGGCCAGTTCCTGGTACTGAGGAAAGATGAGGAGTTGTTTCGGGAATGGTTGAAAGATACATGTGGAGCAAACACCAAACAGCAGGGTGATTGTTACAGCTGTCTGCGAGAGTGGTGCGACTCCTTCCTGTAGTTCATGGTTCCCTATTTGTTTTGTTTTCCTACTGCATACCATATATATTTACCTCACTATCAATTTTGACTTTTCGAACAAAAGTAACTCGGCCCAAAAATGGTATAGCACTAGAAGGTCTTTATAAGGTGTTCACATGTAATATCACTGCTCATTTTGTGTATTGTTCAAACATCATTCACATCCATTCTTCTGATTTGGAGAAATTCTTGAATTTTCGGGGGAGTTTCGTGTCATCATACTCAGTTCTGTGTTAAGTTGTGTGTAGATATGTATATGCGCATACACTAGTAGTACAAACACACAATCTTTCTTCTCTTATGAATATAATGATGATGTTTGAAGGTTTTAAACTGACGATCTTCAAAATGTGCCACAGTGCTTATAAGCTTTTAAAAGGTTTCTGGGAACTTGTCACTGTATTACCCAAAGGATCACATGCATCTGTATTTTATTCTCCCCAATCTCAAAATTGCCTTAATAAAAAAAAAAAAATCTGAATTAATTTTAACTGTGCATGTGTAGCTTCACCCTCATGGTCTGATTTACATTGTGTAGTCTACACTTCCATCATTTGCTGCTTTCACATTGATTAAACTGCTGCATGGATGTTCTAAGAAACACTGATAAATGTTCTTGTGGCTCTAAAACAAAAGACCTTTATGTGTTTCATTTTTTAATTATTTTTGGAATAAAAGATCCTGAAAGGTGTTGATTGAAAGGGTTGTGTTGTGAGTGTGTGGAGTGATTAACAATATTGCTGGAAAATGTGGAAAGTGGAAAGTCTTCCTAGTTTGAGCTCAGTGGAATATTTTTTTTATCATTTCTAATACAAAGCACTGTTGCCTAGCTAAGAATTGTTTTTAGGTGTAATATTACACCTGCTGCAGTCACGGGACTGCTGTAACATTTCTTGATTATTATATCAGAAGGACTCAGAAATTAGCCTAGAAAATAGCAATACTTTGTTTTACTAAAGAGTCAAGTTTTTAAAAGAAAAAATATCAAATTATTATTAATAACTCTTAGTTTTTTGTTGAGATGCTAATGGTCTAATCTGGTTTAATGATCTACTAAACGTGCTTTCCCCAGTCCTGGGCCCAGTTTATCAAAAATTTTATCTGGGTCAAAAATTTTTTTTTTTATTTATTTTTTTATATATTTTTTTATATCTGGGTCAAATTGGTGCAGATTTGGAAAAAACCCATGTTTTGCTATCCAGAATTAATTGATCTGTCTTGCATTTATGGCAGTTTTTAAAAGGAATATTGGATTGGATCACTGTGATCCCCACTAAATTGCAGGATTACCAAATCTTGTTAACCAGAGCCTTAAATGCACAGCTGTCAAACTCTGCCCAGTTTAGTTCCAACCCTGCTCTAACATACTTAAGCTGCGGTCACACTAGAGTTTGATAATACGAAATTGTGTCGTGCGGCACTGCGAAAAGGGGTGGGAATAAGCAAAATTATCAGGCTTTAAAAAAGTGAGCGATTGCTCCATGTTTTAAATTTTTGTCTAGAAAGGTTATGTTTTGATCCTCTGTTGTTCTCATGCAGTCAAGTGATGGGATTTCGCACGTCAGAGTTCACCAAGCTTAAACTTTGCACTGCAGCAACCTGCAAAACTTTACGCATGACCCTGCATTTCCGGTCTGATGCGTTCAAGTGCGTATGAATGGAAGTCTATGGGAAGAAAAGGCCAGTGTGACCGCAGCTTTACCTGTAGGTTCCAAACAAGCCTGAAGGACTTAATTAGTTTGATCAGGTGTGTTTTATTAGGGTTAAAGCTAAACTGCAGAGCTGCGGCCCTCCAGGAACAGAGTTTGAAACCTGTGCTTAAATTGAACCAACAGTGTAGCCTACTGGCTTGGCAGAGAACAACATGTAGGCAAAATACCAGTGGCAACAAACGGTCCATGTTTGTCTTAATTGTAAGATACAGAAACGCTGCAATCAACAAACATAACGTTTATAATACTGTTTTGTTATTGTTTATCATATCATATTAGATGTAACATGCTTCATATACACTGTAAAACCCAAAAAGTTGAGGTAACTCAAACTGTTTGAGGAAACTGATTGCAACAAACCGTTTAAGCTCAAAAATTAATCCTAATGAGTACTGTGAACTTCATTTGAGTAAATGAACCAAATTGAGCATAGTAAACCCGGATAAATGAAGAGAACTCAAACCATTTGAGTTAAACTAATCTGAGTAGTGAACTTACTCAATTTAAGTTGAAGTAATGAGGTATTTTATTTAACTTATTACCAACAGAGTTTAAAACTCTTCAACTGAGCAGAATTAACTTTCAGTATTTTTTGAGTTAACACTCATTTCATTTGATAAAATTGACTCTTGGGTTTTACAGTGAAAGCTTCAAATATGAAGGAATTTGTATATCATCAGTAACTATTAAATTTATGATCATTCACCTTTAAAAAAAAAAACGTTTTATTTTATTTGGTTAAAAAAAAATCACAACAATCAGAATCCATTTTTTTAATGGGATAGATCTCAATCTGAGTTTAAAGTTTTAAATAACAAAATGGCAGGTTTGATCCAAAGATTAAGATTAAATTACATGGTCTGATCTTAATTCAGAATCCCTGTTGCTTTTGAAAAACCCCTTTCCAAGATTTGATCCAATCTGTGATCCAAAATCCAACAGTATTACTAATATATATAAAAAAAAAAAAACTGAAGATCAAGATTGAAAAACGCAAAAACTCAACTGTTTAACTCTGTTGACTTGTAAAATGAGCCTTTTAGTGAGTATTCTTTCAAATTGACCTTATGAACTATATATAACATAAAAACAAGATGTCTTTGCTTATAATGTACTCATTTTCTAGCAATGGATTTAAAACAATGCTTAATCCAGGGGTTTCCAAACTCGGTCCTGCCAGGATGTTTCTACACTGTACAAAAATAAAAAGTTGAATTAACCTAAAATATTAATGCAACCGGCTGCATAGAAATTTTGAGTTTATTAAGCTTCAGTGGTTGAAGTTGTACCAACTTATATTTTTAAGTTGTCTGAAAGGACTGGTTTTAGGTCAAGTATACAATAATTTGGCACAACTTCATCCACTGAAGCTTAATGAACTCAATTTCTTTGCAGCCAGTTGCTTTACAATGTTATGGTAACTAATTTTTTTTTATTTTTACAGTGGTTAGGGGTCAATTTTTTACTTTCTTTGAACAATCAGTTCCAAGCATGCAGTAATATTGTTTTCATGATTAAATTCAACTCTGAGCTCAAAAATATGTCCACAATTTTAAACTGAGTAAACAATTTTTAAGCTGGGTTTTTATAGTGTAGTATATCTAGTAAGGCCTTAAACTGGTTCTGGTGTGTTCGATTAGGGCTGGAGTTTGGACACCTCTGGCTTAATCCATTGCAAAGTAAAAAAAAAAAAAAAACAGTGCTCCCCGATCTCAAAAACAGCACACACAAATCTGTTGTTTAAAATCTTTATTCATTCCTTCATTAAATTCTGTCTGCAGTGTTTAATCCGTTACTTGAGACCACAGTTTTCTGACATTTTTTCTTCAATGGTTGTTTTTTGTAAGCTAATTTCCAACTCTTAGAGACTAGACACCACTTACTTAAGTGGTCATAAAAATTAAACCTTTTATGACACAAGCTTCAGTTTACAAATCCTAAATAGGAGTGCTATGTACTGGTGGTATTTGTGTGTACAATAGGTATCACCAGTCTCACCATGATCTAAACTTGAAAAGCTCTAACAGTTAACCAGACATTTCTACCAGCGTACATAACCACCTCAAACAAAACATTAAAAAAACAAATCAAAATATACATACAGAATATCGTAAATCGCCATAGAATACTATGAGAAGAAGATAACCAATGTCTCGAATATAATAAACTTTGACATACCCGGACCCACACCTATTTCCTTTTGCTGGATTAAAAAACTGTGTGCTTGCATATGTGTGTTTATCAGTGTGTCATATTCATCCAATCATTTTGCACAATGATGTTAATTTGTCCCCTTAATGAGCAGGAACATCGATTACCAAAAAAACCTAAAGAATTCAAATATCCTCACAAACATAAATATATAAATCTCTGGCCTCCGCGATGTCAGTTGATGAAATTTAGGACCGCTTTTGTGTTTACTGGACGTTAATTTGGGATTGATTTATCCTTGTGGTGTCTCGTCGAGTGTTGTGTCGTGTTGTGTGATGTGCGTACACAAATCGTTATCATCTAAATTAGACTAATCCTGGGCGTCCTGCTCAGAGCAGAGCACAGAAGAACTTTTTCTCCCTGAAGGGGTTTTCTGAAGTGGGCACAGGGGTGATGAGAGGATCCTCGCATGCATGGGCATCACAGTAGGCCATCAAGTCCGCTGCTGCCTTAGACACCTAAAAATACAGGAGACATCAAGAAAGAGATATTAGAACTGATTAATCATTTGAAAAGACATTTGTTATGTTTATGAACGCAAAAGAGTCCATTTCTAATAAAAAGTGCATTCATTTATATACATTAGAACGGAAAGAGTATTGACATATTAGAATTATATACGTTTTCATTTAGTACAGTGCATCTGGAAAGTATTCAGAGCGCTTTACTATTTCCACATTTTTTATGTTAAAGCCTTATTCCAAAGTGGATTAAATTAATTTATTTCCTCAAAATTCTACGCACATTACCCCATAATAAAAACGTGAAAAAAAAATGTAATTGTTGCAAATGTTTTAAAAAAATAGAAAACCTGAAAAATTACATGTTCGTAAGTATTCACAGCCTTTGCTCAATACTCTGTTGGTGCACCTTTGGCAGCAATTACAGCCTTATGTCTTTTTGAATATGATTCCACAAGCTTGGTACACCTGTCTTTGGGAATTTTTGCCCTTTCCTCTTTGCAGTACCTGTCAAGCTCTATCAGGTTGGATGGGAAGCGACGGTGTACAGCCATTTTCAGATCTCTCCAGAGATGTTCAACAGGATTTAGATCTGGGCTCTGGCTGGGCCACTCAAGGAAATTTACTGAGTTATTTTGAAGCCACTATATTGATATGTTGGCGTTGTGCTTTGGGTCATTGTCCTGCTGGAAGAAGAACTGTCGCCCCAGTTTGAGGTCAAGAGCACTCTGAAGCAGGTTTTCATTCAGGATGTCTTTCTATATTGCTGCATTCATCTTTCCCTCTTTCCCAACTAATCTTCCAGTTCCTGCTGCTGAAAAACATCTCCACAGCATGATGCTGCCACCACCATGCTTCACTGTAGGGATGGTATTAGCCTGTTGATGTCAACTCCGAAGAGTTCAATTTTAGACTCTCATCAGACCAGACAATTATGTTTCTTATGCTCTGAGAGTTCTTCATATGCCTTTTGGCACAAGGCAGGCTGCTATGTGCCCTTTATTAAGGAGTGGCTTCCGTCTGACCACTCTACCATACAGGCCTGATTGGTGGATTGCTGCACAGATGGGTGTCCTTCTTTAAGGTTCTCCTCTCTCCACAGAAGAATGCTGGAGCTTAGACAGAGTGATCATCGGGTTAATGATCACCTCCCTGACTAAGGCCTTTCTCCCCTGATCACTCAGCTTAGATGGCCGGCCAGCTCTAGGAAGAGTCCTGGTGGTTCCAAACATCTTCCACTTACGGGTGATGGAGGCCAATGTGCTCATTGGAACTTTCAGAGCTGCAGAATTTTTTCTGTAACCTTCCCCGGCCTTCTGCCTCGAGACAATCCTGTCTCAGAAGTCTACAGACAATTCCTTTGTCTTCATGCTTGGTTTGTGCTTTGACATGCACTGTCAACCCTGGGACCTTATATAGACAGGTGTATGCCTTTTCAAATCATGTCCAATCAACTGAATTGACCACAGGTGAACTCCAGTGAAGCTGCTGAAAAATCTCAAAAATGATCAGTGGAAACAGAATGTACCTGAGCTCAGTTTAGAGCTTCACTGCAAAGGCTGTAGATACTTATGCACATGTGATTTTTCAGGTTTTTTATTTTTAATAAATTTTAAAAAGCTAAAATCTTTTTTCACATTGTCATTATGGGGTATTGTGTGTAGAATGATGAGGAAATAAATATACAAGTATTTCCTATAGGTTCTGACAAATTGTGAATTGATGCAGTATTAAAAAGTAACACTTCGATTCATAAATTCACTCAATCTTTTCCCAAGACATCATTAGTTAGTAATATAGTATATATATAATAATATAGTAGTATTATATATAATTTGGAATTGTGTTTGTGTGCCCAACTTCACATATATGCGTCCTAAATTTTATAAGAAAATTGAATTAGTATGTTCCAACTTAGTATGTCCCAAGTCTATGATGAATTGAGTATTCCAAAATTGATTTCAGTCACAGCAACGGATTAAATGACATTGAAGAGTTATCTGTTGCCATCTACTGGCAAAATAATGTAATTACAATCTTTACTCAAAGTCTAAAGTTACTTTCAAATGATTTCTTCTAATTTGATCACTATCCTAGATATCAATGTTTATATTGAAGCTATTATTTTATCCTAGTTAAAAAATAACAAAATAAAGATGGATAGTGTGTGGGTGTTTCCCAGTGATGGGTTGCAGCTAGAATGGCATTCGCTGCACAAAACATATGCTAGATAAGTTGGCGGTTCATTCCGCTGTGGCGACCACTAATTAATAAAGGGATTAAGCCAAAAAGAAAATGAATAAATGAATGAATAAATAAAGACAAAGCTTTTATAGCTTTTTCATAACTATACATGACGAGTGCTCTGTCTCTCACTCCCTCTCTCGTTCTCTGCAATGTAAACAGAGATCTGAAAATCTGCTATAACACTTGCCGAACATAGCTGTCATTTATAGTTGAATTGCTAATCAAAATCAAGTTTTTGTTTGTGTTGTTTTTTTTATCGAGTCTTACAATTTTCTAAATAAACTTTACAGGAAACTTTAATGTTCAGTGTATGTAAGTCCCACTGAAGAGGAGATTTCAGGCCCAACGCAGGAGGAAATAACTCATTTCCTTTAGTCTTTCTGAGAAAATAGCCACTTTAAAACAGTGACAAAGCCAGATATTTTGAAATGTGTGAAGTTTATTCAAATGGGATGGACCTCAGTTCCTCAAATTAACTAAATATCACCATTTCACAATTTTGAAAAAGCATACACAAAAAATGCAATTAAAAAGTTCTAAATTAATATTACTAATATTAATAATGTATAAACTGTGCACACCCGCATTTTTATGGACACATTTTGGTTTCTAGCTTGACTAAACATTAGTAAACTATAGTAGATTGCATATTTATTTTAAGCAGTTCTTGATGTTTTTGATCCATATCTGCCCAAACAAAGCTTAACACGACACATACATTTCGAGACAGTCATCACAGATCATTAAATATTTTTTAACATGATAATATATATTTTTAGAAATATATTTATAATTTAAAATATTTTTTTTTGTCTACTTTGATAAGGTGTCCCTGCCATCTGATTTTTCCAATGCCATTCCAGCGCTTATGTACTGTATTTTAAATATACACACAAATTATTGAGTATTATATACATGTTCTTACCTCTAATCTAAGACATATTATTGGGCAATTCATGAGAAAAAAGGGCTTAAAATCTTTATTTACATTTAGATAATGAATAACTATATTTGAATACTTTCACCTTCATGTCTGGTATATAACATGGTTTTAATTGTACGAGAGGTTGAGGTCGATGCTTAAAGGCTGTTGAATGCCTCAGATTGTACTTGTAGGACACAGTTTACCAGAGGGATTGTAGAATTAGGTCATACCTATTAACCTGATTCCAGATCTTTGATCACATCTGATACAAATTAGTCTGCCATGTACAGGCTGGTATAATAAGACATAGAGGTATTTATAGGTGGGCAGGATTACAGCTAATCTGACTTTTTGCTTGCCACATTTTCTGTCTGTTTTTGGACTGAAACGCTCACCTTGATTCGACAAAAACTGGCTTCAATCTTCAGCTGCTCCACCAGCTTCCTGGCCTGACCGACGCTCATGGTGCTGTTCACAGGGGTGTCTCCTTTCATCCTGCCCACAAAAATAAACAGAGGTCAATGGAAAATGCAAAAATATTATATGAACTGAGGGATTTTTATATCGTAAACGTGGTATTTTGCTGCCCTATTCTGATTCTACCAGTGTAATGTGGTAAAATCTTACTGTAAGGTCACATTAATGTTAAGTAAAGTGATTTGAATTTTTTAAAAGTAAAAAAAAAATTATTTTCAACAAGTTATTCAAAACCTGCATTCATTTTGTCTTATAAAAACTAAATATATCAATTATATCATGGTAAATCTGTTAGAAACAGTTGCTGCTCCTCCTTGATATACAGTAGAGTGTAAACAAATTTCCACCAAATCCCTTCAGTTAACTATTTTAGTTATAATTTGGTTAGATATAGCAGATAAGGCGTTAATGATTCACATTATGATCGTATAATCCATTCAGATATGCACAATTCCTTTAGTTTTTTCAAGTCCACAGGCTTAAAACCAATATATATAGTATCAACAATACAGCCGGCAGCTAGTACATTCAGCAGCTAGCTCTGCAACTCTCACATGGTCACCCACTGAAGCTAAGCTGGGCTGCACCTGGTCAGTACCTGGATGGGAGACCATATGGAAAAGCTACAGTAGGTTGCTGCCAGAAGTGGTGTTAGTGAGGCCAGCAGGGTGTGCTAAACCTGTGGCCTGTGTAGGTCTTAATGCTCCAGTATACGGATGGGGACTCTATACTGCTCAGTGAGTGCTGTCTTGAGAGGGGTCTGGATGCAGACCTGGTGCAGTGCAATCTGAGCTGCATCCAATGCTTTTTAATGCGCTTACCTAACCCCACCTCTAACCCTACCCCTTTGCAGTGACGTCACTCGCTTCATTTGAGAGCATTGTGTCTGACATTGCGTCGCTGAGGGATGCAATCTCAGCCTGCATTATAAAGACTGCATCCTGATACTTTTCGGGTGAGATATTAAGCAGAGGACTCTTTGTGGTCGTTAAAAATCCCAGGATGTCCTTCGAAAAAGGGTGGGGCTTTAATCAACGTTGCCCACTGGCCTCTGTCCATCATGGCCTTCTCCTAACCATAAAAATAATTCCCTTCTTCTTCTTTAAATCAGTAGTTTCATTTTTTTTCTTCATTCGTCTGTTTAACACAAAAAAAGATACTTTGAAGAATGTTACTAACCACTGACTTCAACGGTAGGACAAAAATGCAATTAAAGTTATTAGATACAGGTTACAAACATTCTTCAAAATATCTTTACAAATCCTCAAAATATCAGAAGACAGCAACTCATCTAAAACTGGAGATTGAGAAAATGAATTAAAATTAACAGATTATAAATTTTATATAATAATTTATTAGTAAATGTTGCAATTGAAATTAATGAAGCTTACAAAATAACATTTATCTAGAAAAATGCTATTTTTAGGGCATCACAATGGCAATGTTCACATGAGTTTCCTCCAGGTGCTCCGGTTTCCCCCACAAGTCCAAAGACATGCAGAATAGGTGAATTGGTTAAGCTAAAATTAACCGTGGTGTATGTTTGTGAATGAGAGTGTATGGATGTTTCACAGTGAGGGGTTGCAGCTGGAAGGGCATCCGCGCTGTGTAAAACATATGCTAGATAAGCTGGCGGTTCATTCCGCTGTGGCGACCCCAGATTAATAAAGGGACTAAGCCAAAAAAAAGAAAATGAAGGAATGATGCTATTTTTATTAGCTTATGTTTTTAAATAATTTATTTATTAAATGTTAAAGATATTTTTAGATCTAATCTTCTATATCATACTATACTGTGTCAAGGTGCAAACATTTATTTTGGAAAACACTACGAGTGATTGAAAACCTCAGCAGATATTTTGACTTTGATTGGCTGTTTTTCTCTCTCTCCTCGACTCCTGCCATAAGTATTTATTTTCAGCTCTGGGTTCACCTTTGTGCCGCTCCAGACAACAGCAGAACAGCAACTACTTGGAGTTGGGGATGTAGATAAAAAGTCTAAAAAGGTGCTAAATAGTACAATAAGTGGCTATTTAGCTCATAATTATAGGGTAACCGTTTAAAGTGGTACATACTGTAGCACATATATCTTTACAGATGGTGCTTTGTGCAGTCTGTAGCATTTAACCCACTTGAGGCTTTCTCCACAGCTTTAAAGAACAAACCTTTTCTGTTTAATCAGACAGGAGATTCTTTATTTTAATTATCTGGGAACCTTTAAGTTTCTTGTCTGCTAGACTCTGGACAAAAGAAGTGTAATCTGCCTTTTTGTCAAATTATTTTGTATTCTATGTCGTTTTCTTTTTATTTTGTTTATTTATTTACAATTTCATTAATTTAATTGTATTTTTTTATTATAATTTTTCATGATTGGAATGATATGAGTCATGGATATTGTCTTATTAATCATTCCTTCATTTTCTTTTTGGCTTAGTCCCTTTATTAATCTATATAAATACACATTACATTACATTACATCTGGGGTCGCCACAGCGGAATGAACAGCAAATTTATCCAGAATGTTTTAAGCAGCAGATGCCCTTCCAGCTGCAACCCATCACTGGGAACACCCATACACACTCATTTAAACACATACACCACGGACAATTTTAGGATACCCATTTCACCTACAGCGCATGTCTTTGGACTTGTGGGGAAACCGGAGCACTGGGAGGAAACCCACGTGAACGCGAGGAGAACATGCCAACTCCACACAGAAATGCTAACTGACCCATCCGAGACTGGAACCAGAGACCTTCATGCTGTAAGGTGACATCACTACTCACTGTGACACCGTGTTGCCCCATTGTCTTATTACACAATGTAAATTTCTGATGTGTTTTTGCTATTAAAAACATTTTTAAAAAATGCAACATCTTTGTAACTTCTTAACCACCCAAAAGAACAGCTTAAGAACCAAAAATCGATTCTTTTACAATAAATGCTTCTACCACTTAAATGCTTTTCAAATATATATAGTTATAGTTTCAAAATATTTACAGATATTTTGTTATATGAATATAAATAAACTTTTCTTTACATGTAAATGCAAATTTACATGCATGTGCGTAATAAATATTACAAATAAATACGCACAGTACTTGGGCTGCACAATATATCGCTTCAGCATTAAAATCGCAATGTGTCCATTCTCAGTAGTCACATTGCAGGATTATAGATTATCAGCAATAAAGATTGAACAGTGTTATTTTACATTACATTTGATTATTCAATTACTCCACCTGAATATCTGACTACTGCTTGACCCTCTAAAAGCCCAAAAACCACTGCTTATAAATTTTTTTTATCTTTGCTCTACCTTGTTCATGCTTGAGTTTTTAAGTTTGATTCACTCTGCTACAAAATTATCCCGATCAATCTAAATTAAAGATTTAATTCCAAAAAGAGCTACTCAAACCATCATCGCAATATATATAGCAGAAAAATAAAATATCGCAATGTCAGATTTTTCCAATATCGTGCAGTCCCACACAGTACACACAAAATTATTATATGAATGCAAACTTTTATTTTGTATGCGATAATCACGATTAATCATTGAAGAGCATTAATGTACATCACCTTCTGTAAAAATGGCCTCCTCAACATGGTCAAACTGTACCCAACTACTAAAGAAATTAAAAATTGGCACTTTAGATTAAACAAACTGTGCATGTGCGTTTTTTATCTCTTAATCTTTTGCCCAGACTGCCTTTCATATGGAAGTAGCTGATTATTGTAATAGCTGTGATGTGTTATTCCAAAACAGGAATGATTTTAAAAACTAGATCTTTATGGTTATGACTATACCCTACCAATCATCATCTATATTGTGAACAAACCTCAATAAATAATTAAGTTTACGTTAACTAATGCAGACAAAGCATCTGTAAAGTGCTCCTGATTCTGTTTATAATGCACACAGTCTCTAATGGAAGCATCATCCTGTGGTTCAGGACTCTCAACCCCTCTGCTTTACTTCCTGTCTTTCCTCCTTCTTGGTATCATTTACTACAGCTTTGCTAAAAGCTGCTGCCCTAGAAAACCAAAACCTCAACTTAGATCGCAATGATCTGATAGTAACGCATTTCACCTTGCTGAAACCCTTCATTTCCAGATGAAGATCGTCAGAAACCATCGCATATATAGATTTGGAATCATTCGTAATCATACAAATATCAATATACACCAAATATTAGCAGCATTAATGAATCTGGATAAGATTTCAGCAAAGTATTAGAGCATGCCGGCCCCATTTTCATTATAGAAAATATGTTTGCTAGGATCTAATCAGCACTACACAGAATATACCACAATATCTGAATGAAAAAATAATTAATTTTTAAATATTATCTCTATTAATGTCAACATTTAGGCATATATAGACATGAAAATCACGTGTTGCAGCCAGCAAAAAAGAGAGAGAAAAAAAAACTAGGCCAGATACACAAATGACAATCACAGCTTCACAGATCTCCATAATCATCAATAGGACTACATCCTTAAATAAGAACATGAATATTAATACAGCTGCAATCAAATAAACTGATCATCTTAATAATAAAGCAATACATTTCAAATAAATGAACATCAAGATGAATTAAGGGAAAATGGAGAGCAAGAAGGATTTTTAAAAAGCCCAGAGAACTGTATTCGTCTGTTTTATGATTCCGGCCCTTTTTAAATCCTTTTTTATCCCATTTCTTACCCTTGCTGTATTCCACTTGTGGTGATATCTCTCCCTCCTCTTCTTTCTTATCCCTTCTCTCTCTCTCTCTCTCTCTGTCTGTGTTGTTGCTTTCAGTGTAGCCGGACCGCACCCTCATACACAGTGTGGATGCTACCCAGTTCTGTACAGTCCAGTGCACTGCAATTCTGCTACAATGAACACCAGTCTCTCGGTGCACACAAATCCCCCCTGTGCAGACAGTGGAATGTGCCGAGAGGGGGGAGGGGCCGCTAATGGAATTGATTTATTCTGCGCGGTGGATCATACCATGTTTATGACGGGAGAGGGGGGACGGATGGGGAGGGAAATGTATTGAAGAAAGCCAGCGTTTTAAGAGCTAAAATCTCACAAGATGTGTTCAGATTGTCAAGAATTAAAAGAATAAATTTGATAGGAGTGAAAATGTATTTTGTTTGTTGGTGGTGATGCTGCTGAAGCTCCTGAATAAGTGAGCCTTCCCTCTCTGGTCTGTTACCATGGGAACTGCTGCAGTCTCAGCCTCTTTGTCTTGCACTGATGCTCCATTTTGACTCAGTGGTCTCTCCCACTTTGGTGAAGATCTTATACCCCACTATGGCAGACCGAATTAACATTCAGTCTATAAAACACACTCATATCTGTCTTCATGATATACCAGTGCTAATTTATTTATTTATTTATTTATTAAAATATCTTTTCTAAACAAAAGAAATCTTAGCCTCTAGTGCTTATTCTTTAGTTATTGCTGCTTTTTTGTTAAATACTATTCCTTATTAAGTGCTACTTATTCATTAGATACTGGTAATTAATAGACACTAGTACAGTTCTTATTAATTAGATACTTTCTGTAATTTTAATAGTGGCTTTCCTGCTGAACATTCCAGCTTAAACTATCCTAGGATGGTTGGCTGGTTTTAGCTGGTCGACCAGTATAGTTTTAGAGAGGTTTTGGCCACTTCCAGGCTGGTTTCCAGCCATTTGCAGCTTGGATTTAGCTGGACAGGCTGGGATATGACCAGCTAAAACCAGTTTGACCAGCCTAGCCAGGCTTGGAGCCCAGTCAAAACCAGCTAAGCCCAGCTTAAGCCAGGATGGTCAAGCTGGTTTAAGATGGTTTTAGCTGGTTACTTTCCAGTCTGACCAGCTAAGACCAGGCTGGAAATGGCTGAAAACGGCTGAAAACCAGCCTGAAAGTGGCCAAAACCCCTCTGAAACCAGGCTGGTCGACCAGCTAAAACCAGCCAACCATCTTAGGCTGGTTTAAGCTGAGTTTTTTTTAGCAGGTTTACTAGTTGCTATAAACTTGTAACTAATTGTTTTGGTAGTGCTCGTCTATTTTATTGACACTTATACTTGAATTGATACCTTATTTATTAGGTACTAGCACTTATTTATTAGAATCTTTTGTAATTATTACTATTAACAGGTCTTATGACTAATCTGAACGAAGAGTTCAGTTAAAAGTTTTACTTGTAAAACAAACAAACAAACATCTTAGTAACATTTTAAATAGTAAGCTAGTGTCTATTAAATGTGTACTATCTTGAATTTGTATTTGTGTCTATTTAAAGTTTCTTTGAAATCAAAATGAAAGTTTTCATCTTAGAAATTAAATTTAATATCTTTAGGTTTTCAGCACAATTCATCATTTTTGACGTAACCTCGCACTTCAGTTTCTCACCAAATCTTCTGATTATTCATGTCAAAGGAAATTTAAACTGCCTGAAAGCTTGCAAATATAAGACAATAATAATAGATAGTAGCCAAACTGTGCTGATCTGAACTCCTCATCAGCCATACTGTGCACAGCATCTCTAGACAAGTGAGTACTGCTATATAAGGATACAGATAGTGTAAATATAATTTCCTTCAGAGTGTATGAAAACTGCTTTTCATAAAATGCACATTTCAAAGACCTCAAAGCACTCATTCTTTAATTTTAATTTTGGCTTAGTCCCTTTGTTAATCTGGGGACGCCACAGCGGAATGAACCGCCAACTTATCTAGCATATCTTTAACGCAGCGGATGCCCTTCTAGCTGCAACCAAACTCTGTGAAACATCCATACACACTCATTCACACACATATGGACAACTTTAGCTTACCCAATTCACCTATAGTGCATGTCTTTGGACTGTGGGGGAAACTGGAGCACCAGGAGGAGACCCACACCAACACGGGAGAACACTCAAACTCCACATAGAAATGCCAACTGACCCAGCCGAGGCTCGAACCAGCAACCTTCTTGCTGTGAAGTGATTCTGCTACCCACTGCCACAATTAATAGCAAAGATTATCTAAATAATGAGCAGTGATTATAGTTTTTTATAGTTGTCCATCACAGTGTCAGTGTCACCAAAATGAAAAGTCCTGACACCATTGTTTATAAACAAGATAGTCAAATGGCTTTGTCATGTTTTCATTATGACAGTTCCCCATGTACATTTTTTCCAAAGCAAAAAAAGTCTGATTTTGGTGACACGTCCTGAAAATGCTCAAGACAGCACTATATACTATTTGCACAGCCATTTGAAAGCTACATTAAAGTTAGACATCACTGCATTACAGTTTTTCTCAGTTGCTTTGGTGCGTTTCTCACAACACTAGTGCATTTCTGCTCAACAGTTAATGCATTTCTCAAAACAATTAGTACAAACTACAAAATCTAGTTGATAACCTGCAAAAGCGCAACACATGCTCAAAATAGATAGTTCATTTCTCAAAATCAATTAATCATGTAAATGAAAGTGTCAGTGTCATCAAAATGAAAAGTCCTGACACCATTGTTTATGAACAAGATTTGCTTTGGCTATAGACTATTTGCACAGCCATCTGAAAACTCAATTAAGTTCGACGTCACTGCATTTAGTGAGGTATCTGAGTACAAGACACTGAATATGTATGTTTCACATTTTTACTGCATTTGCTTTTTGCAATTCTAATTTATTCACAGCATTGTTAAAAGAATAAATACACTCTTATTTATAACAAACATAAACTTCCTTTGGGTAGAGCACAACTGTGCACAACTGTAAACAATATTGCAGTACATATTTCAACTGAACCTACAACATACACAGGTCTGTAAATCATTCATTAAATTGTTCAATTTTAAAGACATTTTCAGAAAAAAAAAGATTTATTTTTTTTTAAATAAAGTTTTCTTGACAGATTTTGACAAGTAGTTTGACATTTTTGTATGTAATGACTATGTAATGAGTAGTGAAATGAGAACTATTAGTTTTATATGGAATGACTATTCAGCATTTACAAGTTTAGTTTAGTAGCAATTTTTACTGGCATGACATAAGCAAATGATAATGTTATAAATAGCAAAGAGTTGTATGAAAGCAGTTGATGCATGTCCAAAAGCATTCACAATTTGTTGGAAGGAATGAGAAACTGCTACTATGATGTGCACAAATGACTAATTGTTTTGAGAAATGCATGACCTGTTGTGCTAATGTAAACAGTGTTTTGAGAAATGCACCAAAGCCACTGAGAAAATCCGTAATAAGTATCTTTCAGTGATCTTAAGAAGTTACTAGTAACATAGAATAAGCACAAGGTAATGCAAGTACTAGTAGAAAATATACCAGTATCTAAACAATAAGCACTAGTAGCATAAAATAGATACAAGTACAGTTTAGATGAAATGTAAAAACGGCTTGCCATGCACACCTTTACATCTTTCCAGCTCCCTCTGCATCCATTCTCATGTTACATTCACATTGTTGCAAATCTGCCCCCTAGTTTCCTCCTGAGAAATGAAAAGGCTGCTGTCTGAAACATTCAGTGGGAGAGAAAGAATGAAGAGAGACTGATTCCTAATGGTGGACAGCAATATTACAGTTTTTCTCAGTCGCTTTGGTACATTTCTTAGATCAGAATTAAAACTACATGTTCAATCTTCACATTAATGTTTCTCATTCCTTTGAACAAGTTGCAAATGCTTTGGTACAGCCATGCAAATGATTATGTGCAATTCTCTGATGATATCTACATGATCAATTGCTTATGTCATGTTGATTAAAATGTACTATAAAGGTCTCTGTTGTCATACTATTTTGTCAAAGTGAATTTTTCTATACATTTCCATTAAACTTGTTTTTTTAAATCTGTCCTGAATTGGTAAATTGATCCCAGATGAGCCTTGACTTGAGAATGTTCTATATATGTTCAAGCTTCTACTTATGTTTTATTTTTGTCTTGCTGTCTTTTCCTTTCTGTATCACAATGACATGACCTGTCAACAGATTACAGTACTAACAGCAAATATTTGTTTACATCAGAACACCCCTCCAGAGTGCACTGCTATCAGGGCTGGCCCTGTACATTTGGGGGCCCTATAAGCAGAATTATTTTGGGGCCCTTCTGTCCTCTAAATCAGGGGTGCCCAAACTTTTTGTTATGAAGGGCCAGAAAACTATTTTGATTGAGGGTGGTGGGCTGAAATATACCAAACTCTATTACATTAAAGTTGCTATTGATTTCCTAATTTATTTAATATTTAGAAATTAGGGCAGCGCGGTGGCGCAGTAGGTAGTACTCTCGCCTCACAGCAAAAAGGTCACTGATTCGACCCTCGGCTGGGTCAGTTGGCATTTCTGTGTGGTGTTTGCATGTTTTCTGTTGGTGCCGGTTTCCCCCACGAGCCCAAAGACATACGCTATAGGTGAATTTGGTAGGCTAAATTGTCCATAGTGTATGTGTGTGATTGGAAGTGTATGGGTGTTTTCCATGAATGGAGTTACACTAGTCAAGCTACACTTGTTTTTGCCTTGATTTGCATGCCAATTTGTTCTGCATTGTCCCCTATCCACTGAGTGACAGCATTTATATTTCTAAAAATCAGATTCATTTACAGTTATATTATATTATACAGTTATATTCAATTATAGTTTCAAACTTTCGTTTACTACAGTTTAAAATAGAAACCATGGTAACTGTAATGTGTTAACTGTATGTCTGGCTGTTGTAATGTTTTGCTTTGTTTTTCAGCAGAGTTGTTGAGCAAAGAAGGACTATTGAAGACAACCGCAGGTTGTATTCATGAGCGCGCACATTATATTGTTTTCGTGCTGTTTTCTGAAAGTTTATTCTGTTTAGATAAGTTTGCAGGTCAAACAAAATAAACTATACTCTTAAAACACCTGTCTCGTGTTTTATTTGTCCTCTTCAGCAGCACACTGTCATATAATAAGTCTGTTGAATGCATTTGAATGCAACATGGTTTGACTATAAAGTAGTCTAACAAATAAATAGTTGTTATAAATGTACCTTCATTAGTCAACATTTGGTGTAGGTAATAAAAAGTTAATCAAAAATGTTCTAAGACATAATGGTAATGTTATGGTTGTTCAATAACGGTATTTATTATTATTCTGTATGTTTAAAACCAGCAGATTATACTATATATTTATTGTGTCTGTTATTTAAGAATCTGCCTAATAAAAATGTCCTAAGACAAGAATGGGTTTTGTTTTGGTTTTATGTCAAACTACTGTAGGTTTTAGGTTGACTACAGCAGGTTTACTGTAATCATTGGAATGAATTACAGTACTGCATTGCCTCCACTGACAAGCAAACGCATCAAACAGTCTGTATTTTGTACCTCTTCTGTTGCCGTACTCGTGTTTCTGTCCCACAGGAAGGGGCGCCACTGAGTTCGGCAGTTGGTTGTTTTTCTCTGATCTCTAAATAGTCAATTGCGGCAATTCGCTATGGTTTTGGACTTAATTTGATGTGGAGATCGATCATTCCGCCATGAAGTGCATAAATTATGCGTCACTCGAGCTCATTATAGGGAAAGGAAGACAGGGCAGGAGTTGTTCATCAGTTTGTCCTGAAGCGAAATGTTTTTTATCTGACCATGGCGCATTTTCTGACTGAAGAGGGTGAGTTTGCGGGTTGTTTACAGTTGATGTACTGATATTAGCGTAAGATAACTGAAGAAAGTATGACAAGGAGGCAATTGAATACATGTGCAGAAAAACTGAAACGTTATGCTAAAGACATGCTGTAATGACATTATCTTTGAGTAACTTAGAAACATTAGTATCTATCTTTATTCTTCATCTATCTTTATTGGTTTGTTTTAGTTCGAGTCAGTTTCTATTTATTCAAAGCGTAAAATATATTAAGAATCACAGATGTTACATATGTATACACTCACCGGTCACTTTATTAGGTACACCTTACAAGTACCGTGTTGGACCCACTTTTGCCTTCAGTGCTGCCTTAATCCTTGATGGCATAGATTCAACAAGGTACTGGACATATTCCTTTTTGATTTTGGTCCATATTGACATTATAGCATCACACAGTTGCTACAGTTGCTGCAGATTTGTCGGCTGCAAATCCTTGATGCGAATCTCCACAACCACATCCCAAAGGTGCTCTATTGGATTGAGATCTTTATGACTTGGTGTGTTATTCTGCTGGAAGTAGACATCAGAAGATGGATACACTGTGGTCATGAAGGGATGGACATAACGTTAGTCAGAAACAATACTCGGGCAGGTTGTGACTTTGACATGATGCTCACTTGGTACTAATGGGCCCAAAGTGTGCCAAGAAAATATCCCCCACACCATTATACCACCACGACCACCAGCAGCCTGAACTGTTGATACTAAGCAGGATGGGTCAATACTTTTAAATAGATGCCAAATTCTGACCCTACCATCCTAATGTCAGAGCAGAAATTGAGACTCTTCAAACCAGGCAACGTTTTTCCATTTTTCTGTTGTCCACTTTTGGTGAGCCTATGCGAATTGTAGTCTCAGTTTCCTGTTCTTAGCTGACAATAGTGGCACCTGTTGTAGTTGTCTGCTGCTGTAGCCCATCCGCCTCAACATTTGATATGTTGTGCTTTCAGAGATGCTTTCCTGCATATCTCGGTTATAACAAGTGGAGTTACTGTTGCCTTTCTATCAGCTCGAACCAGTCTGGCCATTCTCCTCTGACCTCTGGCATCAACAAGGCATTTGCGCCCACAGAACTGCCTCTCACTGGATATTTTTTCCGGATCATTCTCTGTAAACCTCAGAGATCGTTGTGCATGAAAATTCCAGCAGATCAACAGTTTCTGAAATACTCAGACCAGCCCGTCTTGTTCAGTTAATTAAATCGCCTTTCTTTCCCATTTTGATGCTCGGTTTGAACTGTAGCAGATTGTCTTGAACATGTCTACATGGCTAAATGCATTAAGTTGCTGCCATGTGGTTGGCTGATTACAAATTTGCGTTTATGAGCAGTTGGACAGTTGTACCTAATAAATTGGCCAGTGAGTGTATTATGACTGTAATATTTCTAATAACATCTGTCAAAAGAAAATGTCAAAATAAGTTACACAGGATGCAGTAAAATGACTATAAACAAAACATTCACAGCTTTGAAGCTTGAAATGTCATATGACCAAGCCAGTAGTCTTTTGTTTTATTATTAATTTTGGATAAGTTGTCATGTCATTATCCTAAAAATATGTGATCATTAAAATTTATTGTATGTTTAATTATGATTACATTTAATACGATTTCAATCTAACGTATTTAATCCTGTATTTCTTTTGTTCCTTTTTAGTGTACTCCATGACTTCATCCACAATTACAGAAGAACACTGCAGGGGCTGCTCATATAAGAAACGAGCACATCATGTCTTCAGCCAAAGAGCGAGATCTAAAGACGATTAGACCTCAGTTTGACTTTTTGAATGCACATTCTCTCTAGCTGACCAGTATTTTCACACAATTAATTCTCACAACAGATACCGAGCATAAATAGATGCAGTGATGCAGACTGTACACGTTATTGAATAGCGTGTAAGAGGTTTGAATGAGTGAAGAGGAACAAACCCCATTGTTTGCAGTGGAAGGGCAGACAGGCAGACGCCCTGAACCAAGACGACTTGCTCCTGTATGGGACGGTGAAGGACTGCCAACCATGGGCGCAGCAATGGGACCATTATTGCTTTGGCTTCAGGACGTGGCTGCGGTGACCCTGCTAAGAGCTCGCAGGACACTTTTAAGAGCCGCCATCCTGCTGTGTGTCCTTGTGCTTCTCCTCTGGGTCTCCATCTTCTTATATGGGAGCTTTTATTACTCCTACATGCCCAGCGTCAGCTTCTCCACACCGGTGCACTACTATTACAGGTACAGACACATCATCACATTCCTGACCCGTTTTGATAATGGTCTGCTTGCGCACGACTGAGTTTTTCATTAGTTTGGTCCAGTGAACAAATACTGTTGGAGGAATTACTGGTGTTCGTGTTGCATTGTGGGTCATTCATGTTTCACCCCTAATAGGACAGATTGCGAGGCTTCGGATGCCGTTCTCTGTTCTTTCCCGATGGCTAATGTTTCGCTCTTGAAGAACGGAAGAGACCAGGTACATCACCGTCCTGCCATTAATCTGTATTTACAATGAAGAAACAATGCTTAAAAATGCTTTGAGGGATATACCCGGCATTAATTTTTGCATGATGTTTACGCCAAAATGTTTTCACCATTTATTTGGTTTTAAACCTTTTTATTATTATTGATTTTTTTTTTACCACAAAAGAAGATATTTTAAAGAAAGGTCAAAAACTTTAACCATTGAGCTCTATAATGTTAGTTTTTTTTTTCTACCATGGAGGTCAATGTAAAGAGTGTGTAAATGATAACAGAATTTTAATTTTTGTGTGAACTATCCCTTTAAAGATGCATGTAAATTTTAACGCCCTATTCACACGGGGCTTCAGCGTCAACGCTTGACAGAGGGCGTGTCTGAAGTTGGAGCTGAAACGATCGTCATAGAAGCGTCAGCCAATGAAATTCAGTCAGCAATAGGCCACTGTCTGAGCTGGTGTATTTGCATACAGCGATCTGATTGGCTGACGCTTCCGTCGGCGCTTGAAAAGTTGAGCTGGTCCCAACTTCTGCAGCGAGGAACGCTTCTGAAGCGGTGCCGACGGATCCACAATGCAGTTCGGCAACGCCTGACGTCACCCATTCAAAGTGAATGGGAAGCGTTGACGCTGACGCCCCGTGTGAATAGGGCGTAACAGTTTTGTGTGGAATGATGGTTGCATTTGACCAGTTCTCAGTAATTGCTTATTAGCAGAATATTACTATAATTGTATAATAATATTTCTGATTAAGGCCTTTTTCCACATGATGATATTTCAAATAAATCAGCACATTACTAACTATTAATAAGGAGCAAATTAAATGTTAATTTTAGGCAAAAGCTTTATTTTATTTATTTATTTGTTTTTTTATTTGGCAGGGACAGTGTACATTAATTAGCATTGCGGTATATGCACCAGAATTAGCCAGAAGACTATTTTCATCCTTTGTCCCTGGACAGATGTTAAAATTGTCAACCTAAAAAGCAATACAAAAATTATTCAATCAATCAAGCATAGTTAAGAAACACTAAAATAGACACAGTTATGTAGATCTTAATGAAATGTATATGTACAAAATAAACTAAAAACACCAACATTATGTAATAGAGATAAGAAAAGTTAAAACATATTAAAACAACAAATTATTTAGATGGCAGGCGCACGTGGTAATAGTTTGTTAATAGTGTAGTTAATAGTTTGGTAAAGTTGTAGTTAATAGTTTGTTAATATTGTGAATTGGCCAAAATAATTAAAAAGGGTAATTTACACAAAAATTATAAAATAATTTATTTACAGGCATTATCAAATCAGATTTTTATTTTTTCTATTGGTTAAATAAAAAGAAGATATTTAAAAAAACTATTTTATTGTATTATTTTTTCTAATGATTTCCACATTCTTCAAAATATCTTCTTTTGTGTTCAAGATATATAAGAATCATTAGAGTGTGAATTAATGATAAATCGTTTTTTATTTTTATTTTAGTGAACTATTCGTTTAATAAATGTTGGTTTGTTATGACATTGATTTTTTTTTTTTTTTTGGTCATATTTTTTATTGTGATAGGTGATGATGTCTGGTCAGGCCTACAGGATCTCTCTGGAACTGGAAATGCCTGAATCTCCTGTTAACGAACAGCTTGGCATGTTCATGGTCAAAATGTCTTGCTATTCCAATGATGGGACAGTTGTTCACTCAGTGGCCCGCTCCGTGAGTAAAGACAGCTGTCATTAAATTGTCATTTTTCATATATATATATATATATATATATATATATATATATATATATATATATATATATATATATATATATATATATATATATAATCCTGTCAGTCATCTTTTAGAATGGGTGTCAAACTCAATTCCTGGAGGGCCGAAGCCCTGCACAGTTTAGTTCCAATCCTGCTCCAACACACTTACCTGTAGGTTTCAAACACGCCTGAAGGACTTGAATTAGTTTGATCAGGTGTGTTTAATTAGGGTTGGAACTAAACTGTGCAGATCTGCAGCCCTTATGGAACTGAGTTTGACACCTGTGTTTTAGAACATAAGTCATTTGATTTAAGGATCTCTGTGCAGCTTCAAAATACAAATACAAATGAATAAGTATCTAAATATCCTTTATCAGCCAGCATACAGGACTTCAAAGTTGTCCATGCCATGGTGATTGTTAGTACCTTACTCATTACCATACTAGAATGTTTGGGCCCTATCATACACCCGGCGCAATGTGGCGCAAGGCATGACGCAATACTTGTTTACTAGTTTCAGCTTGGTGCAAGAGTTGTTTTGAGGCGTTGCGCTACACTCTTTAAATAGCAAATGCATTAGCGCTCATATGTGCGCCCATAGGCGTTCTCGTCTAAAAAGGAAGGCGTTCTGAGGCGCGCTGCTGGTGCGTTGCTATTTTGAGAAACTATAATAGATTTTTCATTAGACCAAAACAAACCTGGTCTAAACTCCAGCACAGAGTTGCATCTCGCTTACACACTGCTTAATACACACAAGATGTAGAGCAATATGCAAATATCTTCACATATGAAAAAATTTAAATATTAAGGATATATATAGGATATAATAAGAATATATATATATATATATATATATATATATATATATATATATAGGATATAAATATAAAGGATTAAAATATTACAAAACATTATTTTCTAGCCTACATAAATATGAAAAGCCACTGCTTTTATGTCTTCTTCATCTCGGGAGGTTTTTTCAGTTCATTCATAACAATTTGCTTTTGTATAATGTTATTATTATTAGCCGTACTATTTATTATATCCATATTTATATTTGTTTTATTAAAAACAAGCTTAGATTTGCCCACCTGCAGGTTTTGAAACAAATATTTGCGCTTAACAAACAAAATTAATTATTTATAGGCTAATTGATGTCTGTGTGTAAAGGTTTCCCTATCCACGAGAGCGAAAGTGAAAGTAGAGCATTTATCTCTCACTCTCGCGCGGTTGATGCTCTGTTAAACTGTTTTCTGTTAAAAAAAAAACTGTTAACTGTTTGCTTGTGAAATGCTCAGTTTTTCCACCTACACTTACTTTATGTCAAGTAAATACCAAATGTGCTTATGGCACGCCGCAAGGCTCTTAAAGGGAATGGGAGATGAGACTCTGATTGGTTTATTCTCAAAGCACACCTATAACTCATTAAGAAAATAAACGCAACCCTTTTAGAACATGCGCCACGGCGCAAAGTGGATTTATTCCATCCTTAAATTAGCAAATATGGATTCTGACACGCCCTGAATGCGTTTGCGCCCTGCGCTTTCCGTTTTGCACATGGACCGTCGAAATAGAGCCCTTTATTTTTAGACATTTGCAAATAAATTTATTGGGTTGCAAATAACTTCCCTATTGGGAAATGCACATGTAAAACTAGCAATATTTTATCAATCAGTTTATTGTGAAATATATAATTATTATGAGGATATTAGCTTTTCAAATGTTTCCATAAAATATCAAGGAGCACACAAACAAACACACAAAACTGAGAGGCAAATCAGCACATAAGAAACAATCTTTTATGTTCTAATGATTGCCAGTAAATGCCTGTTAACTCATAATTACTCAGTCCTTGTTTCTTCCCCATCAGACGATGCTGCACTACCGCTCAAATCTCCTGCAGACCCTCAGCACACTGTTGTTCTCTCCACTCTTGCTGTCCGGCGTGTCTGAGCAGAAACAGCTCGTTGAGGTCGAGCTTTTCCCAGATCTCAAACTAGACATTGTGAGTTTGTCAATTATGAATAAAAGGGACAGAATTGTTATTGAGCATTTACATAAGACTGATGGGAATAATCATTTTAAGAGCAAATATCTATGTACTGTAAAAACTATATATTGATGTATAGAAGACTGTATATTGATCTGTCTTTTACAGTATCATCCTGCCGTTGGGGCTGTGATCGAGATTCAGTCTCGCAGGGTTCAGATTTATTCTGCCCAGCTGAGGATTCATGCCTACTTTACTGGCGTTAGGTAATTGTCATTGTTTCATTTAATCAGTTTATTTACCATATTTTACAAGATAAAAGTCCCAGTTTTTGCTTCTTGTAAATTAATTAATGCTTGCAATTAATTTCAAGCAAGCAAAATAAGCAAAAAGAGAGACATGTTTGTATTTGCATTATGCAATTTCCAACACACTGTTTGTTTAAAGATTTGTGCTATTATTCATTGTCTGATATTTCACTCACTAGCAAAAACATCTCTTGAAAGTCCAAAAGGGATTTGTGTGACTGTGTTGTGAAATGCAGTTAGAATGATGCCATAATTCTGCAAAATTATCCTTTATGTTAGAAGATATTTGTTATGTCACACAAGCAAAGTAGTTTTCCCCCCAAAGATCAGTGTAAATGTACTCACAAATTACATTTAAAAACAAAATCACAAAAAACAAAGAGTAAATGAGATGAGCAGATGCAGGCGCAATGAAATTATGCAGCACCTAAAAATAGTCCCCAGCAGCAAAAAATCCCTACACTTAGAACTAGTTAGAATCTGTGTAATATCATTGCGCCTGCTGCAGTCATAGTACAGCTAGTCATATCGACCTAGAAAGGTGCAACTTTTCATTTTTTTCGGTGTCTTAGTACACAATGTAACTACAAAAGAATCAAGCTTCAAAAAAGAAAATTATCAAAACTGTTTTATTTTTTTGAGTGCGATGCTAACGATCTTATCCAATTTAATAATTTATGCTAAGCTAAGCTAAAAGTGTTTCCGCCAGACCTGGCTGAATGGATTCAAAAATGGTAAAACTCAACTATTATCTCTAGGGGAGTTGCAAAATTAACCTGTTTTCAAAAAGGGTGATGTGTTGCATTAAGACCTTCATGTGACGCTCTTCCCTTTACAACAGATTCCTCCTGTATAACTTCCCGGTGATGTCTGCCATTGTTGGAGTGGCGAGTAACTTCACATTCCTCAGTGTGATTGTGCTCTTCAGTTACCTGCAGTTCATCTGGGGAGGCCTCTATCCACCCGAGCAGGTCCGAGTGAAGGTAAGATCAGCAATCACGCAACTTCATTCTCTCTCATTTTGTCCAGATGTGAGACACGGGTGAGTGGGCTGGACAAACCACCTGTAGAAACACACACACTCTCTCTCTCTCTCTCTCTCTCTCTCTCAAAAAAACCTCCCCCTCTTTACTCCAAATTCTAAACACAAACAAATGACTTTGTATAACCAGCAGTTGTGTGTATTGCCTCTTGTTAAATCGCTGAATTCCTCCTCAATTGTTAGTTGCTTTGGACAAACGCGTCGGCTAAATTAGTAAATTAAATGTCGATGTCTGTTTACACTCACAGGTGATGATAGGAGACTCGACACGTCTTCAGCAGAGACGAGAAGAAGCACGTAAACGCATGCACTCGTCTGCCAGCACTCCTGGTAAAACACCTTACTCACAACCACACACACACATGACTGCATTAACCAGACCGACCAGTCACTAATGCACAATGTCTGACTGTTCCCCAGTTATGACATATGGAAGAGATGGAAGTGAACTACTCTCAGATCCGCTTCAGCATCCCAAACAAACCGTTCGAAACAAAGGTACAGGAGAATGCCTGAGACAAATAGAAATGTGATGATTCTTTGTGACTTGTATCCACAGTAATGGAGAGATTATTTCACTGTAGAATCATGTTTGTTTGTGCAGGTGATTTGGACACTCCTAGTGTGATTGGGACGGAAGACCTGAATAACCAACAAGAGGATGAAACTGGTAAAAATATTACATAAAACGTAAATCTCATCACAAATGTAATTTTTAAAAAATTTTGTACAACAGTTAAGCAAGCAAAAAGTAAATGAGATGAGAAGATGCTGGTGCTTTTATTATATTTAGTTATTATTATTACTTAATAATTACTTTAATACTTTTATTGCTTTAACATTATTACTTCAATGTTATTATTTTAATATCACTACTAAAGAAGTCGCTTAGGGTGTGTGTTCACACTCTGCAGGTTTGGTTCAATAAAAGAAACTGGTTTTATTCTTCCATTAGTGTAGTTTATAATTATTATGAAATTTGAACCTTGATGCACACTAAAAATAAGTCAGACATCCCTAATGACATACAGTTGAAGTCAGAATTATTAACCCCTCTTTGATTGATTGATTGATTTATTTCATTTTATTTATTTTTTTATATTTCCCAAATAATGTTTACCAGAGCAAGGAAATCTTCACAGTTTGTCTGATAATATTTTTTCTTCTGGAGAAAGTCTTTTTTGTTTTATTTCAGCTAGAATGACAGCAGTTTTTAATTTTTTAAAACCATTTTAAGGTCAAAATTATTAGCCCCTTCAGGCTTTATGTCACGATGTGGGGGTGGTGAAGAGGAGGCGAGGACCCAAATGCAGGGAATGAAGAATTTAATGAAAAAATAAAACAAAAACAAAACTCAAATCTCCCCATGTGGGGAAAAACACAACATTATATTACACACTCAACAAGACAAGATCTGGAACTTTTCAAGACAATACTTTAAACCGCTGTTGTAGAATGGAAATCAGCAACAGGGAAGGGAACAATCAATAACGGACCAGCACAGAACAGAGCACACTAGGAGAATAAATAGGAAAGACAAACCAATAAACAGACAGGCGGACAGGTGAAAATAATAATTACAAACAAGGTAACAAGGTGGGTGGGACAAGACAATAGACGGGAGAGCGCATGACACAGAGAGACAATACAAGCCATGCACTCACATAACACAACACTGAAGCACACGACAAAAGCACGTGACCACAATGTAAACACCGAGCCATGTGCTTTGACAAAAGACGCAAGACACGAGCACACGATGAATGAAAACACTCACCATGCGCTCACATATGCAGCATGCATGCTTCATCCCAGCGCCGACCAAAACCGAAACCAACAAGACTGAGACGCTGGGAATGAAACACCATGCTGCTGACAGACGAAAACACAAACAGGAGTACAAGAGCGCACACGTCTGAGGGACGCAGAGCGCGCGCGCGGCCGCGTCAAGCAGGAGCGCGCACACTCTGCGTACACCCACGACGGCGCGCGCGCACACAGAGACAGAAACAGGACCAGACACGAGTAGTGTCCGAGATCTGCCACCAAAACAAGAATTTACAAGATCAGAGTGGCAGAACCCTGACACTACCCCCCCCCCCCCCCCCCCAAAAGGGACGCCACCTGGCGTCCTTAAAGGGAACATCCAACAAGGTACAAGACAGACAAGAAACACCACAAGACAACAAAACAGGCAACATCAACAAACACAAGACAGGGAGGTGAACAGGCAAGACATGAAAGGGGGGAGGGAGGGGAGCCAAGTCAGACCCAACAAGACTAACAAGGGAGGGATGGGAGGGCAAAACCAGGGAGGATCAGGAGGGACAGTCCAGGGTGGGTTCAGCGGGTCGGGAGCCCCGGCAGGGAACCAGGGTGAAGCCGGAGGATCCATCCAGGGTGGAAGAGGGGAACACCAGGGAGGAGCACGTGGGACGACCCAGGGAGAGTCTGTGAGGGGAAACAAGGCAGGAGGTCTGTAGAGAGACGGTTGGGCTGGAGGCGACTTGACAAGAGCCGGCTGGACAGAAGGCCTGAGGGGAGCCGGCTGGACAGAAGGCCGCTGCTGGGGAGCCGGCAGGGCTGAAGGCGGCTGGGCTGAGGCTGGAGGCCTGTGGGGAGCCGGCTGGGCTGGAGGCCTGTGGGGAGCCGGCTGGGCTGGAGGCCTGTGGGGAGCCGGCTGGGCTGGAGGCCTGTGGGGAGCCGGCTGGGCTGGAGGCCTGTGGGGAGCCGGCTGGGCTGGAGGCCTGTGGGGAGCCGGCTGGGCTGGAGGACTGTGGGGAGCCGGCTGGGCTGGAGGACTGTGGGGAGCCGGCTGGGCTGGAGGCCTGTGGGGAGCCGGCTGGGCTGGAGGCCAGAGGGGAGCCGGCTGGGCTGGAGGCCAGAGGGGAGCCGGCAGGACAGGGAGCCGGGCTGGGGCCGGCTGGGCAAGACGTCTGGGTGGCGCCGGCAGGGCAAGGAGCCGGGCTGTGGCCGGCTGGACAAGACGTCTGGGTGGCGCCGGCAGGGCAAGGAGCCTGGGTGGCGCCGGCAGGGCAAGACGCCTGGGTGGCGCCGGCAGGGCAAGACGTCTGGGTGGCGCCGGCAGGGCAAAGAACCGGGCTGGGGCCGGCTGGGCAAGACGTCTGGGTGGCGCCGGCAGGGCAAGACGTCTGGGTGGCGCCGGCAGGGCAAGACGTCCGGGGTGGCGCCGGCAGGGCAAGACGTCTGGGTGGCGCCGGCAGGGCAAGAAGCCGGGCTGGTGCCGGCAGGGCAAAGAGCAAGGCTGGGGCCGGCAGGGCAAGACGTCTGGGTGGTGCCGGCAGGGCAAGGAGCAGGACTGGGACCGGCACTGAGGGGCGCTCAGGGGCTGGAGCCGACACTGGAGGGCGCTCAGGGGCTGGAGCCGACACTGGAGGGCGCTCAGGGGCTGGAGCCGACACTGGAGGGCGCTCAGGGGCTGGAGCCGACACTGGAGGGCGCTCAGGGGCTGGAGCCGACACTGGAGGGCGCTCTGGGGCTGGAGCCGACACTGCAGCAGAGGTCTTCCTCTTTAACCTCCGCTTTTGAGTGCGGGTCAGCCCTTGAGGGCTGGACATGGGCTGGGAGGCGGCGCTGGTGGTGGTGCGAGAGATCCTCTCCTCCTGAAGGATCCCTTTCTCCTGCTGCTGAACCATGTGATTAATAAATTGCTGGTATGACCAGCCCACCATTCTCTGGATCTGCAGAGGAAGAAGGGGCTTGTCCAGAGCGCAAGTGTTTCGAAACACTGCACCGAAGCATGATCCTAAACACCCAGGTCACGTGACTAAAGTGTTTCGAAACACTTGGTCACGTGACAAAAGCGATTCAAAGCATCGATCATTTCAGAGGCGTTTCAAGACCTGGAGAATCTGCATTTGACTGGCATGATCTCAATTATGTTTCTGTCTTGTATGGCCTAGTGGACCGTGCGTGTGCACTTTAGAACTGTATTTCAAATTTATTTTTGGTTTGAATCTCGACTATTACAAATACTCTAAAATCATGATTTTATTTATTTTAATCATGTTACTGTTTTATGGTGTAGCCTAGATAGGATACAGCTGCGGATACACCATCAATTTAGCATTATTTTTGTAACACTGTAAAACAATAATTCATATTTTTACAGTACTGTGATGGGTTTAGGTTTTGGATAGACGTTAATAAAATACAATGGGAAATTTAATTAATAATATAAATAATTATTGTTAACTTCTGGCCACAACTGTATCTGATCTAGTAACAGCCCTGTTTTATGAACAAAACAATACAAATTTATTTACAAATGTTTATTCGTATGTCAGAGCAATGTTGAAACAAAACGATACAATAACAAAGCATTACCAACTGGTATTAAAGCATTTCAACACAATTGTGTCAGTTTGGATTCGAACCCATTATTCCCGCATGATAGTCACAAACTCTAACCGCTCGACTAACCCATTTGATGATTCAATGCTACAAAGTGGGGTTTGATACCTCAATTTGCTCAACTGTTCTTTGCTGAAGCTGTTTCAGTGCAATACAAATAAAATGACCACTAGGTGTCACCGTAGAGTGGTGTTTCGAAACGTTTCGAAGCTTCGACACATTTGCTTCGATAGTTTCAGTGTTTCACAAAGCCTCGCTTTGCCCACCACTACTCTTTTTATCCGGTGAGCATTAAGCTATTAAATAGTGATGGCTTAGACCAAGGATGGGCAAACTTGATCCTCGAGGGCCGGTGTCCCTGCAGAGTTTTGTTCCAACTCTAATCGAGCACACCTGCTTGTAGATTTCTAGTGATCTTGAAGACACTGATCAGCTTGTTCAGGTGTGTTTAATTAGTGTTGGAGCTAAACTGTGCAGGACACCGGCCCTCCAGGACCGAGTTTGCCCATCCCTGGCTTAGACTGAGAGTATTTCTCTTTTGTTTATTTATGTGTATACAGTGTATAGAGGTGGGTATGTAACTTTTTTTTGGGATGGGGCCATAGGGGTGTAGATTTATTTATTTATATACTCATCTGTTTTTATATACGTTTTGTACATGTTTATCTGTGTATGTGATGACTGCAGCTTGAGGGCAAGAGCCCAAGACAAAATTCCCGAACTAGGACAATAAAGTATTACCTTACCTTATCTTACCTTATCTCATCTTACCTTGGTTGGTGTTTCCTCCATCACCTCAACAGACGATGCTCCTGTTTTTCTGGATGCTCCTCGTGGTGCAGAGAGCAGTTTGACTGAGGAGGATGCAGATGATAAGCAGAGGATGGCAGGAGAGAGGAATGACACTCAAGAAGAAGAAACAGCCCAGCCGCAGTCATCAGACACCAGCCTTAGGCAAAGGCCTGGACCCTGGATGAGGCTCTGAGCTACAGCCACATGACGTCTGTTACACTCACTCACAGCTCACACCTTTGACACATTCCTTTTGCAATGCACTGAGAATTACCATAAGAATATTTCTGATGCATTTGGAAACCAGTTTACCTCATCAAGCTGATCGAGAGCATTTCCTGTTTTGCTGCATTTGTTTTTTAGTTTAATACTTCCTACAGGTCTCATCCTGACATGCTTTAATGTGCCATTACTGAGCAGTGTGGTTCTGTTACAATATGAGCTCTGCATGTAGGGTGTAATCACATTATTAGCATTAACATTTTATTCAAAATTCTCAGCAGTCTTCTTTACTGAGAAGTTTGGCATACATTTTTACATATCTAAGCAGTTCTTGGGAATGGTAAATAGTTTATTTTACTTCATTTTAAGTTGTTTTTAATGTTGGAAATGTTGAAAACCTTATTTTAAGAGGATTGTTACTTATGAAAATTAAGTTGTGGACTATGATATATAATTTATTAGGGAATAATAATGTTACATATTGTGTAAAAATAACATTATAAGTATTTTAAATACATATAAGTTTATTATATTATGTATTAATATTGTTTAATGTCTGAGACGTAAGATGATGATGATAATATATTGTTATAAAATAGCACACTAATTGTTATTTTGTATAATAATTATTAGTATTAGAAGTGGTGTTGTTATTATTACAATACTATTACTATAAAAATAATATTGCAATACTAAAAGAAATACTAAAACTACTATAAAAAGAAGGCATATGATGCTTAACCGGTAATGTTTTGTTACAGATTTATGCATATATTTTCTCTTTCACCAAAGAGTTGCTGTTATTTGTGTTTTACTTTTATTCCATAGCACTTCTGATCATATCGGAAGCTTATTGTGTTCATGTTTTGTTACGCTTTTTGTGTTTATTTAATAAAATCATATATGATGTAAATGAAAAACAAAAGTCGTTCGTCGTCGCTCATTGCTGTTGTGCACCAGATGGCGGTAGTGACGTGATGAGCGAACTGTCCGCTGGGTATTCGAAGAAGAGTCAGTAGTAGCAGCTGCCCAGCACGGAGGCAGATTATTTCTGGCACGAAACACGGATAAGAAAGCATTTCTTCGGATCTTTCAGCCGTTCAAAGTGTTATCTTAACGCCTCTCTGTTTGGTGTTTTTTATAAAACTACTAAAATAACACCTGGGAGTCGTATATATCTTACATTTAAAGTAGCGTGAAGCCTTCTGAAAAGATGGCGACAGCAGACGACTCGCGCTACTATAATGGTAAGTTTGAGCCGTTAACAAAAGCTCTCGCGTCCATTTCAATGCCTTCACATTGGTATAGTTGGATTAAGATTATACACAGTCATACTACGTCCCAGAACCTGTTTTCTCCTTCTCTGTATTCTCCAGCTGTGTTGCGTTAGGATTTACATAAGTTCATCTAGCCAGCTAGCTTATTTGTAAGTCGCCGTTGTGTTTTTGTTGTATGAGCTGATTTTGACCAACGCTAAACGCATTGTCTTAATTCATTTAGCCGCATTTTGCCGTATTTATTGGAATTTCATAGAAATTATTGAGCGGGATGAACTGGCCACATGGTGGTAATGCGTGTTGAGCTCGTGTTGAACTTATGTGGTATCGTATTGACTAACCTGAAGCAATGATGTCGAGACCCTAATGCTAACAAAAGAACCCAAAGGAGCCCTTTTGGCAGGTTAACTCTGTGTACTCTGACTATTTGCCATAAAAACACTCAGAAAAATAGTTTGTGTATTTAATTAGACACTATTGAATATGTTTACAAAGTTATACAAATTTATCAACGATTATTTGTTGTATTGTGAGAGGCAATTAAAGGCATAGTTCACCCCAAAATGAAAAGCCTGTCATCATTTACTCGCCCTCCTCTAGTTTTAAACCTCTTTCAGTTTCTTTCTTGTTGAGTTCAAGGTTAGATATTAAAAATACTTGTATTATAGTGTATTTGTTCCTGCTATGAAAGCCAACTTTTTTCCAACTTTTCCCATAATATCTTGTTTTATGCTCAAGAGTGGAGAGAAATTCATAAATGTTTATAACCATTTGAGTGTGTAAATGAGAAAATGTTTACGTGAACTACCTCTTAACATATATTAGTTGCACATAATATAAGAGCTATAAACGCATAATACTAACTGTACTTGCTTAAAATCATGTAAACACAAGCTTCTATGATATCTCAGTAATAAAATGTCCTTTGTATATTTATATTAAATAATTGAGAGCTATTAAGCTATAAGTTTTAAATTTTAATAATATGTGCATGATTACAATTTCTAAAGAAAAAGCATAAACGCATTAAAACTGCCACTATAATATATCTAAAAATATAATGAATAAAATAAAGGTATAAAATTTTTTCCAAAGTGGGATAATCTGTTTTACTATTGTAAATAGTGTATAGTCAGGATAAGCAAACATTCTGTTCATTTTAGTGCATTTTCTGCTGAGCTTTTAACAGGCTTAATTTTTGAAAATAAAATATATTTTTTTAACAGACTAGCTAGCCAGACTGGATTTATTACTTTGCTATTTAATTCTGGAAGTGTGTGTTTGGTTTTAAGGTGAGAAAACATAAGCAGAACAATGTTTTTCACTTGTCCACTTGTGCTCCAATCAATCAAAACACATACTAAATGGTAGATCACCACAAAATGAAAATGCCTCATCATTTACTCTTCCACCATATGGTTTTAAACATCTTGAGTTTCTTTCTTCAGTTGAACACAAAAGATGTTTTGAAGAATGCTGTTTGCAAGGATTCATAATCTTCAATAGTAGGAGCAAAAATTACCATGGAAGTCATTGGGTTTTGTCAACTTTAAATGGTTTAGGTGTAAACACGTTTTTTTTTTTTTGTTTTTTTTTTTTTTTGTTTGTTACAGCAAAAAAAGTCTACATTGTAGACCATTTTCAAATGCTGATTCTTGCACTTGTTATATAGTTAGCACTAGGCATGGGCCGGTATAAGTTTTGGACGATATGATATCCTTGGATAAATATACCACAGTTTGAGTTTGACTACAGCTCCAAAATGTTTTTTTTTATGTCCGAGTAAACAAACAATTTTTTTCCCCCATTGAATAAAATTTCTTTTATTTTAGGAAATATTTATAATATTTTGAAACCGTAAACATGTCAAGCTAAATAATTAAAATAAATCATTGATTTCTGCTGTCTTCATTCATTGATTTCAAAAACACGTTTTTATTGACAACACATTAAAAAAAGGTGAGAAAAAAAATACATAGACCTTATAACAGAAAACTTTGTTTTGAAACCTCGACTTTTCCAAATCGCTGTAAATCTTGAAACCAGTTATCTTCCCATGGCTAATTGGCACATTTGTTCAAGGATTATGACACATCAGTTGTGTTTGTTAATGACACGTTCACACCTCTGACTCTTTCATCCTTCAGAGCATGATGACCGTGTTGGTGGACCAAAGCATCGCAACCGTAAAGGCAGAGGCCCTTTCAGAGCCCCCTTGTACAGTGATCAGATGTCTCGTCCAAGGCATCGAGGAGGTCACAGCGGGGGAGGTGGAGGAGGAGGAGGTGGCGGCCCTGGCCCCCGGTCAAGACTTCATGATGATGATGGAGACGTGACCATGTCTGACATCCCTCAAGACAGCTCGCAGCGCAGATAGTAAGCACTTGTGGATGCGGAATTCTAATTTTATTTGTGCGATGATCAAGTTAACGTTTCATGCTTTCTTGTAGTAATCCATATGGCAGACAACAAAACCGTCGTGATGACCGCAATCGCAAAGGTGGAAGAGGAGGTGGTGGAAATGACGATAGAGGTGGCAACCGATTTGGAGGCAGAGGAGGAGGAGGGGGCGGCGGTGGAGGACCATCTGATGGAAGAAGCAAGAACTGGTTTAAAATGACGGTTAGTGCATTACACATTAATAACACATGAGATATGCTTTTACAATCATGCCAATGCTTTGAAGTACTTCTAGTTAAATTAAAGAATGAAGAAGTGTTAATTTAAACATTTTAAAAGTGCTTTTGACACTTTAAGTTCCTAGAGGGCTGCAGCCCTGCACATTTTAGTTTCAACCCTGCTTATCAGTAGGTTCAAGCCTGAAGGACTCAATTAGTTTGATCTAGTGTGTTTAATTGGGGTTAAAGTTAAACTGTGCAGAGCTGAGGCACCTGTTTGACACCTGTGTCTTAAAACAACCTACTGTATAAAGTTGCAAATAAATCAACGTGACTATACTTGCAGAGGTTTGTCAAATATCAACATGGCTACTATCAGATGTTTGCATATTCATTAACGTATTTATCTAAACACCACACTAAGTAATGTGAGCTACATTGGATTGTTCATTAACAATATGCTGCTCGTGGTATTGAAAATGTCTTTTTACCAATGAATGGTGATCAAAAAAAAGAATTTTAGTTTAGTGGGGTCTTTGGTTTTACTTAAAACTTGATAATCATCTTATTTGCATATTATATTGTTACACATTATTCTGTGTATTTGTTTTTGTCATTGGCTCACTCTTGCTGTTTGTGTGTTGTGTGTAGTTATTGTTAAACAAAGTGTGATATAAATAAACTGTCATTATCGTTGTCATATATTGTGCTTATGTTTGACCACAGATTCCTTATGGGAAGAAATACGATAAAGACTGGCTTCTTTCTTCACTTCAGAGTGTCTGTCCCATACCATTCCATGCCATTCAAGTAAGTCAAGAATTTTCTCTAAAATGTTTTAATAATCAGATGACTTGCTAAATGTAATTTTTTTACTTCTCTTGGAAATAGTATCATCTGGATGGGAACAGGGCCCAGTTTTATGTTGAAGACTCTACAACCGCTAACGCTATATTTAAAGTTTCACGTAGAATAACGGACAAAGATGGATATAAGGTAAAATATACTTTCGTTACACTAAATGCATCATAAATAACTAGAAGATGACAGAAATCCCATTATCATTCAATTGAAGTGCATCTACAGTAAGATAAAGAAATATTTGTTATTTTAAAGATCTGTATAAGAATTTTAGTTCAGTCCATGTACTTAAGAGTTTAACTTGATGCCAATCTTTGATGGACAGGTGGCTGTTATTATGAACAGCTGCCCCCCACCCACTTTAATTCACTCTGATCTGAAGCCTGCAGATCTTGAGCATTTGAAGGTAAGTGATTGTTAAAACATCTTATTGATTTTCATTTAGATGATTTATGGATTATTTATTATTTCCTGTAACTATAATTTGTTGTTTGCAGCAATGCATGGCCAAACGATTTGATGGATCACAGCAGGCTCTTGACCTGAACAACATCAGGGTCGATCCAGGTTTGCATTTTTCATTCTTTCTCCACTTAAATGTGTTTATTGGGTTTGACTTGTTTTTGTTTCTCATCAGTTTTCTTCTTTTTCAACAGATTTGGTTTCACAAAATATTGAGGTTACCTTGAACCGGAAAAACTCCATGTGTGCGGTCATTAAGATTATTGAGGAAAACATTCCTGAGGTACAAGATGTCTCTCAAAAAGTTCAAGAATGTACAACTTTTGTTTTTTGCTTTTTAAGTTTTGGGTCAGTTTGACTTTGAATTGATACTTAAAATTAGTTAAGAAATGTATGATGTTACAAGCATAGCTTTGTTACAAAACTTGTAACAAATCCTTTTCATTAAATATGGTTTCTACAAAAGTGTTAAGAAGTGCAACCATTTTCAACACCTAGAAGAAATCGTTCTGCTCATGATATTAGGGTATAGAATTATTTCTGAAGCATCACAAAACAAGACATTTTGCAATAACAGGGAGAGATGATATTTAAATTGTAGATTATTAAATGTTCGAAAAACAAAAAGGTTATTTTTTATTATAATGTCTGATTTAATAAACAAACAAACATGGCTTTAAGCTTTTACAAAGGCATTGAAAAAAACAATCATACTGAACGTAAATATGTGTGCATAACTCATAATGTTTTTCTTTTACCCCATTCATAGCTGGTTTGTCTAAACCTAAGTAACAACCGGTTATTCAGGCTGGATGACCTGGTGGATATTATCCACAAAGTTCCCAACCTAAAAATTCTCAATCTGTCACACAATGAGGTATGAATGTGCTCTCTGATGCCTGTAGATTTATCTTGCTACCTGTAATTCTTTCAGTCATGTGTCATTGTTTCATGTTTTAGCTGAAGACAGAAAGAGAACTTGATAAGCTAAAGGGTTTGAAGCTGGTGGATCTCTCACTGGAGGGAAATCCTTTGTGTCACCATTTCAAGATCCATGCTGACTACATCAGGTTAGTCTTACGTGCCATTTATTGTCTGGTGAAGATTAAGCCAGAAAAATACTATACACAAGTACATCGATGCCAACACTTACGAACATGTGCTCTTACATTACTTAACAGAAACAAGCCTCGATACTTTAATACCTTAAACTGTAGAGGCTGATCTGAGAGAGAAACATTTAAAATTTGCTAAGATTGCAACACATACTTATGAATTGCAGTTTAAACTATTCGAGAACACAATCTTGCACAGTTAGTGCGTCTGCGTTCAAGTACTTGCGTAGAGTGTGTTTCAGGTCTGAAATAGAATAGTTGTGTGTTTGTGCACTCGTACAGATGAATGAATGAATGCATGCCTATACATACACCACCTGTAAGAACAACACATAACAAATAAAGGCCTTGGTGTACTTCAGACGAAGGTCTTTTTCATTCTTGGTTTGAAGTATACCAGAGCCGTAATGCTGGAAGGGGGTGGTTGTGTTTTGTAAAATACACCCAAAAAGCATGTCAGTCACTAACTCTATTATAGACAACAGACGAATGTGTTGTGTATGGAACATTTTAACATTCATCAGTTGAATATTGCATTTTATTATTATTATTTTTTCTTTTCTTTCTGGATGAACCACTGCCCACCAAGGCAGAGATAAAGAAAATGTCCTTTTTTATCATTGCAGTTGTTTTTGTAATCATTGCATGTTATAAAACGGAAATCATAATTCATAAGTCCCACCCCTTTGTACTTCTGGTCATTCAGCCCTGTCTGTAACGTGCAGGTGTTTTAATCCTGCAAATAATTCTTCACTACTTCAACCATCAGGCATATGATAATAATATTCATATGTTCACGTTCAAGTGGCAACCCAGTAAGAATAAATTTTTCCTAATTTTTTTTTTTATAGACTTCACACTTGCTTTGCTTCATTCTTGCTTCATTTCGATCCTATTCTCTGCCCTCACACTGTTGGCCCTGTAGCTTTTTGCACAGACGAAATGTCATCGCCTAAAATTTAAGTATATAATTCAGTTACATTACCTCATAGTTCAGTAGTCAATTCAAAAAGTTCAGCAGCTTCAACATGTGACCTCCCAGAATGCCTATGGATAAGTTTCTTAAAGGACAGAACGTACTGCTGGAAATGATGCTCTGTAAAGTACATTTGTCCTCCACCTTTCCAAAACGCCGGCACCCTCCTCCCTCCCACCCGCCCTGCACATGTGACACCTGAAGCACTGCTAGTGCTGCGTGGCCAGTGAGAGGCTGGTTAGTCAAAGACGGGTAAGATCCCAACTTTGAGCATGGGACAACCTAAGGCAGGCACAGCCGCAAAACTGGCCACAGCCAACGATTCGAAGATAAAGAAGACTGGAGTGAAGAAGACGAGATGTTCCAGAGGAGATGCTGCGGGTGGAGAAGGAGAGGGGAAGGTTTTTAAGAGTGACCTTGAGCCGAGCTCTGCTCCATAATGCGAGCTTTGTTGCATGGTGAATAATGAGAGGCAGTTCTCTCGCTGTTTGTGAATTCAAACTGAGGTGGAGGATAGTTGGTCAGATTGACCTTTTTCACGATCTTCGTCCTAGAGCATGTTGAAGGAAAAAATAAAGCATCAGATCTACAATCCTGCAAAGGCAAAACGCTGAGAGGAAAATACTGGAGAGGATCACAGGAACAGCTTTGAAATATTTCAATTTAAAAATAGATTACTAATTAGATTACATGGGAAATTGTACCGTAAGCTGTCTGGGCTCAAATAAAGCTTTGATTAATTGCTTGAATAAATACCCTGCCGTTCTTAATTTTAATGGTGGGGTCCAAATTAAGTAGACCAAATAGCCCATACAGCTTTTATAGTGTATTTTACTGTTTGTATTATTATGATCTGTTCAAAAGCTCAGGGTTCAACAATTGTGACGTTCTGGTTTTATATTCATTAACTTTTGTTAATTTATTTTTAACAAACCTTCTTTTAAACCCTCTCTTTTGGTGTTGTTTCATACTGTATGGCTGTGCGTTTGCTGTCTTATTACTGGATAATGCTTAATTTAGTACACTAGTGCCCAAACACACTTTTTGTGTGTGTTTGTATGGCTGAATTTCATCAGTTTTACTTTTAAATGAGAAATTCATTTATTGATCTTTTAACAATTAAAATAAATTCCCTCCCTTAAACTAGCAACTATGAGCACCATTTTTCTTTTGTAACTGCCATCTTGAATAGATTTCTTGAACATAGTTTTGTCATTAGTCATTCAAAACATCATTTGCAACATTTTAAGAAAATGTTTGCAACCTAAAAAAAAATTGTCAGTGCCTGATGCTGTTTGATAAAAATAAATGAGTTTTGCTGATAAGTAACACCAGCATGACCAGATTATAGCATTCATATATCAAACAACGTACTCTTTTTGCTAAATGTGTGCCAAAAAAAAAAAGCGAAGCAAAATAAACAAAACAAATACAGACAGAGCGACTGACTGACTGATGGTGTGAATGTTCACCAAACTCTACCCCTCACAACACCCCACTGCCCCCATCCTTTGCCAGCCTGCGTGTGTCTGTTCGACCTGTAGGGGCACCAGTGGTGAGTATTGTGATTGGGTAAGTACCATGTGCCGGGGGCGGGAGGGAGCTGAAACAAGGCTGTGATTGGCTCATTGGTGCTCTGACTCAAACGCTTGTGTTTTTGTCATTTTTATTAGTACAAGACATACTTGATGGGTTATTGAGGAAATCTTGAGCTATTTGTTCAACTTGAAAGGAATGGTTTATGTTTGTTGGTTAAAGACACTACTGTTGAAATGTTTGAGGTTAGTAGTTTAAAAAATTATGTAAATGTCATAGTAAAGACTTAAATTAATAATTTCTATTTTGAATAAATGCCTCTTGTTGCTTTCTGATCATCAAGACTTTCAGTAAAAATATCAAATGTTTTTTGTTAATGATAAAACTTTCTTGAGTAGCAAATTGGCATGTTATTTATTAAGTATTGTGTGACACTAGCTACGTTTCCATCCAAAAATGCAAATTAAACTTATGTGCATAAGAAGCGTTTTCATCCAAGTGGTCAAAGAGAACAAAATTCAGCCACTTCCTGATTAACTGACGCCAAATATCAACAGTAAAAACTAAATTTGCTGCAGGATAAGCTGTGTGAATCTTTTCTTTATATAATAAATGACCTCAGAAGACAATGTAACACGCAATGAATGTGTGGTGTTTGTTGGCGTCAGACGTGGAGCACAGATGTTCTTGCCAATTATTGAGGTAATTAATAATTTAATAACACTAAAACTGTTGTTTTAGAATGACTAAAAGAACAGTTCAGATGTTTTACAATGTGCTCAGCCTGCTGGTTTGTCCATTCACAAACATTTTTATAATCACATTTTCTTATAACAAAATCACATGACACTTTATTTTTATTTTTAATTAATACTTTAATTTGTTCAGTAAAAGTGTTTCCATCGTAGTTTATGCGCATCTTGTCAAATAAAAAGTTTATCCTACTCTGTTATACTTGTATGTTTTTTTATGCACATTTTCAAAATGTATGCACAGCTTGGCGTTTCTATCAACTGATTTTTGTGTATATATTTTTTATGCACATATCCAAAATCCACATAAAAATAGGTGAACGGAAACGTAGCTACTGAAGCTTTGCCATCATTTTGCCAAAGAATATGAATTTTAAAATAGATTAAAATTAAAATGTTTTGAAGTATTTCAGTTATTGCTATTGTTTTAGTAGAAATTAATGCAGCCAAATCACACCAGCCTCATCTTTTGAATGGTAGTGTACATTAACGTCTGTGTGAAAGTTCACAGTATCACAATATCTCAAGCCTGATGGATAATTATCTGTAAGTAAATGTTTTCTCTGATTACTGAACACTTAAGATGCCCCGGCTCAAGTTTTTGGGTGTTCATGTGGGATATTTCAATGACGCATATGTGTCTCGTACTAACTCACTTTTGTTCTGTCTTTGTGATTGTTGGACAGTGCCATTCGGGAACGATTCCCCAAGCTGCTCAAACTGGTAGGAAGTCCCCTGTGTTTAACTATTGGTGTCGCTTTGTTGTGTGCTAACTTGAACATGCAATCATGTTCATCCTAATTGTACTTTATGCTCATTTCTTGGTTTTTAACAGGATGGACATGACCTTCCACCTCCTATTGGTTTTGACTTGGATGATGGTCCATCCACTCTTCCACCTTCCAAGGTTTGTACTAGTTTTGATACATTCTTCATTTTTGAGCAAGCCACAGTTGACTTCCATACTTAATCTCTGTCTTTTATTGTGAACACAGGCAAGCTACTTCTGCTCTGAGGAAATCAAAAACATCATCCTTTGTTTCCTGCAACAGTATGTATATGTGGGTCTTTATAAATTAGTTTTTGTCAAAGTAAAACGTTCAAACATCTGTCTCATTGTTTAGGTTTTACAACGTATATGACTCGGGAAACAGACAGCCACTGCTGGACGCCTATCATGACGGAGCCACTTTCTCCCTTAGCATTCCCTTCGTTTCCCTGAACCCCTCAAAGTATGTTATCATTTTTTCAATCATCACTTTTTTTTTTCTTTTTTCTAATAAACCATATAATCTGGTGTGCCATCATTTGGCATGTTTTTGAGTGTTTTTCTCAATCTGTGTCTGCAGAAGTACTTTAGGGGAGTATCAGAAAGACAGTCGCAATATCAAGCGCATGAAAGACCCTAGTAAGTAAATACTGAATACATCTTTACACTACATCTTTCATTTCTGTTTTGTAGGTTCTATGGCTTCACTATAATATATTTAATTAACATGGTCTAAAATAACACCAATTGCTTTAAAAATATGATATCTATATATTATTATTACTTTCATTTTTGTAACTGGCCATTAAGCTGTGTGTGTGTTGTTTAATTTTAGAATGGGGAAGTTAGGATACACAATCTAAATTGTCACATTGTAAATGTGAACTGGGTTGATGGACATGTATGACCGTTATGCACAGAGTTTTAAGACGCCTTGTAAAGTGGAACTAACTTCAACTTTTACACACATCGCCATTCATCAGTGTCATGCCTAGTTCAGACTGCATGATTCTAGCCCTGATTTTGACTCGCCGACAGGTTTTGAAAAAGCGCAGACAAATGCCTGAAATCACTGGCCAATTTGTGCTCATTCACCTGAGTACCAATCCCACAGTGTGAACTATCAAAGATGTGATCTGAGAGAATTGCAGATGAGTGGCTGATGCCAGATAAATATTTGGAGCTGATGCTGATTCAAAATCATTCTGTGTGAAATGTTCTGATTAAAAATAACATCTGCAATTAACTACAGCCAATGAGAGAGCAGCATCCACTAGTATGTGTATCTGCAGGTCAGCGGGATGTTGGGAGAAGTTAAAAGGGCCTATTTTCAAGAAATATAGGAAAAACTTTAGAAATTTTGCAGGAGCACCCGTATGTTTGACTTGTCATGTGAGCAATATCACAACTGGGTCGAATAAGTTAAATTGCTAATTACCGTTAAAAGCTAGTTGAGCAAAATAAGTACATTTTCTACCCTATTAAAGGCCTTTTTCTCATTATGTAGTTAATAACAAAATATTACTACGTGACCTGGCGTTGTTTCCATGTAACTTCTCGCAGCTGTTTGGTTGTGAGATGTAGTTTGCGGACTGAGACAAAGTTGTTGGCAATTCTCCCTATTTTAAAGTCATGCGGTGTGAAGCTGACGCTGATATATCTTGCAGTGTAAAAAAAGCAGTGGCGGAATGCTACCCCCAATAGTCATGCAGTTTGAAAACGTCAGTGACACGACTACTTTGAGAATTGTGCAGTCTGAACTCGGCATTAGCTGCAATGCAGTGGACCAATCAGAAAAAAAACTTGAATGGACAGTACAGGTGCTTATAGAGGCTGTGTCTGGATCCCCTTGTGCACTATGCTATATATATATATATATATATATATATATATATATATATATATATATATATATATATATATATATATATATATAAATATATAAAATTATTATTATTTTTCCCCAAGGCATTTTTAGATGTGTACTTATTTAGTTTTGTACATGCCCACTCAAATTAAGTGTTTGGCAGGTGTTCATGTTAGACCGTGAATAAAAATACTCACCCCCTATTTTTTTTTTACCACAATTTGCCCAACTTTGTTGAAACAAATTTTGTCTACAATATTTTAACAAATGTTACCACATGTTTAGTATCTGTTTTTTTAAAACTCTATTGACCATTTTTATTTCAGCAACACGATACCGTTTGATCAAACACACACGATTGAATGTGGTGGCTTTCCTGAATGAACTTCCCAAAACACAGCATGACATCGCCTCATTTGTCGTTGATGTCAACACCTACACTGTGAGTGCAGCTTTCCACGTTGTTAGTATGTTTCGTATTTCATATTAAGGTATGTAGTTTTTATTTCCGCCTTTTATTGTTCTCAGGCTACACTGTTGGCATTCACAGTCTGTGGAGTTTTCAAAGAAAGTAAGTTCCTTAATTTTAAATCCTTCAGAGTGTGTGTGAGCTGTGTGATCCACAACCTAATTTTTTTGCTCTTCTCCCTTTAAAGTGGATGGAAAGTCCAGAGAGACCTACAGAGCCTTTTCCCGGGTGTTCATTGCTGTTCCTGCAGGAAGCACTGGGTAAGTCTGAAAGTCTCATTTGTTTGATTTTTAAACACATGGCTTTAGTTTGAATATCAGTGTAACTTTAACCTGTTTTCAACCTTTCAGTCTGTGTATTGTGAATGACGAGCTGTTCGTTCGAAACGCCACAACGGAGGAGATTCGCCGCGCATTCGTCGCTCCAGCACCCACGCCATCCAGCAGTCCTGTGCCCACTCTGTCTGCCCACCAACAAGAAATGCTTGCTGCCTTCTCACTGAAATCCGGAATGAACCTTGAGTGGTCTCAAAAGTAAGGGCTCAGTTAATTACTGGATTGTTGTAGAGTCATATAAAGTTGGACTGAATGTTTCTTTTTATTCTTTTAATCAGGTGCCTACAAGATAATGATTGGGATTTTGAAAGAGCCGCTCAGATCTTCACAGGCCTCAAGGTAAGCCAGTATCACTTGCTTATGATTCGCACAAAGATAAATAAATGAACATCCTGTGTTTATAGTACTTTGTCTTTTACAGGCACAAGGAAAGATCCCAGATGTTGCGTTTGTGAAATGAGTTCATGTTGAAGCTTTTCCAGAAACCATGAGGTGCTTTTCAGATTCTGTCCTCCTCGAATATTTTTTTTTCTTTTTTGTATAATTCTTGTTTTTCTGATGGAAAACGTTCTCCACAAAGGAAATAATTCGTTTACAGAGCAAAAATATGAGACAAATAAGGAAAAATAAAAGTTGAGTGAAGACAAATAGTGACTCAGGAAGACACTAAGACAATGTTTTTCCTCCTTATGTGAATAATTTCTCCCCTCACCAACTCTGCGGTTCGATGTTTCCTTAAGTTTTAAATTGTCGTGTCCAATAGGGGACAGTTGTGGCAAATAAAGTACACGTACATTGCTTGTGTTTTGTAAAATAAATATTAATTATGATCTTACGTTGTTCAAGACTGAAAGTATTTTACTGTCTATCTACAGTTGAAAAGGAAAATATAACACTTCAGTTCAGTTGAATGTGTCCGTTTGTAAAATACTGTGAATATGCTGTCATAAATCGTACCTCCGTTCTTTTACTCTGTGCCCCTTTTATTGTTATTACTGCAAGAAATCATCAAATTGGATGCAGTCATGAAGAAATATTTATTGCTGCTTGGGTAAATACTATAGGTTACAATACGTAACAGTCAGAATGAAAAGATTTGTGCGGTTTACAGCCAAACTTGTGCTTTGTTCCCACATTAAAATACGAAGGAATTAATTACTGCTCTTAGTAAACATGTTTTCACATGGGTTTTTCCACAACATAAGCAATAGTGTTGTCAGTGTTACATATCTGTATTTTTTTATTACGATTGGGCAGTCTGGTTTATGACTAGAGAGTGACTGATGAATTGGTTGTAAGCTGGATGTAGCTCTTTAGACCTCAGCCAGAAAGTTTGATGCCAGGCTGCAGGTCAGGCCAGTCCCATCAGGCTCCACGCTGAGCTTAGTCACCACTCCATTTTCAATCAGCATGGCATACCTGCACACAAGCAACCAATCAGGATTGAGAGAAAGAACTGAGAATGTCACTTCCCCATGAAAATGAGACTGAATTTCACACTTGTATGCTGTTAGTTTGTTGTCCATCTCGCTTATAACAGGAGTGATTGTGGACATTTTGAAATCTCAATACGAGGCTTCTTGTTTCTAGTGTTAACTGTGCAAAATTATTCTGCTTTATGTATTTACATGCTCTTACCTGTTCAACTGCTCATTAATACAAAATGGCCTATGGGGTACTACTACAGTGATCAAAATATGAAATTGCTTGTGACTTTTATAAAGTGTTTGCTCTCATAAACTGGAATCCTCATCTCAAGAAATTATTGAGACTATCTCAAAGTTAATTTCCTGAATATTTGTGGAGTAGTCCGAGGTTTAAAGTCAATCTGACCTAACTACTGCAGTTCATAAGGATTCTCTGTATCAACACAAGGGGGGTGCCAAACCAAAAAAATGATTGCTAAAACTATCATAACGCTTCAAATATCTTTGCTAAATTCCAAATACATCTGTATAAGCTCAATCTGTGGTCAAACTAAAAATAATGGAGACAAGCCCCTTATTTTTACTTTGACCATACTAAAGCGTGATTGCTTTATTGCATACTTAGAACTCTACAATCTTTGATCTGATTGACCAGAAATTTGGCATGTAGTGTATTTTGTCCAATGTACTGCTAATATCCAAGAGGGCCATGACATATCCAAAAAACATGGCTGCTACTACTTATGAATTAAGCACCTATTAGTAGGCCTACATGGAATCTGCACCCACATTTTTCAATATTTATTCACTTATTTAAATGTGTGTAAATATATATTTACTCTGTTTTTATATGAATTTTATTTTTAATTAATATGCAAATGTTTAGTTGATTTATGTACAGCACAACTTGTAATTTTCCAATGCCTTTTAGTGGATATATTATATGAGAGCTACTGTGATTTTTGTTTTGCCAAATATGGGGTTCATATGGGATTGTAAACCTTATTAACTAGTCAGCTCTTAACTATTTTGAGTACAATAATTTCATGATGTCTATAACAATTAAAACCTCTTAAACTCTGCTAATTGGTGCTTGAATATATTTCCTCTAGTCATATTCCCACAGCATCTCACACATCGACAGACAGTGGCTTTCTCTTGGGTCATGAAATAAAGTTGACTCAAGGGAGGGAGATGTTTTGTTCTGGGAGGCGGTCACCTCACCTTTGAGACCTCAAATTCCCAAGCACCGGGATCAGTTGAGCATTGTTTAGGACAAGATCCACAGCCTGTGAAGAAAAACATTATACATGTGGTCACATATATACATCTAATCTTGTATTATTTCAAGCTTCGTGCTGATTTTTATCTATAAAATGTTTAGAAATGACTTCTCATGAATGAAGGTGTTTCGAGAGCAAATCTGACCTTAGTGAAGGCTCCTGTGGGATCAGCCAACATCCGCACCTAGAATACATCAAGCATTTAATGACTCACTAGATGAATCCATTCAGACACAAGTTAGACTGTGTTTTAGTCTAAATCAGCAATGTTAAATAAGGGTGGAGAGCTTCCCCACCTTGCCGTCTGCTCCGTTCTGTTTTCCCCAGGCGGACATAACAAACACATCATTAACAGAAATGCATGCAACCTCATCCACACCTTTGGCCCTCAATTCCCCAGCCATCTGTATGAAGCCTGGGAGATGAGTCTGAGAAAAACACAACACACAATTCATCTTTATTAATCTTTCACACATTTGTTATTTGTTCTGGGATCATTTGAGTGTTGTGTTTCAGGCCTGGAATCATGTATCTGTGTAACCTGGTGCACTGTGTGAAGCCCTTAAAGAGCTGCTATTTTGGCTTATGAAGGGTTATATTTCGCATTTTGAAGTCCCAAGCAACAGGATGATATGTATGCAAGGTTAAACACATATTCAATATCTTATTTATTTATTTTGCCTCCTTTTCTCAACTACTCTCATATGAATCATCCCAGCGACTCTTTTTACCCAAGCCCCTCCTTTACGTGAAGCTAACTTGCAGTGATTGGATGTATGACCCAGTCTTTTATGATTGGTGTACTGAGCAATGCTACGCTTTCTTATATTCTAGTGTTAAAGATCGCAATTAACATCATATATGTAGCTTTAGGTTAGTTGAGATTCAAAAGTATGCATTAAAGCTGTGTTTCTCAACCATTTTCCTGAAGGACCACCAGCTCTGCACATTTTCCATGTCTCCTTAACCAAACACACCTGATTCATATCATCAGCTCATTAGCAGAGGCTGATAGACCTGTAATGGGTGTAACAGATAAAGGAGACATCCACAACATGCAGGGTTGGTGCTCCTACAGGAACATGGCTGAGAGACAGAAATATTATTGTTTTACATCAAATTGGGAAATTATAATTGGCTGACCTGTTAAAAGTGACCCTGCAGTTTAAAATTAAAAGCATTATTTTAATGAAATTCCACAGAACTTAATGTCAACTTTCACTAATTATATCCTAAAACTAAACTGTTTAATCCTCATAATGCATCCAGGTTTGTTTTGATTCGTTCTTAAAAACAATATTTTTACTAACTAAATGCTTTTAACAATTATTTTTAAGTGATATAGTCTTAAAAAAAAATCATATTGTGTGTGTTTTCAGGTATTTTTTTATTAGGATATGCATAGAGAGCTTTTTTGTAAAACTGACTATGAAGTATTGCTGTCCCTAAAAATGATCAAATCTTATTTCCCCATATCTGACATAGGAAAGTATTCATGAGTCATTTTAATGTGGTTTTTATATCATTAATTAATATGAAGGTTTCATAAATGTGTATCATCTTGAGTGAAAAAAGAAGAAAATCCGTTTATTCCAAAGGCATTATTACTGGTTCATGTAATACACTCACTGGCCACTTTATTAGGTACACCTGTCCAACTGCTTTTTAACCCGAATTTCTAATCAGCCAATCAGATGGCAGCAACTCAGTGCATTTAGACATGTTCAAGACAATCTGCTGCAGTTCAAACCGAGCATCAGAATGGGGAAGAAAGGTGATTTAAGTGACTTTGAACGTTGCATGGATTTTGCTGCTAGAGGTTAGAGGAGAATGGTCAGACTGGTTCCAGCAGATAAAAAGGCAACAGAAACTCTAATAACCACTTGTTACAACCGAGGTATGCAGAAGAGCATCTCTGAATGCACAACACGAGCCTTGGGCTACAGCAGCAGAAAACCACACCGGGTGCCACTCCTGTCAGCTAAAAACAGGAAACTGAGGCAACATTCGCACAGGCTCACCAAAATTGGACAATAGAAGATTGGAAAAACGTGGGCTGGCCTGAAGAGTCTCAATTTCTGCTGCAACATTCGGATGGAAGTGTCAGAATTTGGCATCAACAACTTAAAAGTATGGATCCATACTGCCTTGTAATAACGGTTCAGGCTGCTGGTGGTGTAATGGTGTGGGGGATATTTTCTTAGCACACTTTGGGTACATTAGTACACAATGTCAACGCCATAGCCTACCTGAGGATTGTTGATGACCATGTCCATCCCTTTATGACCACAGTGTACCCATCTTCTGATGGCTACTACCAGCAGGATAACGCACAATGTCATAAAGCGGGAATCATCTCAGACTGGTTTCTTGAACACGACAATGAGTTTGCTGTACTCAAATGGCCTCCACTGTCACCAGATCTCAATCCAATAGAGCACCTTTGGGATGTGGTAGAACTAGAGATTTGCATCATGGATGTGCAGCCGACAGATCTGCAGCAACTGCGTCATGCTATCAAGTCAATATGGAAAAAAAATCTCTGAGGAATATTTCCAGTTTCTTGTTAAATCTATGCCATCAAGGATTAAGGCAGTACTGAAGGCAAAAGTAGGTCCAATCTAGTACTAGAAAGGTGTACCTAATAAAGTGGCCGGTGAGTGTGTAATATAATATAATACAAATAAAACTTATTACCAGTATTGAAAAAAACTAATGTTATAATTAAAACAGCGATTCTGAACGGGAAACAAGATTGTGAATGTTTGAGGTTTTTTTTTGTAATAACTTTCACTTCCTCTTTCAACAACACGAAGGGAACTTCTCAAATGATGTTTACTAGCATGAGGGCGGGATCAGCTAGCCACCCACATGAGATCCGCCAATAGCAAACCACAATGCTTCAACTATGCATTCCAGATGCACCAAAACCCAGCCCTTGCCCTCGTTTAAGAAGTTTTACAGCTCTGTTGTGTCTGAATGTTGGTACCTTAGAGCAGCCAGGAGTGAAGGCTCCAGGGACGCCGAACAGCACTCCTCTTTTACAGCTGAAGAGTTCAGCCATTGAGAGGCTGTTTCCCGGGTCTTCCTCCTGCACCTCCACAGCTGGGAGACGCTGACCAACCTAAACAAGATAAGAAGAAACAATAACACATAAAACTGATCAGACAGATTAATTTCCTAATCCATTATTCAGTGGTGATTAAATTCATCACCTTAGAAACACAAACAACAAACAAGTTCTCTGATGACAGACGCAGTTCCCGTAAACCCAAGCCAATTTCAAAATCAAAAGTGACTTCATAATACAAATATAAGGTGTTCTTATGTTTATGTGACAAATAGGCAGAACTTTTTTTTATAAACCACCATTTTGAAGAAATATATATATATATTCATGTAGTTTGAAGTCTGGTGTTTGAGAAAATTACATTTTATTCATTCTTTGACTGTTTTTCTTCACTTTTACTGAACTGTACATTAAATATGTCCTAAGATGTGACAGCAAAAATGATGAGACACAACTCAGTCTTTACAGTCACATGAGCCTCATTGGTGTCCTTCAACTAATTACAGTTTTTAGCGGAATTGATGATTTTAAAGCTACAACTCAGGCTCATTCTGAAAACGTACCGATATGTACATTTCTGGAGAGCGCCATATATGTCCCAGAAGGTACGTTTTTTTGCAGTTTTTGTGTTCGCAAACCCACCAGAGGCTGCTGTGTACGCTTTTTGAGATCTCAAAATTCTCTTGAGAGTGCCATTCACACCTGCTGTTCTCTCGTAAATCCAGAGCGTGCTGTCGCCTGACAGACCGATCAACTGACCCACCCTCCTCCTGCCCTAAACTCAACCAATAGTGTTTTCAAAATAACAGATTGACCTGCCCAACCACTTCTCTATACCCAACTGACAATTTTAAAAAGCAATTCAGAAAAAGAAAAGCCCTCGCCTGATTTTTACCACATTTTCTTATTTTACCACATTCTTACCCTGTTATTAACTTGTTTTTTTTTTATTCTTTGGCTTATGTTTTGCATAATCACTTTCTGGAATAATTTTTCACTGGACTCAAACCCTGTCATTATGGTCAACTCCTCTCTGTGTCTCAAGTCTGCCGATGTACATGGTGAGCTACTGGACAAACTGGTAACAGCGGGAAAGCCGTCCAAACGGAGGTAAGCGCGAAAAGGTACGACATCATACCACCCCATATCAATCGTTTTAAAGATGAAATGCAGCCAGACATACTTCTTGCTAAACAATTCGCGATCTCCAAAGATGTATATAGGGCTACGTTTTCAGAATGAGCCTACGTTGTAAAATTAACTTAAGTGTCACACAAGAGGACAGGATTTTCAGTAACAAAATGCATCATGTTCCTATTCTTTAGAACTTTATGGATAAAAAAAATGAATCCTGTGAAATTAGGTATTTATTAGAGATTTTTTAAAGTAAAATAATTATAGAATATAATTTTCTTTTTAATTAATAAGAGTTGTGATTCATTTCACTATTCTATTAGATTTTCCTCAAAAATGTGAAAAAAATTTAAATGGCAGAAAATTGAGGGTTTTCATTAAATTGTTTAGATTTTTTCTATTTAAAACACAATACAGTGTTTTAATCATTACAGACTTTCAGAGGCTTTTTCTACAGTGTATTTGTTGTTGAACTGGATAATCAAGGAGCAGCACTTTGTCTAGGAACCATGAAAACTTGTTGATGACTCATATTAAACAAGGGCTCTTTCAAATCATGTGCCCTTACACTTACAGGAACTAATCTACCAAAAATAATTGATGTTTTTGGTCAAAACATTTATAATTATTTTTAGATACTGACTTGCGTTTTATAAATCACCAAGGACCACAGTTTCAGGAAAAAAAATCACTGAAAAATAAAAGTCACATCTTGGATTACACTTTTGAGTGAATTATTCCTTTAAGTATTACTGATTTCATTTTTTTTGTTCATCCATAATTCCGATTGCATTTACGGTTTAAAAAAAAATCAAACTAACATAATAAATATTGTTGACACACTTAAAACCACGGGTAATTCTTGTAAAGGGTGGGCAAAACCTAAACTTAACTAAATGAACCATATGTTCACAACACAAAACACCAAACCACAGTATTTAGTATACCCTGGTATGGATAAGTAGCAACTATATTTGGCAATGCACAATAAATGCTCTATATAAATACACATTACATTACAACGCGTCAAGCGCAAACAACGCCACATTCGAATCATTTGTTCATCAGTTGAATCCGTTAGCTACTAAACTGGTTAGTTGCATCGTTATTACTAGTGTAGTTGCGTCAGGCCCACAAATGTTTACAAATTGAGCTAAAAGCTGACTTTAACTGCGCGCTTAAACAAATCTGAATAAGGATCAGGAAAAGAAAGTGGACAAAAAAGTTGTAAAAACGCCGTCCCATTCAGCTCACGTTACAGCACACTTGTGCTTATGAAATGCGTGAAATAAAAACACTCATGGCCGCCACGCTTTCCCGGAAGCATCTAATGCGTTTATTTTAGGTACAGTGCGGCCAAAATAGCGCCAAGGTCATGCGCAAACGTCGCTTACGGTCCTGTCTGTGAGTATCCCGGGTATGAGTTCTTACCTTGATCGGCATGCTGGTTATCGGTGTGCAGTGCAGTTGTCTAAAAGTGCAATGGGCGGCACGGACGCCTTTCTGGAGCAGTGGAGTGGAAATCATCGGTTTATATATCAGCGGCAGGAGCGGCAAAGAGGAGCAGCGACTGCGGGAACTCAACACTCATCCTGCCCCCACGCCTTTGCCTCCCCGCCCTGAGTGTTTCATCAGAGCACATGCGACTGATCCTTCTTATTAACTTTATTACAGCAATGAAGATAATTTACTGTTATTATTTGAGCACTTAAAATGAGCAATTAACTGTCTGTCCAGTTGACATGGTTTTTTTCCTTGCCCAGATGATAGAAATGATTATGATGGTCCAGGATCAACATTAGTGAATTTCCACTGTATTTAAATGATGATGGTCCAGGATCAACATTAGTGAATTTCCACTGTATTTAAATGGTGATGGTCCAGGATCAACATTAGTGAATTTTCACTGTATTTAAATGATGATGGTCCAGGATCAACATTAGTGAATTTCCACTGTATTTAAATGGTGATGGTCCAGGATCAACATTAGTGAATTTACAATGTATTTAAATGTTTGATGGTCCAGGATCAACATTAGTGAATTTACAATGTATTTAAATGTTTGATGGTCCAGGATCAACATTAGTGAATTTGTATGTTATTGTTTTTTTTAAATAATATTTTGAGTTTACTTCAATTGACAGTTCAGTAGAAATTATGGAGAGGAAAACGTGTGTGGCAGAGAGACAGGAAGGTTTACCAAAGCAACTGGAGGTGGGATTTAATCTCAAGTAGCTGTAAATGCCAGTGTTCCTATTGTCAACGCACTAACCACTACACCACTGGCACTGACTTTTTCCATTGTATTTAAGTGATAGTGATGGTCTAGGATTAAATTTAGCAAATTTACACTGTATTTATATGATGATGGTCCAGGATCAACATTAGTGAATTTACACTGTAGTTAAATGATGACAGTCCAGGATCAACATTAGTGATTTTGCACTGTATTTAAATAATGATGGTCCAGGATCAACATTAGTGGATTTACATTAATTAATTCATTTTCTTGTTGGCTTAGCCACAGTGAAATGAACTGCCAACTTATCCAGCAAGTTTTTTTACGCAGCGGATGCCCTTTCAGTCGCAACCCATCTCTGGGAAACATACACACACACATTCACACACTCATACTATGGACAATTTTAGCTTACCCAATTCACCTGTACCACATGTCTTTGGACTCCAGATAATCATACTCTGATGTACTCAACAAAAGACCAGGTCACAAAAAGTGAAGGTTAGGATATTGAATCCAGTCATGCTGATAGTTCAGAACCGCTGATTTTTGCTGTGTAGTTAGAAATAATGTGCAGCTAGTTGAGAGAGGGAAGAGTCTTATCAACTCCAACAACCTTTGACCAGCACCCAAATTTTGACTATAAAGGTGAGAACTTCTTGTAGTAACATTGAAAGCTCAGCCGTGGGACATGAGCGAATCGCCTGGCATTCTCAGATGTAACAGGATGTGACACTGACAACAGTGGTGCAGATCCAAATATAGTGGCAAACAGATGTATACAGGCAAATCAGAAACGTAGTAAAAGAAACAGGTGAGAGGTCAGAAGGCAGGCGGCAGACAGAGATAAATCGATTAACAAGGCGAAGATAAAAACACGACAAAAAAAGACAAAGAAAATGCATTGTAATGTCACTTTAACAGATAACAAGACTCAGCCACTAGAGTGAGTGTTTGTGCTGTTTAAATAGTGTGTGTAATCAGTTTTTGATTACGGTGTGTATGCAATCAGTCAGGGTCAGGAACGTGTGTGTGTGAGTGGAGTGCATAGCAACTGTAGTCTATGACAGTGGTTCTCAAAGTGGGGGTCGGGACCCCCGAGGGGTCGCGGGGCAATGAAGGGGGGTCGCCTGGTGATTTCCAAAAATCTATTTTTTTTTTAAACCATAAGAATTAAAATATTTTATCCATAACTATACTGAAAATAAAAATAGTCGTTTATAGTTACTATATACTATATAGTTACTATAGTAGCTTATAGTTACTAGTTCTATTGGATTGCGACCCCTGGGGTAATTACAATATATTAAAGGCAGCAATAGCGTCAGATGCATTTTGAGTTTATAACATCAGGTTATACTTTCTGGCACATTTTAAGCACTGACACAAATTTAATTGGTGTGTCTGTGTCATTGCATGCAAGGTTTCTGTATTTATAACCACCTCAGAGGATATTGGGGGTCGCGAGTCACTGGCATTGTTATTTTGGGGGTCGCGGGCTGAAAAGTTTGGGAACCCCTGGTCTATGAAATGGCAGATTTGTAGTCCGTTAGCGCTTATTAGTGTTTTCCAGCAGTCTATGGTGTTTAGATCGCTGGTGAACGTGACATCAGACTTATGTGTTTGTCTTCCAAGTGACTGCAACCGGCTCTCCAGTCTTTGGAGAGGAAGACGATGGCACATCTCTGAGGTTGTAAATAATTCTTCTTGCTTGTCATTGTATTATTCATTCGTCATCTGTTTTCTATCCACTTGTTTTGTATATTGTGATAGGCCTTTTGCATTTTTATTATTCATGATTGAATATGGTTTATGAATATGATGGTTATTATTATTATTATTATTGATAACAGCTGTATGTACCAGCAATAAACCGTTATATTGCTTGATTGGTATGGTGTACAGACCTTTTATTGGTACCTTCTTTTGTTGATTAGCACCACACTTGTCTCACTTGAGTAAAAATACAAACCATACTAAAACATTTTTGGATTGCTGAAATATTTCAGATAATAATAATTTGGGTATACTAAAACACCGCACAATACCTTTTGGACCCTCGTCAAAAAAGTGTTTCTGGATGGAAAGCCAATCATCGCTGTGCTTGACACCGGGAGTTTCATCACCCTGGTTTAACCAATAACCACCCAGCTCAACGAAGTAAGTAAAGCCAGCATTCCTATTGCACATTACATATTCCTATTGCACAACGGGTTACCATTACAGCCAGACCAGCCACTTGTTCCGTTGAGGTCAGAATGGTAACCGATCTCCTTGTCTTCCTCAATCTGAGCCTTAACAGCTACAGGCTCCCAGCACCTCACCCTCTCTTCTATTTCACTATTACAAATGGTCTGCTGAACTGTCTTGCCCAGAGGTGGGTGGAGAGAAAGATGTTACTGGTGGTTCTGAAAAGTAAAGTCCCCACCATACAAGAGCTGGCCCAATCCCACTCTGATGGCAGGCCATCTGGGGCCTGACAATATGGTGCAATGGATCTACAAACATTTTTACTGGACGAACTGCCAGGGGTGTCCTACCTGCCAGATGATCTCTCCACAATGGTTTTCCCCCAGTTCACTGATTCCTTTGAGGTATCCTTCAACCTTATTGGTCTAGACCTGGTGGGCCTGTTGCCATAGTTTACCCATGGTCCTAAACACATCCTGTGGATCCTGAATTATGACACGTTACACTGAGGCAGGGGGCCAAACACCAGCACAACTGCCCATTCACTTTCACTGGTACTGTTGTAAATAAACCAGGGCTTTTGATTTAACCTTTGTCAGATTTGCTTTGTGTTTATCCCTCTTCTCGCCACAATGTAGAGTAAATATATATATATAAACTATTCAGTAACACATTTATGTGGTTGTTTTTGCCGGCTTTTGTCATAACAACATAATTCCTACAACCCTCAGTTGCTTTAAAATGGTTATATTAATTTTACCATTATTGTTTGTGGCTCAGAAATGATAACACTAAAAAGTATTAACATATCCAAATCGAGATCATTAGGTATAAATAAGATTGCGTAGGTATTTGATCAATTTTCATTTATTTTATTGATTATTATTTTTATTTCTAATTTCCAAGATAAATTTTGATGGTTTAATAGTAAATGGTTTTAGGAGGAATGAAGATACAGAAACTGTACTATAACCTCCAAAAAAGGGGTCTTTGTTTAAACGCCCCTTATTTAAACTCCTAACTCATAGTTTGTGTTTAATCTTGTGTTATGTTGTTACTTGTTGTTGACTTCTCCAACATCTGTCTTCTTCTTCTTCTTCTTCCTGAAGGCCATGATATGCTGCAGAAATCTGCTTTTGAGGTTGATCTTTCACTGTACTGCAGCTTTGCTTCTTCATAGCAAATTCATTGTTGAGGCCAGAATTCTAAATGGAACTCAAAGGTTCCAGGATGTCATCAAGACTAAAGCTAATTGGCTGTGAGTGTCAAAGGGCTGAAAACCAGCAAACCAATATAAGACAATGAAAAGGAGACTTCAAATAGAAGATTTTTTTTTTTTCCTGGAAAGAGGGTGATGCAATTGAAACAATGTTATGAAATATGCAATTAGGGAAAAACATGATTCAACAAGTTGACGCAAAATATTGAGGCAGAGATTTGACCTGGTTTAAACTAGTTATAGATCAAACATTTCAAAGCAACAAAATTCACTATCAGTCATTATCACTATAAAGTGCTTTTGAGACATAAAAACTTTCAGTAAAAAGTTGAGATTTTATATTTAACCTCATAGTTATATTAATTAGATCTTAGGCTCTAATAAATGAATGTTGGTCAAGCAACTGGCACCTTTTACAAATAATCTGCAAGCAGAAAAACAGTAAACAAACCTCAAATTGTATCAACCCTTCCATAAGGTCAAGGTAATGTGTCCATTTACCAACCCAACTTTTTTGATTATGGAAATAGTCTATTTATAACAATGACATAATGAACAAAGCATTTATTTTTTTCAATAAAATATGCACTCATTGCACATTCTTTTCAAAACAAAACCCAAAATCTAATCTATTATTATTATTATAAATCTAATATTTTGTCAAACTTTCAAACAATATTAACTGGCCCTTAATGGTCAATTAAATGAATCACAAAAGATATTTTGCTGAGGTTATAAATGAATTGTTTATTTTCATAAAAAAAAAAAAAAAAAAAAAACAAGATGACAGGGTGGACATTGGAATGACAGAGTGGACAAATACTTTATTTAGTGAACTAAATAAGCAGAAACATTTAAAAAGCAACAGGTACAACAAGAAATATTAAAGGGTAATTTAAAGGGGAGTAAAAGTTTTTAAGAATTCAACTTCTTCAATTTCAAGTTTTCAGCAATTACTGCAAACCACTGAGCCACCATGCCACCTCTTCTGTTATCAGTTAGGTTTTATCAATATGCAAATCAATGGGAAAATAGACAGTTATTGTCCTTCAAATTAAACTAAATTTGCTAATGAATTTAAATCTTTACATTGTATTGGAGGAGTGAAGGGAATGTTGGAAGCGAATCGAGTTAAAACAACTTAATAATACTGTTGTTTTTTTCAGAACAAGGTAAATAATTAGATTACAGATGTCATTGTAGAAATACTTAGGGCTGTATTTTTATTTCCTACAGTCAATGAGCTCTATTATATGGACTTTGAAAGGATATCCCTTATTTAGACTGAGACAGATATTGTCAAATGGTTTGTATAGTCCACTCAGGTATTGCATCTACTGGTGTAGTATGTGTATTTATAAGTAAGTGTTTCAACATAAAAACTAATTAACAATAAAATATTAAATAAATAAATAAATAAAGTGTCAATAACAATACATATGTCCACCCTGTCAAGGTAGGATTTGTAACAGGGTGGACAATGACAAGGAGGACATTTTTGGCTAAACATAGCATTTATTCAAGACAGGTTGTACCTGCAGCTGGCAAACGTGTTTCCTTGTTTAATCTCTTTGTACACAGTTTAAGCTATATTTAAACATTTTTATTTAAAAAAAAATATTAATTATTATTTTACTATGACAGAGTGGACATGTTAAGCTTGACAACATTCAGTTTCAAACACAATATGAGGAAAAATAGGAAACACAAGTGTAGATACTTACTGTGTGGCACATCAGATGTTTTAACCTCCTCTGAAAAGCAAAATGGGCAGGGGGGTGTCAATGAGTACATCAGAGGGTTTCTTAAGGGGACATTTACCACATCATGACATAGTTGATTAATAATATTATGAAAACAAAATAAAAAATATTAAAATGACTTTATCAAATAACTTGTAAAGACAAGAAGAATATTTAAAAATCATTTTAATTTGATTCAATTTAGCTACTTTTTAGACTCACTGAAGCTGGTTGATTAGTGTGTGGGACATGGCAAAATCACATCAATGAAAAATATGGCAAAAATGGACAAAAACACATTTCAAAACACATAATTCTGTCTTTATGTGTGAAAAGGTTCAACCAATTTTATTAAAACATCAGAAATTCATTATTTCGCATTATGTTCATATTAGACGGTTTCAATCTCCTTTAAAACATTAAAGGCACTTTTAGTGATATTGACCCAATTGTCCATCAATCATTTTTTTACAACACTAAGGGGAGTTTTTTTTGGTTGACCTACAAAAGAAACAACCTACTGTATTCCAGAGGCATTATTTTGTTCCAAAATAACTAAATAAATAAATAAAAAATAAAAAAATGCCCAAAACAAATTGAGATCTCAAACAGGATCATATGTGAGTGGAAAAGCTTTCTAAAACAAATTTTACACACATCTAAAAGATTTTAGCAAACATTTTATAGTAACATGCTTAAACATGCTTTTACAGTTTGAAAACCTATTTTCAATGTCTGGGCTCGAAACATTCAAGCCAGTCTAGTTTTTAGAAATAATTTTGCAACTGTAAAGGCAAAAAATAAATAAATACAAAAAGCCAGGAAACTCAGACAGTTGGGCACCTGCCACAGTGTGGGAGAAAACTCCACATTATATAACTTATGATAAATTGTAGGCTATCAATTATAGAACAGAAATTAGTGTACTGCTTGTTTCACACACTTACCACAAGATGCATTATTCATTAACATTATTGCATTAAAATTATTCATGCAGGAAATTATTATAAACGGTTGTTCATAATTATTTTGCTATTATGGGCATAATGACTGGCATAAGAAGTCATGAAACAAATCTTCTGTAACTGGTACAACTGGTTTCTTGATGATGACTCCGCTCTCAAGCTAAAACTAAACCTAGCGTTACAGCTTTATACAATAAAAGCCCTGACGATGGCGCTGTTTGTCCACTGTTCGGGGCAGGCGCGTTCATGTGAAATTAACCACATGATGGCACTATTAAACACACATATCAAAGTGACACGGTGTTTTTGACTGAATGTTTCTACCTCAGAGAAAAAAATGTTGAGATTAACTGCTCAAGTTAACTCTACTTCCACTACTCAAAGGTTTAATTTGTGAAAACGCTCGAGGGGAGGGGATTGAAGTCGTAAACTGTGTGTAATTGTCGTCGAATTGTCTTTTCCTAGTTTTGCTTTCAAGATGTAAACAGTGGAATTGACCAGAGACTGACGTTCATTCATTGCAAAATAACTAAATACTCCACTTTGCAGCCACATGAGGAGAAAAACAGACAGGATAAGAACAAAACGACATAGAAATCCAACGACAAGTGAGTATGACGAGTGTTAATTTATTACAAAACACATAGACACTGACAATATTTGAAAATACTTCTATCTTATCCTGTGGTGTTTTAGTGTTTGCTTTCTCCATAAAGTTAACCTCCACTCCACAGCTGCCCTGTCCTGACCTATTCATGCATCTCTAAGGACCGAGCTGTCCCGGGAGAAGCTTGCTAATATACAGAATTGGACTCAAGGCCTTCTGGGCGTTCAAAGCATTTGCAGACCTGGACAGATTTGTCCAGCCCATCACCCCCTTGTGCTGGAAAAGGGATTCATTCTCCCTATGAGCTATCAACCAAGGCTGAACCTGGACGGGGGCGTCCCGCGAGTCACTTTTAACACTCAAGGCAGGGATAGTTTGTCCCAATTGGAACGTAGCCAAGGCAGAACCTGGACGAGGGCATCCCACGTGACACTTTTAACACACAAGTTAGGGCTAATCTGTCCCAATCGGAACGTAGCCAAGGCAGGACCTGGACGCAGCAGGCATACAGCGTTGAACTAAGAAGACAGGGCTCATTTTTGTCCCCACTGAATTTACTTTTACCACACAGATAATAAATAAAAGGAATAATGAAGACACTGAACACCATTTGACCGTTAAGTTGTACAATATTTATTTATTCAGAGTCTTCTGTTTGTTCGAGCGGGCGAGCGCCCTGGCTTTTCCCTTTGGCAGGGCGCCATGGCAGCGTCCTCCTGCTGGTTCCCTCCTGGAAAAGAGACACATAAAGGGTAGTTAGCCAATGCCACACGTTCTGCTGTCCACGCCAAAGAGAATGTGATTTTTACCAGGGGAGAGACGGAAGTCTCCGTCCTCTTGCGCCCTTTCCGCGGGGGGCTTTCAGTGCCCGCTGCCTCCCCATCCTCCTCCTCCTCCTCCTCCTCCTCCACCAGGGCCCTTTCAAAGAGTCTGCGGCGCTCGCGTGCTTGGAGAGGTCCGAGGTGAAGTGCGTAGAACTTATCTGAGGTTGAAGTGTCATGGCACATGAATTGCGCCACCTTGCGGCGATCCTCTGAAGAGTGTGCATTCTTTGCCTGCGTCGGAGAGAGACAGAAGCTTGATTAGGATAGAAGCCGCCGCTGGTAGTTACAGGGGCGTCACAATGCCTACTCACATGAGTCGCGATCGCAGTGCGTACGTCAGTAAAGGTGGGTTTGCCTGGAAGGCCCATACTGAGCCAAGCAGACTGAAAGTACTTGTTCAGGGTCCGACAAGGACTGGCTCTGGAAGTGAAAAAGAAATAGGTAGCCTGGCTCCCTCCGGGGAGACCAGCCCGCAGCGCCAAAAACCTGCGGAACCAGCTGTATTCCTCCCTGTTTAGGGACAGCTGAGCCGCCCCAAAGGCTCTGTTTGTTTTGTGAGTGGTAATCTGCCATCAGAGAACAAGCAGTGAATGAGTGAGTGAGAGAGAGAGCATGCTACTGGTGACCCCCACCTTACTTGCGCCATACTCACGTTAATGACATAAGCAGACTCGTCGGGGCTTCTGGAGGCCTCTTCAACCTCCTGGATTGTGAGATTCTGGAAGACTCCACAGCGGTGCCCAGAGATGGAGGTTAGGTAGCCAGTCAGAAAGCCATAGAAGCGCCACTGTTGCCTAGTGCTTGGGTTGGATTCGAGGCTATCTGGTGAAAGACATTAGACAGATTAGACCACCGACGGTTCTATTTCCTTTCTGGGTCACCAACAGCTCTTGGCTGCTGGTGACTTGTACTCCGGGGCGCCAGCAGCTCAAACAACAGCTGCTGGTGGCCCGGAGAGGAAATGTGCGTTTCTTCTTCAGGGGCACCAGCAGTTCATGGACTGCTGGTGCCCCTGAAGAAGAAACGCACAATTCCTCTCCGGGCCACCAGCAGCTGTTGGGGTTCCAGCCGTCTGCCCCCCTTCCCCCCGAATGAGTCCCATTCGCGGGGGAGAGGGGCAGACAGACGTGGCTGGATGAACCAAGGGCTGTTGGTGCCCCGGAAGAACGAACAGGGGAAATCGCTGGAACGGCGGAAGGGCTTGCTTACCTAGCAGGGCGGGAATTTTCCTCCCAGCGGTCCGGTGACAGCGCACCAGACTGGCCTTGGGGATCAGTCGGCTTTCCTTCGCCTGCTTGGTCCTTACCTCGTGCACGACGACACGCCGGCGTATGCCGCGGATGAGGGCTCTGACCTCCCTTCGAATCAGAACCAGAGCCGTGCTGGAGAGCTGACAGGCGGCCGGCGGCGTCTCCGAGAGGTAGTCTAGGAACTGAGCCACGTTCTTCAGGTAGTGCTGCCTGGTGGGCTCGGCCATGCGCGTCTGACCTAGCCGGGCGGCCCACGCTCGGATTCGGGCTGGTTGGTTGAGGAAGAGGAAGTCCCCTGGCTCCGCGGTGCCCCTGGCCATGTAACCAAGGAAGGCTTTGATTCTCCCCAGCTTCGAAGTGACGTTGTTCCGCAGGCGGGGGGTGGGCTCGCTGCCCAGTTGGTACCCTTCGAACTCCCCCAAGAGAAGGTCTGTGGAACGAGCACAACCAAGAGTCAACTTCCCCGAAGCCACACACCCAGCAGAGCGACAGTGACGTGCCTGAAATATACTCAACTCAGCGCGGGGACGTGGTCCGGGAACGGGTAGGCAGTGGGCTCCAAAGCCTCCGGAGGCTCGGGGGGCGTCGGACCTCCGGCCGCCCCTCGCCCGGGAGGCGGTGGTGCAGGAGGCGACCTGGTTCTCCTGGCCCTCTTCCTCCTCCTTCTCCCCCCTTCTCCCTTCCTTAGCTCTCGGTAGAGGCGTGTGATTTGGAGCAGGGTGGACCGCATCTTGGTAACCTGTTTCCCCAGGTCCGTGAGCTGAGCCTGTATGCGCTCGGTGGCGCGCCTGCAGCCGCGGTCGGCGCACGGGCGGCCGGCCTCTGGGTCCTCCGAGTCCCGCTCCCCCTCGGAGGACGATGCTAGCTGGGACACGACAGGGATTGCAGGCTGGGTGGACCGCAGCCACTGCAACTCCCGAGCTACTTTCCGGCGTTTCGCCCTCCCCATAGCCTCTTTCCTTCCCGAGGTCGAGAGCTCCGCGTGCTGCCTCAAGTGCCTGTCTAGGCGGGCTGGCGTCCGGCGACATCCCGGGACCGGGCACGGTGTCTTCCGCGTGTCCACGCGGCCGGCGGCCAGCGCGAGAAGCAGCCGCTTCTCGTCCGAGTTGGCCACCTTGTGAACGGCCGTCAGGTGAGGCGCAAGCCGGCTGTACACGTTGAAGCATAGGGCACATTCAGCCATGACCGTGCCAGAGCCAATGCAGAGGGGGAAAGGGGCCCGCACGCCACGTGCGGCGGTTAATAAGCGGCCGGAGGCGGCGTCCACTTCCGCGTCATGACGTTGGTGGACCCGTATTTCTTAAAGGGGAAGGACACCCCCCCGCACCAGGAGGTGTAAGCCGATGCCCTACGGAGATCCATTCGGTTCAAGCCTTCTCTTGTTACGACTTCTCAAGTAGGGGGGAGAGGGGTGTCCACCTCACTCCCTTCCCCCCTTTTCAAAGGAACCAGAGGGGGTGTCCCGTTAAACAATTCACCCCACCGCCCCTTCATCGTTGCCCCGGTCAGCGGTTCGACACCTCTCTCTCTTGTCACGACTCGAGTTGGGGAAGGGGTGTCCCACCTCACTCCCTATCCCCCCTTCATTTTGCTGTTCTGGCCAGCGGGAGCTTTTCCACAGCCATCCACGTTCACTTTTTCCACCCCAAAAAGGGGATTGATTGTTTGAGCCCCATCGGGGGGGGACAGCTCCACACGCGCCAGCCGCGGGAGCTTTTGTGACCTGCTACAACCAACATGGGATACGCACCAACCATCGAAAGGGGAGTTCAGACAGCCCGTAACCCCGGCACCACTGACCCTGGCACGTTTCACCTCGCCGGAGTCCACTAGCTTCCCCTCCCAACCAACCACCCTCACTCCCCCGGGAGCAGGGTAGGCGGGGTGGGGGTCAGCCGGGAGCCAGCAAGGATAAACCCAGGGGGTGGGCGGCGTTGCGGGCGGGCGGGCGGACGGACGGGATGCAGACGCACACACTCGGGCGGGGGTAGAATCGAAGCCCACACCAGCTCGTTCCCTACGCTGCCCCTGGGGCCTCGATTCACCACGCCGGGTGACTCGACCGAACCCACCGAACATCCCCCAGCCCTCGCAGGGCGAGGGGCGTGGGGCGGGGGCACGGGCCGAGTATCGGCGCGGGGGAAACGGAGTCCAGGGGGGCGGGCTGGCGGGCGGGCTGAGCAGCAGACAAGCTCTGGGTCATTTAGCCAGACGGGCCATCTGGGTCCTTTACCCACAGATCGGGGCGGGAAGGGGGGGGCGCTGTGTGCGGAGGGACACCCCCACGCCTCCCTGATACAGCGCCCAGGACGGGGAGGATCTGCCACACCCATAGAGGCCGACCCCATTGGTGCTTTGGGGGGCCTGGGTGGGGGCCTAGCCCCTGGGGCGCCACACTAGCTCCTATCGATCAGTCACCGTGGGGTCTGGCGACTGGACTGTCAGAGACTAAGTCCATATTTTTACGCCTTCCCCGAAACCCTGATGGCAGGTCAGAGATTGTGGGTGTCGGGCAAAAACCTCCAGGCGCGGGACGTCCCGACAAGTAGGCCGGGAAGGGTGGTCTCCCGTCGGGCATGGTTTGGTGGGCTCGGGCCTGGGTCTAACCAACGCCCCGGTGAGCGCCAGGCATAACGTATTCCTGTTGGACCTTTGGCGCTAGATGCGTAAAGATGTGCCGCTGGTGAACCATCGATGGAGCCGCTGGTGAACCATTAATGGGGGCCTCTGAGATCCAGCGTTGGGGAGGCCTGTGCCCCGCGCGCTCTGCCCGGGGCACACACACCCTTCTCGGGGAGCGACCCCAGCCCCTCTCCCTGGCCTGGGGCCTCTGAGATCCAGCGTTGGGGAGGCCTGTGCCCCGCGCGCTCTGCCCGGGGCACACACACCCTTCTCGGGGAGCGACCCCAGCCCCTCTCCCTGGCCTGGGGCCTCTGAGATCCAGCGTTGGGGAGGCCTGTGCCCCGCGCGCTCTGCCCGGGGCACACACACCCTTCTCGGGGAGCGACCCCAGCCCCTCTCCCTGGCCTGGGGCCTCTGAGATCCAGCGTTGGGGAGGCCTGTGCCCCGCGCGCTCTGCCCGGGGCACACACACCCTTCTCGGGGAGCGACCCCAGCCCCTCTCCCTGGCCTGGGGCCTCTGAGATCCAGCGTTGGGGAGGCCTGTGCCCCGCGCGCTCTGCCCGGGGCACACACACCCTTCTCGGGGAGCGACCCCAGCCCCTCTCCCTGGCCTGGGGCCTCTGAGATCCAGCGTTGGGGGGGGGGGCCGTGCCCTGCACGCTCTGCCCGAGGTACACGCACTCTCCGGCGGCAAGCGCTGGTTCCAAAGGACCCCCTAGATTTGCACCTAATCACCAGCCGTGCCCGGGCACCCCACTATTAAGCCCGGGGACACTAACTCCTCCAAACCGCATGGATCAGACAGACGTGCTGCTGGTGACCCAACTGGCCAAGACGTACCGCTGGTGACCCAATCGGTCTTTGGGTTTGTGAATGGGTCACCACCGGCCCTGGGCTCGTGTATGGGGCACCAGCCGCACGTCGTTCTAGCCTCCGTCTGCGATGGGGTCTTATGTTTGCTGCGGGGTGATGGACGCTGGGAGACGGGTTAGCAGCTCAGAAATGGACCCTTGACTCCCGTGTACCCCCTAACTCCCATGGTGTTCAGACCACTGGCCTTGCCCGGATTTGAACGCTTGTTTTTGGGTTAGCTTTGCTGGCCAAGAGGCCTGGATCCTTGGAAGGACCAGGGCAGCAGTGCGCATTTGGTTTGCCCGGATTTGAACGCTTGTTTTCGGGTTAGCTTTGCTGGCCAAGAGGCCTGGATCCTTGGAAGGACCAGGGCAGCAGTGCGCATTTGGTTTGCCCGGATTTGAACGCTTGTTTTGGGGTAGCTTTGCTGGCCAAGAGGCCTGGATCCTTGGAAGGACCAGGGCAGCAGTGCGCATTTGGTTTGCCCGGATTTGAACGCTTGTTTTCGGGTTAGCTTTGCTGGCCAAGAGGCCTGGATCCTTGGAAGGACCAGGGCAGCAGTGCGCATTTGGTTTGCCCGGATTTGAACGCTTGTTTTCGGGTTAGCTTTGCTGGCCAAGAGGCCTGGATCCTTGGAAGGACCAGGGCAGCAGTGCGCATTTGGTTTGCCCGGATTTGAACGCTTGTTTTCGGGTTAGCTTTGCTGGCCAAGAGGCCTGGATCCTTGGAAGGACCAGGGCAGCAGTGCGCATTTGGTTTGCCCGGATTTGAACGCTTGTTTTCGGGTTAGCTTTGCTGGCCAAGAGGCCTGGATCCTTGGAAGGACCAGGGCAGCAGTGCGCATTTGGTTTGCCCGGGTTTGAACGCTTGTTTTGGGGCAACGGGGCCCTCGTTAGACCCCTGGTTCTTTCAACCGCGAAATCGAAAATTGCACTAAGTCCTTCATTTGAGTCTGTTATCGAAAACTCGACGGCAGGTCAGCGAAACCAAGGGACGCGCTACCACCCCCTCCAGGCGCGGGTCATGCCGGAGAGAGTGGTCTCTTTCCGGGCATGGCTTGGTGAGCTCTCCCCCCTGGTCCAACGAACGCCCCCGGTGAGCGCACTTAAGTCTCAGCTGGTGCGTAAATGGTGCCGCTGGTGAACCATTGGCCTCCGAGGCTTCATGTCACGCGCTCTCTGCCCAATACACCCTCACTTATCCCGGGCAAGCACTGATCACCAAAGACCCCCCCCTGGCTCTTTCTGACCCATCGCTTACCGTTGGTGACCCACATAGGCCTTTGCGCGCGGTGGCCTGCCATGGAACCCTGACTCCCATGGTGTTCAGACCACTGGCCTTGCCCGGATTTGAACGCTTGTTTTCGGGTTAGCTTTGCTGGCCAAGAGGCCTGGATCCTTGGAAGGACCAGGGCAGCAGTGCGCATTTGGTTTGCCCGGATTTGAACGCTTGTTTTCGGGTTAGCTTTGCTGGCCAAGAGGCCTGGATCCTTGGAAGGACCAGGGCAGCAGTGCGCATTTGGTTTGCCCGGATTTGAACGCTTGTTTTCGGGTTAGCTTTGCTGGCCAAGAGGCCTGGATCCTTGGAAGGACCAGGGCAGCAGTGCGCATTTGGTTTGCCCGGATTTGAACGCTTGTTTTCGGGTTAGCTTTGCTGGCCAAGAGGCCTGGATCCTTGGAAGGACCAGGGCAGCAGTGCGCATTTGGTTTGCCCGGATTTGAACGCTTGTTTTCGGGTTAGCTTTGCTGGCCAAGAGGCCTGGATCCTTGGAAGGACCAGGGCAGCAGTGCGCATTTGGTTTGCCCGGATTTGAACGCTTGTTTTCGGGTTAGCTTTGCTGGCCAAGAGGCCTGGATCCTTGGAAGGACCAGGGCAGCAGTGCGCATTTGGTTTGCCCGGGTTTGAACGCTTGTTTTCGGGTTAGCTTTGCTGGCCAAGAGGCCTGGATCCTTGGAAGGACCAGGGCAGCAGTGCGCATTTGGTTTGCCCGGGTTTGAACGCTTGTTTTCGGGTTAGCTTTGCTGGCCAAGAGGCCTGGATCCTTGGAAGGACCAGGGCAGCAGTGCGCATTTGGTTTGCCCGGATTTGAACGCTTGTTTTCGGGTTAGCTTTGCTGGCCAAGAGGCCTGGATCCTTGGAAGGACCAGGGCAGCAGTGCGCATTTGGTTTGCCCGGGTTTGAACGCTTGTTTTCGGGTTAGCTTTGCTGGCCAAGAGGCCTGGATCCTTGGAAGGACCAGGGCAGCAGTGCGCATTTGGTTTGCCCGGATTTGAACGCTTGTTTTCGGGTTAGCTTTGCTGGCCAAGAGGCCTGGATCCTTGGAAGGACCAGGGCAGCAGTGCGCATTTGGTTTGCCCGGATTTGAACGCTTGTTTTTGGGGTTAGCTTTGCTGGCCAAGAGGCCTGGATCCTTGGAAGGACCAGGGCAGCAGTGCGCATTTGGTTTGCCCGGATTTGAACGCTTGTTTTTGGGGTTAGCTTTGCTGGCCAAGAGGCCTGGATCCTTGGAAGGACCAGGGCAGCAGTGCGCATTTGGTTTGCCCGGATTTGAACGCTTGTTTTTGGGGTTAGCTTTGCTGGCCAAGAGGCCTGGATCCTTGGAAGGACCAGGGCAGCAGTGCGCATTTGGTTTGCCCGGATTTGAACGCTTGTTTTGGGGTAGCTTTGCTGGCCAAGAGGCCTGGATCCTTGGAAGGACCAGGGCAGCAGTGCGCATTTGGTTTGCCCGGATTTGAACGCTTGTTTTCGGGTTAGCTTTGCTGGCCAAGAGGCCTGGATCCTTGGAAGGACCAGGGCAGCAGTGCGCATTTGGTTTGCCCGGATTTGAACGCTTGTTTTGGGGTAGCTTTGCTGGCCAAGAGGCCTGGATCCTTGGAAGGACCAGGGCAGCAGTGCGCATTTGGTTTGCCCGGATTTGAACGCTTGTTTTCGGGTTAGCTTTGCTGGCCAAGAGGCCTGGATCCTTGGAAGGACCAGGGCAGCAGTGCGCATTTGGTTTGCCCGGATTTGAACGCTTGTTTTCGGGTTAGCTTTGCTGGCCAAGAGGCCTGGATCCTTGGAAGGACCAGGGCAGCAGTGCGCATTTGGTTTGCCCGGATTTGAACGCTTGTTTTCGGGTTAGCTTTGCTGGCCAAGAGGCCTGGATCCTTGGAAGGACCAGGGCAGCAGTGCGCATTTGGTTTGCCCGGATTTGAACGCTTGTTTTCGGGTTAGCTTTGCTGGCCAAGAGGCCTGGATCCTTGGAAGGACCAGGGCAGCAGTGCGCATTTGGTTTGCCCGGATTTGAACGCTTGTTTTCGGGTTAGCTTTGCTGGCCAAGAGGCCTGGATCCTTGGAAGGACCAGGGCAGCAGTGCGCATTTGGTTTGCCCGGATTTGAACGCTTGTTTTCGGGTTAGCTTTGCTGGCCAAGAGGCCTGGATCCTTGGAAGGACCAGGGCAGCAGTGCGCATTTGGTTTGCCCGGGTTTGAACGCTTGTTTTCGGGTTAGCTTTGCTGGCCAAGAGGCCTGGATCCTTGGAAGGACCAGGGCAGCAGTGCGCATTTGGTTTGCCCGGGTTTGAACGCTTGTTTTCGGGTTAGCTTTGCTGGCCAAGAGGCCTGGATCCTTGGAAGGACCAGGGCAGCAGTGCGCATTTGGTTTGCCCGGATTTGAACGCTTGTTTTCGGGTTAGCTTTGCTGGCCAAGAGGCCTGGATCCTTGGAAGGACCAGGGCAGCAGTGCGCATTTGGTTTGCCCGGGTTTGAACGCTTGTTTTCGGGTTAGCTTTGCTGGCCAAGAGGCCTGGATCCTTGGAAGGACCAGGGCAGCAGTGCGCATTTGGTTTGCCCGGATTTGAACGCTTGTTTTCGGGTTAGCTTTGCTGGCCAAGAGGCCTGGATCCTTGGAAGGACCAGGGCAGCAGTGCGCATTTGGTTTGCCCGGATTTGAACGCTTGTTTTCGGGTTAGCTTTGCTGGCCAAGAGGCCTGGATCCTTGGAAGGACCAGGGCAGCAGTGCGCATTTGGTTTGCCCGGATTTGAACGCTTGTTTTCGGGTTAGCTTTGCTGGCCAAGAGGCCTGGATCCTTGGAAGGACCAGGGCAGCAGTGCGCATTTGGTTTGCCCGGATTTGAACGCTTGTTTTCGGGTTAGCTTTGCTGGCCAAGAGGCCTGGATCCTTGGAAGGACCAGGGCAGCAGTGCGCATTTGGTTTGCCCGGATTTGAACGCTTGTTTTCGGGTTAGCTTTGCTGGCCAAGAGGCCTGGATCCTTGGAAGGACCAGGGCAGCAGTGCGCATTTGGTTTGCCCGGATTTGAACGCTTGTTTTCGGGTTAGCTTTGCTGGCCAAGAGGCCTGGATCCTTGGAAGGACCAGGGCAGCAGTGCGCATTTGGTTTGCCCGGATTTGAACGCTTGTTTTCGGGTTAGCTTTGCTGGCCAAGAGGCCTGGATCCTTGGAAGGACCAGGGCAGCAGTGCGCATTTGGTTTGCCCGGGTTTGAACGCTTGTTTTGGGGCAACGGGGCCCTCGTTAGACCCCTGGTTCTTTCAACCGCGAAATCGAAAATTGCACTAAGTCCTTCATTTGAGTCTGTTATCGAAAACTCGACGGCAGGTCAGCGAAACCAAGGGACGCGCTACCACCCCCTCCAGGCGCGGGTCATGCCGGAGAGAGTGGTCTCTTTCCGGGCATGGCTTGGTGAGCTCTCCCCCCTGGTCCAACGAACGCCCCCGGTGAGCGCACTTAAGTCTCAGCTGGTGCGTAAATGGTGCCGCTGGTGAACCATTGGCCTCCGAGGCTTCATGTCACGCGCTCTCTGCCCAATACACCCTCACTTATCCCGGGCAAGCACTGATCACCAAAGACCCCCCCCTGGCTCTTTCTGACCCATCGCTTACCGTTGGTGACCCACATAGGCCTTTGCGCGCGGTGGCCTGCCATGGAACCCTGACTCCCATGGTGTTCAGACCACTGGCCTTGCCCGGATTTGAACGCTTGTTTTTGGGTTAGCTTTGCTGGTCAAGAGGCCTGGATCCTTGGTAGAACCAGGGCAGCAGTGCGCATTTGGTTTGCCCGGATTTGAACGCTTGTTTTTGGGTTAGCTTTGCTGGCCAAGAGGCCTGGATCCTTGGAAGGACCAGGGCAGCAGTGCGCATTTGGTTTGCCCGGATTTGAACGCTTGTTTTTGGGTTAGCTTTGCTGGCCAAGAGGCCTGGATCCTTGGAAGGACCAGGGCAGCAGTGCGCATTTGGTTTGCCCGGATTTGAACGCTTGTTTTTGGGTTAGCTTTGCTGGCCAAGAGGCCTGGATCCTTGGAAGGACCAGGGCAGCAGTGCGCATTTGGTTTGCCCGGATTTGAACGCTTGTTTTTGGGGTTAGCTTTGCTGGCCAAGAGGCCTGGATCCTTGGAAGGACCAGGGCAGCAGTGCGCATTTGGTTTGCCCGGATTTGAACGCTTGTTTTTGGGGTTAGCTTTGCTGGCCAAGAGGCCTGGATCCTTGGAAGGACCAGGGCAGCAGTGCGCATTTGGTTTGCCCGGATTTGAACGCTTGTTTTTGGGGTTAGCTTTGCTGGCCAAGAGGCCTGGATCCTTGGAAGGACCAGGGCAGCAGTGCGCATTTGGTTTGCCCGGATTTGAACGCTTGTTTTGGGGTAGCTTTGCTGGCCAAGAGGCCTGGATCCTTGGAAGGACCAGGGCAGCAGTGCGCATTTGGTTTGCCCGGATTTGAACGCTTGTTTTCGGGTTAGCTTTGCTGGCCAAGAGGCCTGGATCCTTGGAAGGACCAGGGCAGCAGTGCGCATTTGGTTTGCCCGGATTTGAACGCTTGTTTTGGGGTAGCTTTGCTGGCCAAGAGGCCTGGATCCTTGGAAGGACCAGGGCAGCAGTGCGCATTTGGTTTGCCCGGATTTGAACGCTTGTTTTCGGGTTAGCTTTGCTGGCCAAGAGGCCTGGATCCTTGGAAGGACCAGGGCAGCAGTGCGCATTTGGTTTGCCCGGATTTGAACGCTTGTTTTCGGGTTAGCTTTGCTGGCCAAGAGGCCTGGATCCTTGGAAGGACCAGGGCAGCAGTGCGCATTTGGTTTGCCCGGATTTGAACGCTTGTTTTCGGGTTAGCTTTGCTGGCCAAGAGGCCTGGATCCTTGGAAGGACCAGGGCAGCAGTGCGCATTTGGTTTGCCCGGATTTGAACGCTTGTTTTCGGGTTAGCTTTGCTGGCCAAGAGGCCTGGATCCTTGGAAGGACCAGGGCAGCAGTGCGCATTTGGTTTGCCCGGATTTGAACGCTTGTTTTCGGGTTAGCTTTGCTGGCCAAGAGGCCTGGATCCTTGGAAGGACCAGGGCAGCAGTGCGCATTTGGTTTGCCCGGATTTGAACGCTTGTTTTCGGGTTAGCTTTGCTGGCCAAGAGGCCTGGATCCTTGGAAGGACCAGGGCAGCAGTGCGCATTTGGTTTGCCCGGGTTTGAACGCTTGTTTTCGGGTTAGCTTTGCTGGCCAAGAGGCCTGGATCCTTGGAAGGACCAGGGCAGCAGTGCGCATTTGGTTTGCCCGGGTTTGAACGCTTGTTTTCGGGTTAGCTTTGCTGGCCAAGAGGCCTGGATCCTTGGAAGGACCAGGGCAGCAGTGCGCATTTGGTTTGCCCGGATTTGAACGCTTGTTTTCGGGTTAGCTTTGCTGGCCAAGAGGCCTGGATCCTTGGAAGGACCAGGGCAGCAGTGCGCATTTGGTTTGCCCGGGTTTGAACGCTTGTTTTCGGGTTAGCTTTGCTGGCCAAGAGGCCTGGATCCTTGGAAGGACCAGGGCAGCAGTGCGCATTTGGTTTGCCCGGATTTGAACGCTTGTTTTCGGGTTAGCTTTGCTGGCCAAGAGGCCTGGATCCTTGGAAGGACCAGGGCAGCAGTGCGCATTTGGTTTGCCCGGATTTGAACGCTTGTTTTCGGGTTAGCTTTGCTGACCAAGAGGCCTGGATCCTTGGAAGGACCAGGGCAGCAGTGCGCATTTGGTTTGCCCGGGTTTGAACGCTTGTTTTCGGGTTAGCTTTGCTGGCCAAGAGGCCTGGATCCTTGGAAGGACCAGGGCAGCAGTGCGCATTTGGTTTGCCCGGATTTGAACGCTTGTTTTCGGGTTAGCTTTGCTGGCCAAGAGGCCTGGATCCTTGGAAGGACCAGGGCAGCAGTGCGCATTTGGTTTGCCCGGGTTTGAACGCTTGTTTTGGGGCAACGGGGCCCTCGTTAGACCCCTGGTTCGTTCAACCGCGAAATCGAAAATTGCACTAAGTCCTTCATTTGAGTCTGTTATCGAAACCTCGACGGCAGGTCAGCGAAACCCAGGGACGCGCTACCCCCCCTCCAGGCGCGGGTCATGCCGGAGAGAGTGGTCTCTTCCCGGGCATGGCTTGGTGAGCTCTCCCCCTGGTCCAACCAACGCCCCCGGTGAGCTCATCCATAGCGTTTGCCAGCGGTCGTTCCAAAGACCCCCCCCGCTAGAGACCCACCATCCCCCAAATGAGTGTTAGTTGTTTCAAACAGCAAAAAAATAAAATCAATGCATTTCGTTTTCAAAATGATTTTTTTTTACTTTCTCTTCACAGTGATTCAATATGAACAAAGTGTTGAAATAGTATTACTACTGCAGAACCACTGAGCTTTACAAAAAGGAAAGAAAAAAGAAGCACAGACATTTACAATCATTTGACTTCAACTCACACAAATACCAGAACAATAATATTAATAATAATAAACATCCGCAAATTGAGTAAAAAATAGATTTTAATCTTTTAAATACAACATTTTGGAATACAAATATTGATTTGTTCATAACTGTAGTTCTTATTATTACTATCGACTGTTATCATCACTAGTGTTACTTTTGAGGTTTGCTTTACAGTATATCAATATACAGAAAAAATGTGAAAACAAACATTTTGGTAAATTCTGGTATTGCTCATTTACATAAATATACACAGACACACAAAAACACCTAGCCATGAATTTAATTTATCTCTCAACCATGTTATGTACTAAGTCTGACAGACAAAATGGCTTTATATATATATATAATGCTTACAATTCTGAAAACACTACTGTAATATCATCGTTATATTAGAGTTATTATTGACACAAACATTGACATATTTTACAGCTGTCTTTGAATGGACCCACTCATTCATGGTTATGTACACAATCCATGACATCCCAATAACCACTTGGGAGAGACATTAACTTCTGTGTATAAAAAAAAAAAAAAAAAACACTCCAATGTCACAAAATCATATTTTAGCTTAACGTTTATAGATCGGATCCAAAATTAAACAGAAATATCCCAGAAATTCCCTTAACAGCCAAATTAGCTGTATTTTCCAAAAAAAAAAAAGATTTTGTTTTGCAGAGATCGACACACATGTTCGTGTCTAAAATCTACAAATACCATTTTGAATGAAAATGTCACAGAAAAAAATGACACAGGAATATAACGTCAACTGGCTTTCATATGTCTTAAAAGTTAGTACTTTAATCACAAAAAAATCTAAAAAACAATTCAATACAAAACAGACGTTTCATAACATTCTCCCAAATGAATTGCTTTATTTCATTACCAAACCTGAGGCCAAGCTTCATAGTCTATATGAAAAACCAAACACTAAAGTCAAGCACAGAATGAGCAACAGAAACTCACATGATTCTCACGATGCGTCCCCTCAGTATTTTGGACTAGAAATCAGCAGATACTAATATTGAGCTGAAAATATTATAAATATCAATCTTGGAAGATTCTTTCTACCTTCGTCTATGGCATAGGAACCATTTTGCGAGCGCGCATACAATCATTGCTGCGAACAGTGAAAAATCACCCTGAAGATGTGGCTTCACCTCCGAGGTCTGACTCTGGACAACAGTGGTTATCTTTTTTATAGTATTTAAATTGGTAAAGATGCCAAAAAAATGGCAACTGGCTTTTCTTCCTCCTGTTTTCACACCTTTAGAATAAATAAAAGGTAGCAGAGTTGCACTCTTTAACGGAGTATGATTGCATATAATACCAGACAAGAGTCTGCAAACAAACAACTATGAGGAGACCACGCAAACACATCTTAAACCAAGAGTCTGATTAAGCTCTTCTCATGAGGCTTTCCAATTTGCATCTAATGTTGCTCTGCGCCACAGAGGCTTTCAGTTTGAATATCACAGAACGAATCGGCTGTCCGGCTGCGTCGATGAATGAATGAAGATTACAGTGTGGAAAATGATCTTTCCTCTGAAAAGTCTTTCACAAGCAGGCCAGTGTCTTCTGAAGAATCCAACAGTGTCCAAAAAATATCACAGCAAAAAAAATAATAATATCAAACTACAGTAGTGGCCTACAGGAGGAAAAAAAATCCCCGTTTACCCTGATTTAGACGCACTGTTGGTTCAGTTCAGCATTTATAGTACCCAAAATCTCCCATTCACTCAATCTGCATCCCAAAAATGATAAAACAACTTGCTATTATACAAAGGACGGCCTGAAAATGGTCAACAATCATAAAAGTTTTTTTTCTTTATGCGACTACACCAATACTAAATTCATTTTGAAGCAGAACGTGGCATCGCAGCCGCTCTTTTTTTGAAAAAAGGCTGACATCAAACGAGCTATGAAATCTTTCATATTGCTTTCTGTTAATATGATGCATTTGCAGTACCAGTGTAGACCAGTAAACTGAAGATTGTTTAGCTGTATTTCCTCCAGTAAGTCTTTGCATATTCCACAAAAAGCTAGCAGGACAAGGTTAGATAGCACTTGTAGTATGGCGAGTGCATTAGAAAAGACATTATCAACTAACACAGACATTATTAACTTAAATCTGTGCTTTTAATGCACCGATTTAAGGAGAAATAGAAAGCTAACTGTAGTGATCAAGAGCTTGCTTCAATGGCCTACTATCAGTAAAGGAGGAAACATCGCTGAATTGTGCAATTCAGAGAAGAGTTTATATTGCTGCAGTCTCAGTAGGCGCCCTTGGCACGTGAATTTCTCTGAGTTTACAGTAATGGTTAGCTCCTAAAACACTTATCTGGATGGCCGTGAAGTGACAATGAATTACATGTTCCTCTCTAACACTGATATAAATATTAAAACTGACCCAAGCCTACGCTGACGGGATACTCATTGGAAATTGAATGGAGAAGAATAGGATGTGAAAGCCCAGATCTGGCGAACACCTACACAAAGCGTTGTCTTCATATTCAACCCCCAAAATAGTTTTCTTTTGGCTTTTGGAGCCCTTGCGCACACATAAAATTGACTTTGGGCAAACGTAGAGCCCGTTTTCTTCATCCTTCATCCATGTGTTGTCTGTGTGTGGTCTAGGGTGAGTCCATCATGGCCTCCAGCATCTCCAGGAAGAGTTTGTGCATTGGCACGCCGCCACGGGTTTTGATGCTGTAAAAGGTGGTGAGGGCTCGACCGGCTGTCTGCCTGAGGAGAGGCAGGGTGAGGAGGAGACGTCCAGCGCGCTGAGGATCATCTGGACGCCGCTGAACCTCAAGCTCCAAAAGAGCCTGATGCAGCAGGTCTCGTAACTTCTGCACTGCCTCCATGTCCTCAATGTACACCGAATCTGAGAGAGGGGAAGAGCAGGGTGAGTGTTAAGACTCTCATATCACAGTAAATGAATGCAGTGGTTCTAGTAAAGAATTAACATGATTCAATTGCACAAATTATTTTAGACACATTTTTTTAATCCATGTGTTTGGAGAACAAAATGATCATTCCTGGAGTTATTCCCAGCCAAATGTTGGACTAAAAAGCTGAATTTCCATGATCTAATAAACAAAATACAGGTCGTTGTTCTTCTTATATATTAATAAGGTAACATTTAAAAAATACATTAAAATAACAATATAATATTACAGTGTTTTTAACATAATCATTTTGCATGACTTTAGTAGCCACCATGAGAACAACAATGGATAATTGACCTCTTAAGGCTGATTTAGACTTCTGCGTGAAGCGCACACATATGCTCTAGCGCAGCCTCCAGGTGGTCACATAACCCTCACCGTGGCTGATACGGACACACACACACACATCTCAAAAAATTGTAACTACATGTCGCAACATTGCATAGTGCAAGCTCCGTGATATGTCAGCTTGGCTGCTGTGACCAATGTGGGTGAGACTAAGAGCCGCGCGAACCCATTGGAGTGAGTGTCGAATTCTGTGAAGTAGCTCTAGATCAGGGGTGTCAAACTCAATTTCTGGAGGGCTGAAGCCCTGCACAGTTTAGTTCCAACCCTGCTCCAACATGCTTACCTATAGGTTTCAAACAAGCCTGAAGGACTAAATTAGTTTGATCAGGTGTGTTTAATGAGGGTTGGAACTAAACTGTGCAGAGCTGCGGCCCTTTTGGAACGGAGTTTGACACCTGTGCTCTAGATGGAAACTTGTCATGTTCACCTTATGATTAAAGTTGTTGCTCGTCCACCGGTTCCCACCTCTGATTAAGTGAGTTTTATCTACTTGTACATTAAGGTAGTGTTCAGAAAAAACAAAACACCCGCGAAGAAACTCAACACAGAGGAACATAAGAACCTACTGCCAGCTAGCGTTTCAGAAGTGTAATTGCAGAGCAACACAAACAGCGTGCAGAAGTATAAATGCATGACTACCCGCAAGGCAGCCTCTACTTTCAGCCTTTACTGTTTGCATGACAGCAAATTGCTCTCTCTCCCATTTTTGATAGCTCAATAGTTTTACTTCACATTAGCTTTCCTGCCATCTACTTTTTAATGCCCAGTCTTTGAAGCCAAACCTCTCTAAATTTCTATTATCCTCACATGTTAGCCTCAGTTAACAATTACAGTCTGGCGACTGGATTCGACTTAAGTGACTACCAGTCAGAGAGCTCAAAAGGAATAAAATGGAGCAAAACAATAGCCCAAACAAAATAGGCATTAAAAATAAAATTGACAAATGGAAACTAAAATTTAAAGGAACGAACAAAAAACCCCCCAGATATTCAATGGTGTGGACAAACAAATATAAAAATATGAATCCCTGTCTTTCAATGTCTGGAATTGACCTTTTAAAATTCCATGATATTCTAGAAATTCCATCACCGGTGGGAACACAGTTATTTGCACATAATAGAAGGAGTACAATGATCCCTCGCTTTAACATGGTTCGCTTTTCACAGCCACGCAGCATCATGGATTTTTTTTTGTGTAATTTGACATGCTTTTATTCTACAGCGCATTGTGTTTAGTGTCCTGACTGGCTGCAGACCATTGTCAATCAATTTACATAAATCTTCGATCTCTGAATAGCTGTACTGTATGTTTTCAAGTTTTCTCCCCACAATCTCAACGAAACGTTCTGCACAGTCAAAGGCACCTGTGGTAGCACCACAACTTCTGGACATGCTAAAAGAAGGTAGAAGTTATGCGGCTGTAGGGCGCCATCACAGAAGAAATAAGTATAGATCAAATGGTTTTGATCTTTGGTTTCATTCTATAAAACTGGACTTATTTTTCTACAAAGGTTTGAACTTTGAGAGTGTTAAGCCTGTCTGAGAAAAGTGTATAAAGAGTGTAGTGAAGGTTTTGCAGACTTCAAACATCTAAAATAATTGTAAAAAATAAAGCTTACTCCTTTGCAGATTTTACCTATTGTGGGTTGTTTTTAGAACCTAACTCCCGCGCATAATGAGGGATCACTGTAACAAATTTTTTAAAGATAAGAGAAAGAAAACTATGAGGAGAAAAAGAATGCAGCAGACTTAAGAAAGATCCTGAAATGTTATACTATTTAGAAAAATGAAATATCAATATACTAATTAGGGCTGTGTGATTAATCGAATTGCGATTTGAAATGTTGACATTAGCTAAGCGCAAGGGGCTGCGATATGAAATATATTCGTACTATTTAATTTCCCCTGCCCAGAGCAAATGCGTGACTTCTGTCTGTGTGTGATAGTCTTACTAGCCAAGTGAGTGAGCACAATCGAGTGATAAGTGTCTTGTTAAAAAGTCAACTGAAAGTATTGCCAGTGGCACTTAATCTAGTAGCAAGCAACAGCAAAGTACAAGTTTGCTGACAGTTCTTTATTTTTATAATTATTTTTATTACTAATTTTACTAATTTGAGTACAACTTATTTACAGAAATGTAAGGTCATTTATTGATTTTTATTTGGTCTTAAGAAAAAAAAAGTGTTTATTTCAAATTTTTTAAAAATAAATTTCAGTTTATCATTTATTAAGTTAGTCAGTTCCTTTTTTAACTAACACTCACTGCATTTTAACAGTAAGAAGCTACGATACAGATTATTGAGCTGAAATAAAATTAAATTGCTAATCAAATAAAAAATTATAATAATAATAATAAAAAAAAATCGAAATTAGACTTTTTCCCCAAATCGCACAGCCCTAATACCAATGCATAAAGATGAAGTGTAACCTTATGATTTGAAATGTTTTATTTCAGTCTAATTTAATGCACCACTTATTGTTTTTATAAAGTAACTAGAACGTTTTCTTTTATTTTCTGGATAAACTTTTTTCTGAATTTTTTTCAGTAAATTAGTTTCATCAGTTTATTTGCAGAACTTCTAAGTAAAAACATTTAGTTATTTGCATTTTTACCTGCAAGGACATTTATAATTCTTTAGTTCGCCTTTAAACTGGTATCCTTTTGATCCCTACTTATAACTCAAACTAGACTGAGCTCGACAACCCCTTGTAAATCATTAGTGACCCTTTAATTGCAGGTCACAACCCCTGGGTTGGGAGCCACTGCCCTGAAGCATGACATTATTATTGTTATGCCTGTAGAAATTGTGTGTGCTCCGAATTCAGTCCTGAGGATTTCTCCAATGACAAGTTATAAATACACATGCGGAACAACAATTCAACAAATCTGATATACGTATAATATGATTCTTATGCTAATTTTGGCATGTGTGCCAAATGTCACTGACCCATAGACTAGTGTGTTGCTGAGGGTTAATGTTTGCCATGTACACACAGATACGCGAGGTCTAAGGAAGAGCTACTGGGTGTGTTCAAGATTCAAAGCATGCGACTCCCAGTATTTGCATAACAAATACAGATTCAGTAGGTGAAGCAGATACGGGGGTTGAATTTATTATTTACAGTAATTAAAGGTTTCATGGGCTCTTCCGGGAGGGGGATGAATTGGCACGCGCAGACAATGACAAGACACGTATGCTTTCAACACGACACAAAACAGAATAGTGTCTGGTCTTAATTACTGCATGACTCAGTCGGGTCAGATGGGTTTTGATCAGAAGGTAAGCAGTCAGGGTCAGGGAATAAAAATAGAAGTGGAATGAATGAGTCATTAATAGGAAGATGGTGACAGGAAGTGCACCTGAGTTGGTGAGGGCGATGGCCTTGAGCATGACAAACTCCTCGCGGTCGAGCTGCAGGGCCCGGAAGCGGCGTGCCAGCTGACTGATGGCAGCGTTCAGTTCGGTCAGACCGGCCACACGAGACATCTCCTCATCCAGAACAAAGTCCTCAGCAAACACTACCTCGTCCTCGCAGCCCAGAGAACGATAAGCAACCCCCAACACCAACACTTCCAGCCACACCGACTGCAGCACGGACATCTGGTCAGCCAGTGACAGGGAGAGAAAGCCTGGGTGAGGGGAACACAGAGAGAGAGGTTGACCATACATGCTCACTGCTGCAGAAGAAAACAAAACAAAAATGCAAAAAAAATCACAGATGGTTTATCTCTGATTTAGGCAAAAGGTTGGTCAGAAAATTTGGTTTTAAACTGCATGTTTTCGGAAACGATACCATGTAAACTATGAAACAATTTATTTATTTATTTATTTTGTGAAAACAGGTATGTTATGAGCAGTGTTGTGCTAGTTACTGAAAAATAGTAACTAGTTACAGTTACTAGTAACTTCATTCAAAAAGTAACTCAATTGCTTTATCAATTACCTACACCAAAAAGTAATGCATTACTGTTAAAAGTAACTTTTGAGTTACTTTTCCAAAGAACACTTTTATGCTCCTATTATTACTCACACTTAGGTGCTACATGAAGAATACACTGTTGATCAACCAATTTGCTTTCTCACAACTAAAACACAACAAACTTGAATAAAAAGTAATTTTTAAACACAAATTTTTAAGTCATTTTTAACACTATTTAACCCTTAAACATGTTCTTTCACAGCTCAAGTATGAAAACTATTCAACAAACACAAAACCATTCTGAAATAAATAAATGAAAGTAATCTGAATTTTCATTTTGAATCAATTTGGTGAAACTCAGCACCAAAAAGTTGCGATTACAGACAACCATAAATTTGATGCATTTTAAAAACACACCAAAAACATAACAGCTGCTCAAAAATGAAATCGATGAGCATTTTTCAAACTAACCATAAATTAAACATGCCATGTCAACAAACCCATGGAAAATTAGCTGTGTATATTCAAAGTGCAAAATCTGCTGCTGTATAACAGCTATAAAGATATGTAAAACAATAATAAAAAAAAGAAAAAAAAAATTACAGCCTTTTTCTGAGCAATGCAACACTATACATTTAAAGTGTTGGTCCACTACGATATCATATTTTAAACTTTAGTTGATGTGTAATGTAGCTGTGTGAACATAAACAGCATCTCTGAATGTAAAATGCTCAAAGTTCAATGCAAAGGGAGACCTTGATTTTACAGAGTTAGCTTAGCAAAGCCTACAATGAATGAATTTTGGAGACTACAAAAAATACTTCCGCCCCCTGTGAGATCACAAAGGGCCGTGGCCAGAGGCGCTGTAACGTTATAGCAGAAGGAGAAAATGCCATCCTGCTATTTCCACAGAGCTTCTCTGTTTCTGTATTTGGGCTTCCATATGACACAACCCAAACACAGAAGTGCTTACAGTTCAATATGAATTATGTTCCAGAGAACTTTAAAATACATAGCAAGCATGACAAAATACAGCTTCCAGAATCCCTCTCAGTTCAGTGCTGGATTCAGCTAAAATCTCCTCAAAGATGGAGCAACTACAAGGAGACGCTGTGAACTCTGAGCCACAACCTGTAAGTATTTTATTTGTTAACATTGATCATGACATGTACAGTGTCTAGCCTTAACGCTATGTTGTAACAAAGATGTAAACAATGGGAAATAATGTTCGCCACCGCTAATGATTTAGCTACAAATCTATATTTATCAGTCAAACTGCTGTAAACACACACACAGACACACACAGGCACACACACACACATGTACAGCACGTGGGTCTCTCTGTGTGCGACGGCAGTTTCTCTACCATTAACTTTCATGCATTTTACATGTTATATTTGAACAATTCATGTTCCTTACACAGGCATATTCCGGATATGTGTGAAATACGTCATGTAACGCATTGAGTTAAAAAAATACAGCAATGCTCTCTTAACTGGAGTGTAGCACCAAAAAAAAAATCAATCAAGGCTCACAAAGGTCTCATCCCACATCTTATGCTTTATTCTGTCAGCAGCGTCACCACAGAAAATAACTTAATCCGGAAAAGAAAAATAAACATCGGTCCTCGCACATGCGCTTCTCGTGTTACAGATAGTTCACAGTATAAACACACACACACAATGGCACACAAACACTCTCTTAAAGGAGCCGCATCCCATTTTCACTCGTTACAGACATGTTGACTGACTGTTTACACAAAACGCGCGTGCTTGTGCGGGCATGACATGGAGCCGATCCGCGAATCACAGCACATTATGACGATGACCAATCGGAGTCACTTGAGGGTGGGCCTTTCAGAGGAACTAGGAAATATATCAGTCGTTTTCATGTTAGCCGTGTAGCTGTATATAATCAAAGTGAGATTTATGAAAAAATAACATGATTACCTTCAAGTGAAACATGAGCACACATTGCTTTGCATCTTATTAACACAACCAAGCCTTAAAAATACTTTCTGGACCACCCTTTTAAATAACATGTTCTGAAATATAACAGAAATGTGTCACTGTGTTTACTAGATGAATCAGTTTTGTTATACAGATAACAAATGTGTACTTATTTATTTGAAACAACAAATAAAGTAGTATTGATAATAGTAATATTAATGGTTTCTTGGTCTCTCTTGCGCGTGCATTCGGTCTCTCCCGCAAGAACATTTGGCCTCTCTTGTATGCACCCCGTCTCTCTTGCGCACACACTTGATGTACCTTGCGCGCATTTGATCTCTGTTTTCACTTGACTTTTGTCCAGTCTTTTTAAGGGTGGTTCATTGGCATTCACCAATCCCACAATGTGTCGCCACTGTAAACAGGAATAAGTGAGCTACACTGCAGTCAATATTAATTAATTTACCAAATATTGGACAAACGCATTGTAATGATAACGGAGTTACTATATTTAAAAAGTAATGCATTACAGTGTTACTGTCAAAAGTAATGCTATTAAGTAAGGCGTTAATGCCCAACACTGGTCTTGAGTACTTGCCAACTAAAGCAATGATGGTGGACTACAAGATTGGATGTGCACAGATGCATAGCGTTTCTTTACAAAGTGATATCCCCATGTACTAGCCCGGCATTAATAATATAGTATTTTTATCATTTTAGGGATCACATGGTTTAAACATTATTACATCCCCCAAGACATTAGTTTCACACAAAGCTCCAAGAACACTTTTGTGTGGTAAAAAAAAAAAAAACAGTAAAAACTACTTTGTTTCTTCCTCAACGGAAGTTAGGGTGTTCATTTACAAAGGTCAATTAAACATTTTGTCTTTAGAGTCATTCAAGCATACTGCCTAAAAGGCGTTTCAAAGATGACCATCGAGTGAAATGATTTGCCTTAAAGGGACTTTGAGATTATTAAGAATTTGATCAAATGGCCAAACTGGTTCCAATTCCTAGCCCTAGTGTAAACAATAGGATTTCAATACAGTAGTATGTAGCTTTCTGGAATTTTAGCAATGTGTAGATGTTAAAATACTTGTTAAGATTCCACTTCATGACGACTGGCATTTTTCACAACCAATCTGCATAAAGTTTCTCAACTTTTTTTAGGCTGTCAGGAACGTCAATGCCACAACAGCTCTTCTCCGATAAAGCCTAAAAATGCCCACTTAATTCAGATCCAGTGGATGTGTGCAGTGAGAGGTGTATAGAGAGCAGCATAAGAGTTGTTTATGAGTACCAAGACGCGATGGACACTCAGAAAAGTGCTCTAAAATAGGAGGTCTTGAAAATAGCCAGAGACTGACAAAATCATTCTAAGACTCCTTCCAAGACTGAGCTAGGACACCAATTAAGAGGAAAGTCTTCCACATTCTGACTGTAGCTCTGACTCACCTGCTCCAGTTGCCTTCAATTATAATCTTTCTTTAGGCACCTGTTTTCAGCAGGGAAGAGTTGTGATTGATCAGCACTTTACAGCACTGCAGAAATGTGAGAACCAGCATTGATTAACAAGCTACTAACTGTTTTCTAGATGGCCTTTTCATAGCCTTCTGAAATGTTAGCCTGTTATCGATATATTAGCATTTGATCTGCTCTCTTTCCATCCAACATTAAGCATCTGAGTGGCATTTGGCCAGCAAATTCATATAAACAATGAGCATGAGTAAACACAGAAGTAACCATGAAGGAAGAGGTTTTTTAAGAGTGGACTTTTTGCACAGATTTCAAGCAACCTTTAGTACTACGATTAGTAACATTACACTACTGTGCAACTGAAAAAGTTAAGTGGCACTTCACTCTGGTCCACATTGCAATTTATTCTCACCAATGAGCCAATTTAGTCAAAGCAAAAAAAGTTCATTATTTTGTTTCACAAGCATATAGGGGCAGCATTATCTGCAAAATATAAAGCCACACAATTAGATAACAGAAACTCTCATTTTGGTTCAACTTGAAGGTCCAATTGAAGTGATTGTGATCAAGCAACTTTGTTCAATCGAAGCAGGACATAATGAGTAAAATAGTTCCTTTCGCCTTTAAAAACAGCCAGTGCACTTTCATTTATAACACATCTCTGCCAGCCACAGCTGCTGAGCTAAAGCCACATCTAGCAGCTTCTCCACTATAAAAAACAATATTCATTGTATAATTCCAAGGAGTCTGAATTTTTTTGTCTACTCTGAATCGCACATTTTTTCTGTTACATGATGTCAAGCTGTGCGTGTGTGCTGCAGGTTTATGTGACATTAACAGGAAGGCTTTATTCTAGAAAGGATGAGAAAGGAAATTTTCACAAGCAATGTTCCCATCCACCTATTTTTATGTGCATTTTGGATATGTGCTTAAAAGAAAACGGTTGATTGAAACGTCAAGATGTGCATAACTGAGTAAGATAAACTTTTTATTCGATAAGAAAAGATGTGCAGAAACTACAATGGAAACACTTTACCGAACACATTCCAGTATGCACAGTAAAAAAAGGTCATGTAATGGTGAAAATTTGTGTGAATTTGTGTAATGCACAAATCAGCAGGCTGAGCACACTGTAAAACATCTGAAATGTTGTTTTGGTTATTCTAAAATGCCAGCATTGGTGTTGTTATATTATTATAATTACCTCCAGAATCAAGAGCATCTGTGCCCTGTTTATCAAGCCATAAACGCTACCGCACGTTCACTGCATGTCTGGACTGCCTTTTTTTTACTTATTAAATAAAGACAAGATTCACGCAGCGCCTTCTACCGCAGCAAATTATGTTTTTACATTTGATATTGGGTGCCAGTTAATCAGGAAGTGCTGATTTTGTTCTCTTTGACTCGCTGGATCGAAACGCTGCTTTATTCGCATATCTATTTCTGCAATAATTCAGTTTTGCGCTTAAAGTTAATTTGCATTTTTGGATGGAAACATAGCTAGTGTTTGTATATCTCATAATTGGTGCACACACTATATGCAGTATTGTAATTGTGTTTGACAAACATAATTTAACAGAACATAACATGCCCACTGCATTTCAGCATCCCAGTTTTTTCCTGATTCCTCCTCACATTTTATGCAACTACTAAAAGTTCAAAGAGTTCAAATCCACACTCTTTTACGTATAATTTATTTATTTATTTATTTTTTTTCGCAAGTGTTTGCGTGTATGCAAATAACTAATGATTTTAGACATGTCCTATAGGGGCAGGATGCTTTAGATGCTACAGAGCATTTAATTGGTCTGAAGATCAGACAAGAAGCTAAAATGCATAGTGATGTCATTAATAATGACTGATGCATTTTTGTTTATTTAGTTTAGTTTCTCAATTTAAGAAAGAAACAGAAAGATTTAAATTATTATATCTTTTAAATGGGACGGAGTGGTGGGTAGCGCTGTCGCCTAACAGCATGAAGGTCGCTGGTTTAAGCGTCGGATAGGTCAGTTGGCATTTCTGTGTTTGCATGTTCTCCCTGTGTTCCCATGGGTTTTCTTCCGGTTGCTCCTGTTTCCCCCACAAGTCCAAAGACATACGCTATGGGTGAATTAAATAAACTAAATTGTCTGTGGTGTATGTGTGTGTGTGTGTGTGTGTGTGTGTGAATGAGTGTATGGTGTTTCCCAGTGATGGGTTGCAGCTTCAGAAAACATATGCTGGATAAGTTATGATGAATAAAGAGACTAAGCCGAAAATAAACTGAATGAAAGAAAGAATGAATATCTTCTAAATGTGAATTCTGTCATCATTTCTAACTACTGACATGTACTTCATTTTGGCTTGATTTTCTTTAAAACTATATCATAGCAATTTATTCTGAAGTTTCACTTGAAATATACCGAAGCCTTTGCAGTCAGGTGCAAATTGCACAACTTAAAAGTTGTCTTAAACAACATTTGATGCTGACCAACTTTGGCAGCTCTATATTTAAAATGCAATGCTTATTTCCTCCCTCTGCAAGACTATATTTCCAACTTCAATGAAATAAAACCCTAATTAGTCCTCTTAGAAACACAAACAAATAAAAGCCAGATTGTGGAAGTGGTTTCCAGTTTAAGTGCACTGTGAATCAGACAGTGAATCATACATTCAAAGGCTAAAGCAGGCATAACTTTGTGGTAAATTTGCTTTAGCTTAACTCAAGCAACATGAGAGTGAGTAACCAGTCGCTTTACACCAGAATAGCTTACTTGAGAGGGTCTCCTTGCCAACCGCCTCGCTGTTCCTCTTATTGCTCTTACTTACCAGGAATGTGCTTGGCCCAGCCGATGATGACAACTAGTTCCCTATCGGCCAGGTCACAGAGAGTGGTGAGCGTGCGCTGGGCTGTATCAGGCTGCAGGGGGTCTGGCATAGCAAACAGTTTTTCTGGCTCCGCCACCAGCAGATGAGACACAATGATGCTGGATGAACCTGAGAAAAACAAACTAAACATTACTAAGCTGAATTAGCCGCAAATGTAGCACCAATTGCAGACCATAAAATGATTCATTTATTTTTGAACTAAAATATATACCCTTCTCTCCCTCCTTCCTTAAAGGTATTGGTGCACTCTGGTACGTGGCATTTTCCACCTCAGGGCGTCTCTTGTACTTCTGTCGTCCACCTCTGACTCGGTCCAAGCGAACTCCTACACACGTTAAACGCAGAAAGAGGATTATGGCATTGGCACTGCTTGCCGATCACACCATACACTGTGAGGTACTTGTGTAATGTTAGAGAGAGGATTGGTTGTGTTGGCCAGCTGCCACCTCACCTTCTTTGAGCATGCCTACTTTGAGGCACTTGGTGAAGCGACACGCCTGACAAGCCTTTCTGCGGCGCTTGGTGATCTCACATTCATTAGAGGCAGGACAGCTGTACTCAATATTGCCTGTTGGATGAAGGGAAACCATTATACAAGAGCCTTATACTTAGCATTAAAATATTAATAAATATTATAAATATAATTGTTTTACTGTGTTCTTGTTACAGAATTATTGTCCATTTTATTACAGATTAATAATATTAACCACAGATGCTTACTACAGGATTATGATAAAGGTTACCTCATATAATTATAAAATAAATAACTATAATAAATATAGATTAGTTAGATTCCCTAATCTGGCAACGACCACATGTAGTTAGTGCTACAGAAATATTTCATTTATCAGTAAACAGGAAATGTCGATAATTCAAATAAAAGAAAATAATTTGTTTAACTAATAAACATTTTAAGCTTAAAACAATTAATTTAACTACTTGTAATATGATACTAAGGTTAAAAAAAAATCCTAAACCAAAGTTTACTTAATTTCAACAACAACAAAAAAAAGTTCATTTTGGGAAGGATCAATTACACTGATTAAACTATTTAACTTTATTTCAGCCATTCATTGAAAGATGCCAGAGCAAATGCTGAGAGCAGTGATTCATTTTCAAATCGGATTACACTTTATGTATAATTACACTTACTATATATGTGTATTTTGGAATGCATCCAGTGAAAACACAACAGAAAGACAAACTGTCTTAGGGCTCATTCACACAGTGAAAACACTTTTTCCATTCTAATGCGATACCTTTCTATTGTTTTTCAGTGTAAAGATGTTCTTGTTGGACATGCATGATTTTTATACTTTACACTTGTATGTTAAAGTATTGTAGACACCATGTCAAGTTAAAAGAACTTCAGTTTCAGATGCAGTGTAAATAGTAAACTGAGAACCAAGTTTCCAAAAGTCTTTCTATGTTTTTTTTAATGTGTAATATTCACACTTACTCCTGATAAGTGTGAACTTAAAAACACTTTCAAGTGTGACCTCAATAAACGCCGCTACTTGTCAAGTGTCAACACACCCTAAAAGGACTACAGGTGACTACAAACTAGAATGTGCAAAAACTAGATTGGCAGATGCTCTCTGATGGCTGGCCGCCTAATTTGTGTCATGCCATTTTTAGTACTAACTCAAAGCACTTAATTCAAGGTTCTAATCAAAACCCAAACCCCATTCAACTCTTAATAAATATGATTTGTTATGTTGAGAGAGTTTCATTTTATTTGGTTGAACTTATTTTAAGTTATTAGTAACAACAAATATGCAGTACCAAGCTAAATTGGCTGTAATATATGTGTGTGAATGGGAGTGTGTGGGTGTTTCCCTGTGTTGCGTCCCATCCGTTGCGTAAAACATATGCTGGATAAGTTGGCGGCTCATTCCCCTGTGGCGACCCCTGATTAATAAAGGGACTAAGCCGAAAAGAAAATGAATGAATATGCGGTGCTCACCTTGTATGGTTCTTTTGAAGAAAGCCTTACAGGCTTCACATGAAGCCACTCCATAGTGGTAGCCAGATGCCACATCTCCACACACCAGGCACAGCCTTTTGGGAAGTGTGCTTAACGCATACTTGCAACGCCCTCCTCCACTACCAGTTGAGCCCTCTTCGGCTCCATCTGCACCCTCCTCCTTAAAATGGCAGCGCAGGGCAGGTGTGTAGAGGGGTGGGGAGTAGCGGCCAGCGCCTTCTCCTCTGGATCCCCCTCCTCCACTCTGAGAGGAGTCTGAAGATGCTCCTCCTGGGCTGGTCCTCCCTCCGCCACCTCCTCCGCCTCCCTCAGGACTGCTAGGCTCAGCCTTTATGTACAGGTCAGAGCGTCGTTCTCTGGAAGACATGATACCTGCAGAGAAAAATGTGAGACAAACATTTTAGGTATTAACTTCATCTGCATTACCTTGAAGGTCAAGTTTGGGTGTCTTCAATCTTTCAAATGTGGCTTTAAAAAAGGATAAATATATTATATATCCAACCACCTGATTTGCATCAATATGTGCAGGTGAGGTGGTGTTTAATTTCTGGATTAATCCACATTTTTAATAATCGAGTGAGTCATCATTTTAGCAAATAGGACAGTCTCTTTCCTGAATAAATCAGCTAAAACAAACTGATGGAGTGAATAATTAATTACTCATTAAGATGACAGAGTGACTTATCTGCATCTACTAGTGTTTTGTTTTATTTTTTTCTCTATCATGTTATATTTATATGAGGTGGCATGGTGGCTTAGCGGTTAGCCCTGTCACCTCACAGCAAGAAGGTTGCTGGTTCGAGGCCCAGCTGGACCAGTTGGCATTTCTGTGTGAAGTTTGCATGTTCGCGTGGGTTTACTCTGGGTGCTCAGTTTCCCCCACAGTCCAACGACATGAGTAATAAGTCAATTTAATGAACTTAATTGGCCGTAGTGCATAAGTGTGAGTGAATGAGAGCATTAGGGACTTTCCCAGTGCTGGTTTGCAGCTGGAAGGGCATTTGCTGCGTAAAACATGGCAGAATAGTTGGTGGTTCATTCCTCTGTATGACCCCTGATAAATTAGGAACTAAGCCTAGGGAAAATGAATGAATGTTATATTTATATATTAAAAACATAATCATTATTATTATGGACGCAAGCTATGACAGCTGATCACATACTTCTTTATCGATATTCGCTCTCAAGACTTATGGCTCGTTTCCACTGACTGGTACAGTAAGGTATGGTTGGGGGTGGTATGGGTCACCTTTACAGGCTTGCATTTCCACTACCAAGGGTACCCTTTTGGTGGGCGTGATGTATGACAAAGTTTCAGTGGCATCATTTTCGCTCGTGGAAATGTCTACGATAAAGCTGTACGAGTCGCTTACATATCATATGAAAAGCACTTCTCACAAAACAGACGGATCGACCATGGCTCGTTGCTATATGTACATATAATTCCGCTGTAATCTCTCGGCTGTGTGTGTATTTTAAACATGGCGGGTTTTTTTTTTTTTTTCATTCTGGCTTGTTGCGTAAGCAAATGACGTATCTCTGTAAACCAAAAGCGTTCAGCTGCGCATCTAGCTCTGCCTTTTGGTACCCTTTCTCGTGTTTGGTACCCTTTCGAAGAGGTGCCGAAAAAGTGATACGGTACGCCTTTTGATAGGGCTATGCAATTAATCGAAAATCCGATTTCGATTTGGGCTTCAAACGTTTATGAAAAGGCATTAATCGAGATAAACGATTATTGCATCATTTACCGCCCCATTTCCAGCTGAACACATGTGTTGCTCTTAAAAGCGCGTAAGAGTGTGTGCTTATGTGAGTGCAGCCAGAAGCATGCGGACGGTCAGCATTCGCTCTCATTCGCACACTGAGACGAGCAGAGGAGCGCAGACATCTAAAGTCATCTTAACGCGAGCGCTTTAATGGTCAAATAGGTTTCAAAACGCAGTGTTTAGAGATTATTCATATTAACCCTCATTTGTGTAATAAACAAACGAGTTGAAGATCAAAAGACACGTGAAAGAGAAACCATTTAAGAGACAGTGCACTATTCTTGCTGTTGCCTTTTTTTATCATTATTAAACAAAACGAGAAAATCCCTCTCTGCTCTTGACTGAAGGATTTTTGTAGCTAAAGTGTTTTTCTTACAGTGAAGATGCTTAAAGCACAGTTTGTTTCATATTTTTATTCTATTATATTCATTTATCTTTCCTTTGCAGGGTGGAAAATAACTGTATATATGAAGTCGAAGTCAGAATTATTAGCCCTCCAAAATATTAGCAACCCTTTTCCTCCCCAATTTCTGTTTAATGGAAAGAAGTTTTTTTTACTTATTTCTGAACATAATAGTTTTGATATCTCATGTCTAATTATTGATTTCTTTTATCTTTGCTATGATGACAGTACATAATAATTTTCTAGATATTTTTCAAAATACAAGCATTCAGATTAAAGTGACATTCAAAGGCTTCACTAGAGTAATTAGGCAAGTCATTGTATAACAGTAGTTTCTTCTGCAGACAATCAAAAATATATTGCTTAAGGGGGCTAATAATATTCACCTTAAAATAGGTTTCAAAATATTTAAACCTGCTTTTATTCTAGCTAAAATTAAACAAATAAGCCTAGAAGACAAAATATTATAGGAAATACTGTTAAAATTCCTTGCTCTGTTAAACATCATTTGGGAAATATTTAAAAAAAAAAAATTTTTTTTTAGGAGCGCTAATAATTTTGACTTCAACTGATAATTGTTTTAAATAATCGTGATTACAATTATGACCAAAATAATCGTGATTGTGATTTTTCCCAAAATCAAGCAGCCCTACCTTTTGACAGTGGAAACGGCCATAAAAGTGTACCAAACCAAACCATACCGTACCACTCAGTGGAAACAGGCCATTAATGTCAGCTGTCATGCAAGTCTCGTCTAGTAGACACCAGTGTATATTTAAATGGGTTTACTCTAGATTGATACTTTTGTTTTGTGGTTAATCCATGATTAAAGTTGAATTGGAATTAAACATTCGCCGCTTAGTGGTTGCGAGTTTAAACTACTGTCACAGTAGCATCGCACACATTTACAGAATGAACTTCCGAATGCATCAAACTAGTGTATTGCAGAGTAATGCAGGGAGAACACAGAAGTATAAATGCTCATGATGGTGTCAGCTATGTGAATAATCTACAATGTGGGCTAAGGCGTTCATGCGACACTGAAGTTATAAATTGGACATGACAGACTGGAACTGATGCCACATGCTTCATGTTTTCTTTCATTTGGCTTAAGTGAATGTATACAGGACGAAAAAAATACAATAGCTGTTTGAATATTTGCATTAGGCCTCACAAAACAAATGCAGCATCAGTCTCCTTTAAAAGTTTTTTTTAAGAAGAAACAACAAGACAAAGGCAAAAACAAAGCAACTACTGTTTATTTTTCAGTAATCAGTTCTGCTCCTTTCTACTGCTTATAACACAGGTGCGTGCTGAGTAAGCAGACAGCATTCATTCGCAAAGACGAGCATGAACCTATACATCCTCACTCTCAAGTACTGTTTTCTCCACTGAAACCTCTGAACAAACCAATTCACAACAATTAATCAAACCTCCCAGCGGTACCAGAGAGAGAGAGAGAGAACATTTTAAAATACTGTGCTCAACTTGCTCACCTGCGCTCACACAGCAGTTTAATGCAAGCAATACATTTACATTTTATCTTAAATTGTTTCTCTATTTTGGTTTGTTGACAGCGTAGAAGCAGTTATGCAAAGAGCACAGTATTTTCCCGTTCCCAAATAAGTACAAAAGCTTCAACACTAATACATTGAGTTTAATCCCAAAATGGGGAAGTCTGATCTGTGGCTGATTTGGCTAACTTCTGCTGACAAACGGTCGAGAATACCTTGTAGCAGTTAGCATAATCTGCAAGCAATAGAGATGGAATATCAAACAGGTGAGAATGAATTGTGATGCTTTTCCTAGTGAACACACATATGCACATGACAGAATTCACCACAAATCTGTCCATAATCCCAGTGCCATGGCCTCCGCCCACAACAGATTAGGGTCATTAATCCAGGAGAGAGAACCAATCCTCTAATTATACCTCCACAGGAGATGCCCTACAGACTCTGGTCTGCTCCATGGTACCCAGTTTATAAACCCCCCTGAGGGATAAACTGACCTATGATGCCATTTCATCCATGTGCTGATCTTGTCATTTTAAGCATTTAGCGAGAAAGAGACAGCATCCATCACATTAGCACACACAGCGTTACCCAAGTTACAGAATGGCTGCCAAGTAGGGAATACAGTCAATGATATCTGCATCTTTTTGACTTCAATTCAAGCACACTTATTACAACACACTGAAAAATGAGTTTGCTTTAACTTGAAATTCTGACAGAAATATATTACTATTGTGAAGTAAAATATGCAGGTTTCACCAAGTTACATTTAAGACTTTAAGACATTAAGACCATTATAAATAATACAATTTTGGACTTGCACAAGGCTACATGCTAAATTCTACCCCAGTTAGACATTTTCACTTGATTTGAAAAACTTATTAAGGTTTTACACCTTTTATTATTATATAATATATTTATTATTATGATATGACAGTAGAGATTTCAGACAAGAAAGCATTGAGAGCAGAGAGAGGGGAAAACACGGCAAAGGACCTCAAGCCGCCATGAGCACGTCGGGGCTATATGTTGCTGCACAGCACCACTGGGCTATCGGCGCCGACGTTTGAATATTTTTTCATTTATTTTCAAATATATTCATTCACATACCCTATAACCCTTAGTAAGAATAAAACAAAACATAGCTGTCAATTACTTCAGTCTACGATAAGATTAATTTGATAATAAAAAATATGTAAGGTCAGTATCCTCAGCAGTATATAACAAATTTTAAGCAAATGTTACTGTAAGGAAAGTAATTAAATGCTAATTTTTAAATAAAAAGTTACAAGTTTTGTTGAGATGGATTGTTGGATGTACACGTGTTAATGACCAAACTGGGTAGCTAGCTATACATTAACAAAGGCAAATTAAGACCTGTTAAAATAGATTTAAGACCTACAACACAATATTTCAGTAAATTTAACACTTGAAGGTCTAAAATGTAGCTTTTGAGATTTAAGACCTTTTAAGACGCTGCAGATACCCTAAATATATTACTAAAATTCTACCACTGCTACTATTGTTATGGAATAATACCACAATGGGCTATATGCACACAGAGTTTTAATTTCAGCCAGCCAGTCTCAATGCTTCTGGTGAACTGTCTTTCTTTTATAAAATTGCCATGTTTGACGTGATTTCTTTAAAAATCTGTGATTTTCACTCCCTGATAGATATATGACAAAGTATGTCTCAGACCAGACAAGAAGCACTACATTAAATCCCATTTCCCCCGCCATGTCTTTAAAATATGACAGTTCATTTTACCCCAGTGTTATCAATAGAGTTTCTGTGCTCGCCTGCTCATCCTGACGGTGCTAGTGGTTACATGGTCTTTCATCTCATTTTATGCTTGAACAACTAAATGAATGTTTGAGTCTATTTAACTGATTAATTTTTAATTACATTACAACATCATACTGTAAACCTTTTAAAGACCATGAAGAATGAAATTTCAGGCTTTTATAGGGCTGAACGCTAAATATTTTTTAATGGTCCATAAGGAAAAAGAGTGTACTTGGCTTATCTAATACAACTTGCTTGTAATTCTAATTAGTCATTTCTTATCCACATATTACAAAAGTGTCCAAGCAAGCAGTTCCTATAGTTATATAGATTTTTTTTTACAGCATAACCGTTAAACATAACTAACAACATTAAAAAACCTTTATAAACAAAGTGTATGCGCAACAGACTGTTTATTCAGTTTATTTTTTTCGGATGTATTTGTTGGTAAATGAATGTGTTGGATTGATTGGGTAGCTTTAAATAAACAAAGAAAATTAAGACCCGTTAAAAACTATTTTAGACCCACAAGACAATATTTCAGTAAATATAAGACTTTTTAAGGCCTAAAATTGTGTTTTTAAAATTGAAGATATTTTAAGACCACATGGACACCCTGTGTAAAAGTAATCTTAAGAAACTGAAAATAGTCACTAAGTTTTCACCAGAAGTTTATCATTAGCTGAAAAATATTGGGTGTGCGTAAATCACGTTGTTCTATGAAAATGTAGAAAAAATTATAAAACTTTTTCTGAGGGAAAAAGTTCAATAAACTGTTGTTAAACTGTAATTTAAATAAAACAAGTGTGATTTTTTTTTATTTAACTGAGTTTAGGAAAAAAAAAAAGTCCGGAAGAATTTAAATGAAAAAAAAAAAAAAAAAAACAACTGTGAAAAAAATACATTAAAAAAAATCAGTTTTCTCTCAATAAAGGTTTATTATTTACAAATAATAGTACTAATCAATTATTAACTTATTCTGGGTTTTATATCTGGGAAACTACATAGATGCCTTTTAAATTTATAATGAGGGTCTCTCACACATCGAGATCATATTTTATGGCGTTTTCAAGATTGAAAAAGCTGAACTAATGCACTTTAAGTGACTCGTATATATCATATTGTCCTGTCGGCCGTTCAGAGTCAAAAAGCTAAATTTCCACCTTCATTTGTCCTCAGTGAACATCACACACACACACACACACACACACACACACACACACACACACACACACACACACACACACACACACACACACAATCCCCTTTCACCTGCTTGTGTGATGTGTTGCAATTTTGGCGAGTGTGCAGAATGTAACTGTGCCCCAATGCCTTCAAGTCCACTGTACTTTCTGCCAAACACGTTCATTCTGTCACTCTTGCATAACAGCCGAACTTTGAATTCAACCTACACTGCCCATTCCAACAGAAAAGATTTGACACAGTTAAATATGATTAGGAAAAGTAAATCCAAAGTAAATCTGTGGAGTTTGCATTCTACTTGTTCTAATTCTGACCTGTTATGATGACAGTGCTTTACAATACATTGAGCACTGCTACTAAACCTAATAATGACCACGTGGCTACAGCGAGGACACGCGCCGCCGGTTCACGGAAGGTAAATGAGTCAATCGCTCATTGTGAGGACAAGCTGAAATCTCTAAATCCCTCATCAAATTGAAGGAACCGGATGATGGAGGAGCGCTCCTCTTCAAAGAAACCTGTAAATGTCAGACCATGAAGAAAAAGGCGCAATCTGGTCATGCGGTGCAAACGACAGTCTTCATCACACACGTGCGTGTCTCCAGCAGAGCTTTGCACGAACCTTGCTTACCGATGTGCGACTTCCGAATCGCCTCATTGCATAGAAGTACATTAAACAGTGAGCTGCTTTGAAATGGGATAGAAATTCCGACTCCCGATACATTTTGAGTCGGTTCTTTTGAACTGTTCGTTTAAATGAACCGGTTTAAAACGATTTTGCGTCATCGCGTAATCACATGCTTCCTGTGTTAACCCGGTATGACGTTTCACGCTCCAACCGCTTGGAGGTACATATTGCGGTTTATTAAATTTGATTGATAAAGGAGCTTACTGTAATTCGTATGCCCTAATTCACCTTGTTACACGAAAACAAAGCCAACAAGTCAACCTGTATTTGGATTAAACGACGCTTGCATATTTCAAGTCTGAGTTTCTGCATGTTAGTCAAATGTTAGTATGTTTGTAGCGATGTTTACATAACTGTTTTACGATAAATTCAAAGTATAACGTTATGTACTTTGTGATATTTCCAGTACGTTTCAGCTGTTATATTTCTAATCCTGTATAAAGCAGTTCAAATAATTTCACTCGTTTTCATATCACATTAAAACTAGCCTTCTCTGCTTATTTCAAATCGGACATTATGGTTCTTGGTTCAATGAGTCGAATCTGTTCACTCCAGAACCTCTCAGAAACCGAGTCAGTCTGGTTCACTAAAATGACTCGGTCAGGTCAGCCAGATGTAAATATAAAACAGCAGCATTTATTGTGCTATTGTACAAATTCATCAACCGAATCAACACATATCATACCTCTGTAAAGCTTACACTTTTCAGCCGGACTGAAGCTGTGAGTTTGTATTTTTATTTATCTTTCTCTCTCTTTCTCTTTTCATGCTGTTCAGTGTTTAAATGAGCGCTCAAGCTCTCATATGAACAACTGGGCACTAGCTTAGCTTTCGCTAACTTACCTTTACTCATTCAAGATCCGTCGCGCCTCCCCCAAACGTCTCAACTGAAGAGCTTGCACCCAAAATTAGCTTTTCATTGACTCACCGGCTTTTCAAAACAAAGAAATCGGGTTGTAGCCCCATAAACATGCCTGAAGACGCGTGGTTTAGTTAGCAGTGCGCATCTTTGAACTTCACTTTCCCCCTGACAAACGTTACATCATGAGTCACTGACTGCCCTCAGGAGGAGGAGAGTCGCTCACAGGCGCTTTTACTAAATATATTCAAACAATCACGCAATGATTACTTATGAAAAGATGCTGATAGATCAGCCTCATTATTCCAGTCTTCACATCATCCTTCAGAAATCACTAATATTAATTATAATCATTATTAATAATAATATTATTAGTAGTAATAGTAATAATATTATTAAAGTTAATAGTAATAAAAGCAAAAATGACTGGAGTAATAATTTTGTTGGAAACTACATACAATAAGAAAGCAGTTATTTAAAATTGTATTAAATATTTAACAATTTAACTATTTTTTGTTACATTTTTCTGCCTTGAACAAAATAATTTTCTTTAAAGAAAAAAGAAATCACAAAAAAAAAAAACTGACCCCAAATTTTTAAGTGGAAGTGTACTTATTATTGGCAAATCCAGAGAATTGATAATAATTTTGAAGTGGTCCTACATTTTTTTACCCTCAAGAGTTGTATACACATATTTAACACTCTGTGTATGTAGGATAGAAAACTATACTCAACAGACTATAAATAAAATTAAATAAATAAAACACAATTAAAAAAATCTTACCTTCTGCCGAAAAGCCAAAGGTCTTTGTCTGGCGTATACTGAGGATCTCACTTTATTTTGCTGCCAGAAGACTACAGGTCAGTTCAAGCTGAGCATTAGGAACCCTTGCAAGAAAAGAGAAAAATTAGTGACACAGCAACAAATTTATTTTAGACTGAATATAGATGACAGCACTATCCATTACAAAATGAGGCCTCAGAAAATGCATTGCATCAGCAGAAGCATTTAGCTATATGATGATGATAATAAGAATGAAACCACCATTAGTTCAAACCACATCTTCATCCTGAAAGTAAAACTAAATTAAACCAGCCATAAAAGCATCACTGATATCTAACAAAAATCCCAGATTTAATCAGACCCAACATTAGCTAATGTCGCACTGAAGTCAGTGCTAAGTCTTGCATAGAAATTCATCTCTCCTTTATTTCTTCCTCTCGTTTAAAAAAAAAAAAAAAAAAAAAAAAAACTCCTGGTCACTCAAACATCTCGTAGCACCTGATTTGTTCCCCATAATAACAATCGGTGTGTCCATTACACCGTATCCGTGTTTTACACATCACCACCTACACCTACAGCAGAAAGTGCTGACTGAGGGAAAAGGCGTTTCTTTGTCTTTCTCTCAGGAGCCGTTTCTCTGGTGTTGCTCACTGTCATTCACTCAGTCTCCACATGCGTTCGGACACTCAGATCCTCTCATATGATTTCTGTACACAACACTCCCCTCCCCCTCCGCTCTCTCTGACACATTCCAAAGGTCAAAGTCATTGGAGGCCTTTGAAGGACAAGCGCAGTTACTCCGAAAGCGCTCTCTGTGTATGACAGCAATTACATGTGAGGAACAATAGACTACACAGATGAGAGACTATTTACCCACTTTAGAAGAAGATTAATAAGAAAATAATAATTATTGCAAAAATTTATAATTAATAATTTCTCTTTTAGAAAAATACAAATATTGAAACATTTCTACAATGCAAATTTTAAAATAATTACAAATAAAATAGGTATAAAAGTTAAGATGAAAAAAAAGAAATAAAAAATAGCTGCCAAGACAGCCTTCCTCATGCTCACATTTATCTTTGAATGATTTTTAAAGTAAACGGTGTACAATAAAGACTTTTAATGACTTTTTAATTACCTAATAATGACACTATTAAAGTCTATTGCAGATATGTTTTATTTTAATAGTGCACAAATAAATGCTGAAATTAAAATTATTAAATGCTTAAGACGATTGAGAACATGTTAACAAATGCATGATCTACTGTTAACAAACGAAACCTTACTGAGAAGGATTAGTAAATAATATACGATACACATTATTTTATACATCTAATTCATGTACAGAATGTTAATGATTAACTATCACAGCTACTTTAATGCAGCTATCTACGACTTGTAAAACTTCAGAGGAAACAAACTAATATTTAAGTTCTAACAGAACATTTAAAACCCCAAAAACTGTTCTGTTCTTTCACTTTCATTTTATTTTACATCATATTTAGAGATAGCAGGCACACATTGTAGTCCCAGAATATACTCATGAGTTACCTATAAATTTCCTCTCTCAGTGACTCTTATCTCTTTGTTGGCCATGTGCTATAAAGCATATGGTGTTAAAAATAAAACTGCATTTATAATTATTCTATATAAACTCAACGTTAACATTTTAAAAATATACAAGTTTTTAATGCAGCATTTTGTCTGTAACATTAGTTAAAGTTTTTTTTTTTTGAGGTTACTTATTGATCTTGTTGAAGTACGTTAGTTAAGTACATAACTTCACAATGGTGACGATTAGTGTAGTTGTCAGTTGGTGTTGTGTGTATAACTAAAGCATAGTAGCAGTGATCAACTGATTTCTAATCTAAAGTTTACTGTGTAAATCTGATTCTCCGCAGAGAAATCTGAGATAAGTCGTCTGTGCCAGCCTTTGAACTTCGACTACAGTATGCATATGCATGCAACTGCAGAGCAAAGACTGTCGGAGCAGGCCTCAAAAGGTGACCTTGTTCAGCAAGCCTTGACAATTGAAAGGTTAATTGCTCAACTGGATTACAACCTCTTAAGGACAGAGATTCCCAGTCCAACCAAAAGGTGGTCAGCAGCACTTTTGAAGTGTTTTAGTATATATGATATCAACAGTCATTAGAAATAGACTTATTTAAAAAGCACATATGGAACCTACACAGTAGACGTATGTATAACCAGTATTAATGTATATTTGGAATAATGCTTGATACACTTTTTTACAAGCAATGCAGCCTTGACCTGTCTGTGAACTCTGAAACCACTTACAGCTGAGTTTAAAGGTGAAACGCCAAACTCTAAATTTGTATTTCATTATCATTAAAAATAAATCTATAAGTAAGAAAAACAAATAAAGCTAGCTAACCATTGCATATATCTTAGTTTTTGCTTGAACATAATAATGCTCATTATCAAGAGTTTTTCTTACTGACTATGAAAGTAGCACAGTGTATTGCTTATGTTGATGTCTAGACCCCAATATGTTTGTTGTGCCAGCTCATATGGCAGTTGTCTACTTTGAAGTAGAGGACACTTTAATGGGCTTGTGCACTCCTTTTTGTGCTACACAGAGCGGAACGTGGAAAATGAAGCATACTCTGGCCTTTAAGGTCTCTGCTCTAAATTTTAAAGGAGTACAGCACTTTATGCTTTGAAAGTATTTTTTCTACTTTATTCATAGTCATATGCTGAGCTATTTAATTTAAACTCCGTTTTATTTGCTTGTGAACACTGATATTAAACATATATTGTACTCACATTATTCTGAATATTCATCAATGAGTATTGACCCTATTCTTTCATGTAAGAGTGAGCACAGCCTTTGGAAACTTATTGGCTCAAGACATCAGTCTTAATGCCTTCTAACGGTTTTCAGCCATAAAAAGTTAGACCTCTTTCTTGACTTCACACAGAAACAGCAATGTGTGCGGCATAACATCACTCTGTCGCAGAGATGCTATTGGATAGAAACTGAGATATGTAAACTTGGGATTGCCTGCCGGGTGTTTCAGGTTGAGGTGCTATTTGTTTTTATATTAGATTTTTTTTTTTATTTACATTTTTTTAGTTGCAAGTCCAAAAATAAAGAATTTATGTTATTTATTACTTGATTGTTCAAGCTACCTCACAAAAGTGCTTAGTTTAAGTTAAAAGTTGTTGAATGTTAAAATAAGGTGAATTAAATTAAAAATAAGAAACATCCTGGATTTGTTTCTTCACTCTTCTTTATTCTCTTTTTATGTATTATAAAAGTATCAGATCCGGTTTCGGTATCAGTAGATACTCAAAATCAAATGACTTAAAAAAAAAAACCTGATCAGGACATCCCTAGTACATCACACATACATTATGCGCGAAACTTTGTGTACAGGTATATCCCCAAATTATACTTCAGCTGTCTGCGTTTTGCATTCAGTCATCATGAAGTTACAAATTTTATTGATTAGTAGTGGATATAAGAGTACACTGCCTGTGTGTAGCAGTTTTTCTGTCCATTCAGAAGATTGGTGTACAATAGTGCAGATGCAAAGTAAATGTTCAAACAGAACGTGTGAAAAAAATTGTCCATCCATTACCTTCCATAGTTGAGATTACTTAAAAGTCTGCACCTGAAGAATTACTATGCGTTAAGGCTGATTTTTATTTCTGCGTCAAGTGCACGCGTATGCTACGGCGCAGCCTACGTGTGGACGCATAGCCCTCACCGTGGCTGTTGCTGACGCGCACCTCTTAAAAAAATTAACTACACATCACAACGACGCGTAGCACAAGCTCTGTGATTGGACAGCTTGGTAGCATGTGGGTGGAACTGAGAGCCACGTGAGTCCGTTGGAGTGAGCGTTTACAAGTGTCGAGTCCCGTGAAGGTGCTCCAGATGATAAGTTTTGTTTTGTGTTTACCTTATGGTTAAAAGTTTATGGTTGCCTCAAAATGAGTGAGGTTGAACCACTGGTACATTAAGGAAGCATTCAGAAAATACAAAACACCAGTGAAGAAACTCGACACAGAGGAACATAAACACATCACTGCCAAGTTTCCAATAGCGTTTCGGAAGTGTTTTTGCAGAGCAACAGAAACAGCGCGCATTAGTATTAAAACCACAGCTATGCATGTTGCATGCGCCGTGGGTCACGCCGATCACTTGACGCACAAGTATAAACCAGATTTTAGTCGAAAAAAGTATACCTTGGACGGCATACCGACACCTAGAGGCTGAATGTGGAATTGCATTATGAGCACTATATTTACAATGAACCCACATTCTTAAAGGACCAACAACTATGTTAGCAAATCGGTAGCCCCCAACATCTCGAAATGTTTGTCCTAATGAAAGCAACTAGTTCCATATGAAATAAATTATGGAGGATCATCTTTTTTTCCACAGTGCAAACTTTAAAACTCATTTTAAGCATATTTTACAAAAACAAAATTGAACATAAAACTTTTAGTTAAGGAACCAATTAAGTAAACTGTTAATCACACTCTGCTTCAAAAAAGACAGCAGATAACCAAATAAAATGATTACCTTCTTGTACCAACTGCATTACGTCAGGGACGACGTGAAATGCCTCGAATATAAGAATGCAAAGCAAATCTGTCGCGCCTGAGGTAGTTTGTTTCCAGACTGAAGGGCTGTACTGGAAATGCGACATGACTCGAGTACTGGAGTCTGTGGTAAAAGCTCACTCGCTGACACAATGTATGAGCTAGGGGACAACTCATCAAGGTCAGCGTGCTGCAAAGTCTTACTGCGGACTTTTTATAGCAATAAAAGCGCGTAACGCTCATTTATATGCAAAGAATAAGCCACGGTCTGCGAATTTAAATGTTAAGCACTACATCAAATCATGTTCTCGTGCTGTTAGTAGTCCTAGAAGCAAACTATCAGAACACACTGACCTATTTACAGTGTAAAGTTTTTACTGCTGAGTAGCGACAGCAGACATCGCCAGTGATGGACAGTATGACATCAGAATTATGATTATCAAACAGGGTCGCAACACCGCGCATTCACATTAAACACAAAATAAAGAAACATTGCATTGCGTTGATGGATGCCGGGTGGATGAACACTTACCAGTATATCAGAGAGCATTGCTGGTGCCTCGAAGCCAAGCAAAGAAACTCTTGAGCAAAGCCGGGTTTAATATATAGATAGCCTGCTATCACATAAATTACAGCACAATGTCCTACACGCCGAATTAAACAGCAGATGCTCTTCCCTATCAGTTAAGTGGGCTACCTTACTTAGCAATTCTGGTGCTGTATTAAGTACGATAAGGTATATGTGACACAAAATCAATGCTAGCACTCGATATTTTGAATGAATGGCGGCGCGACTGTGGTCAGATGAGCAGACGCGTATGTTTAATCCATGTTTGATTTGCTCTTCCCTGGACTAGTTCCCCATATTGCTGTTACGGTTGTCACTGGAAGCCTGAATCCTGTCTTCCGCTAATACAGCTGAGATCCCGGTTACGTATATCCTCGTTGTTCCTCCTCCCTCTCCGCTCTTGCGTCTGCTGTTTCTCCGTTACGTCCACTGCCGCTTCCAATCACGCGTCCTCGCGCCTCCGTCACAAGCGGCAGCAGCAGCGCTTTCAACAATACAGAGAAACTGACCTACTGTATGTGTGTGTGACTCACGAGTTTGCACACTTTTGATCTATTATCCCAAGGTTTTTTTCGATGCCTTGCATCCCGGGCTATTTTGGGGACTGTTTGAGGGGTAAATTAAATGAAGCGTGGTGCGGAGGCCATTTGACAACACATGATTCGTGACTGAGCTGTAGTGAATAAAAGGTTGGATATCAACTGTAAAGCTTGGAGATTATATAACTACAATGCGTTTGCATTTCAGTATTAAGGGAACTTAAATATTTGGCACCTTTCCCTTCATTAAACCATAACGAATTATGGTTTTATTAGTAAAAGGTAAACGTGATATTTTTGGGGTGGCATATTGATTAGGCTATCATTTGTAGGCTACAACAACAGGTTAGCTATGCAAAAACCCTGGTCAGTGCAGCAAAATCTAGGTTTATGGTTTAACTCTAGTTTCATTTCTAAAACCATGGTTATTTTCATAAGGGCTTCCAATATATATATATATATATAATATTTTTACAAACATTAAATAGTATTCTTGAGAAAATAAACCACATTTTTATTATTATATAGAATATAGTATTTATTAGTCATAGTCATACAGTACTCGGCACTCTTTTAACTTCATATTTTTAATAGGAAGCTATACAATATTATGTTTGTGCATATACATTAGATTAGTCAGTACTGAAGCCAAATCTGGAGCGTATCTAAAAACTAGTATACCCAAATTTATGTTATAGAAAAATATTAAATGCAAATTTAAAAAAGGGAAAAATTAGTAGAAACAAAAAATGAAAAACATTTGTTGGAATTTTGTAGGTTGTACTTTTTTTTTTGCCATATTTTGCTTAAATTTAATTGTATTATCTTTCAATTTCTAAATATGTTTGGTGACTAAAATATTATGTTAATATATTTATCTTTTTAATAAATCAGTTTTGTCTACATGCACCAAAATACACTGCCTATATTCACTGCGAAATTGATAAAAATATTAATTTTCAAAACGGGGTGTACTGTACTCCAATGCAGAGCACTGTAGAATATAGTTAATTATTAGTAACTAAGGATTTTGGCACATTATTCAACATTTGTAAATGGTTTACAAATATGGATAATTAGTGGTCAGTTTAGCAAAACCATAGTTTATTTTTGGTTATCATGCTTTAACTATATATATATATATATATATATATATATATATATATATATATATATATATATATATATATATATATATATATATATATATGGATAAATGGCAACATTAAACTATAGCTTGTACGCCTTATGGAACACACCTAAAAATAAAAAATAAAGAAAGACCCCCCACACACACTCTCTCTCTCTCTCACTCACTGACAAAGGTCCAGAATGTGTCACATACATAAGGTAATTTGTCAAATTTTGATTGTTATGCCATAATGAATTAATGAATTGTGAAAATAACACATTGAACAAGGCTTTAAAACCTAGAGGAAACCATGTGTTGGCTGTCAGTACAGAATTTAGGCAATTTTTGTGCCAAACTCGGTGTCCCAAATTCTGCCAGAGGAAAGTTGAATGAGCTTGCCAGTTTTGTTATTTGCCTAATAAATGATAACAGGCTACAGTTGTTTTTCTTTTCTGAAAAACAGATTTATATTTGTTCTAATGATATATAATGTTATAAATTTTAATTTTTTAAAAGTATTATATTTTTTTGTAGATTATATATATATTTTTTTAATTTTTAGGAAATGTTTTTGGTATGTAAAAGTGTGGTTGTGATGACCATCAGACAAGCTAATCCAGCAAAAAAGGACTTAAAATGCTGTATTTAAACCTCATACTTAAATAGAAAATGAGGCAAATAATCGCAAAAAGGTCCACTTTTGAGAAAAAAAGAACCATTGATTTTGCCAGGCTGGCTACAAGCCTGGTTTATGAGCATGAACGTAATTAAAGGTATGGAGTTATGTGAAGGATGCACTGAGAAAGGGGATGAAAGTAAAAAAAAAAAACAGTCCCACAGAGAACCCTACTATGGCTTTATGCAATGGTAAAGTGTATACACACTTCTAAATTTTGCCAAGTCATCTGGATGCTTTTTGTTTTAATCCTTTGTGAATTCAGACATATTTGTTTCACATTCTATATATTTGCTTATGTAGATAGTTAAATGTCAGTCACAGATTATGCATATTATATTTAATATAAAATAATTTAAGTATTAAATTTATACAAATTCTATACTAGTTATAGGCATGCATATCAAACATGGAGGTAAATTATAATTAATGGGGCAAAAACAGTTCCAAAAACACTGCAAGCACAAACAACCCGTCATCTACTTACAGTGATAAACAGTAAATTTACTTTGCCTGAAGTTTCAGCATGACACATTACTGCTTTTCTTATATTGTGTTGTATGTTGTTGCTGTATAACATTTATTTAAATTTTAGCCTAACCAATATGTGTTTTTGTGGGTCAGTGTTTAAAAAAAAAACTAATTTTATTGTCATCATCATGTGACCTTTTGTTTTATTAGCAGCTTAATTTAGAAGTGATCAGGTGACAAATCGTGATATAAAAAGCTTTATGCATGTTGCAACCTGCAACTGTTACATTAAAGAGGTAATTGTACCAGATTTAGCCTATAAAAAGTATTTTTGCTCGTAAATATATGCAGTTTCCATTCAAAAAAGTTTACTAAACAAACAAACACAAAAACCCACGGTTATAGTTTAACAGCAAGAATAATCACATGGTTTACCGCACTGACCATGGTATTTGCAGTAATAATAAATAAATAAACCATGCTTACTGCACATTTACTACAATAAGACTGGTTCTTTTTCATAGGGGTTACTTCAGTCACAACATTGCTGACTTGACTGCTTTAGATTGAACTCTTTTATTTGTTTTCAGTGTGCGTTGCCCCCACTTTCCATTATAATGCGACAGAATCCGTTTGTCCCATTGAAGTTCAAACGGCAGGGCAGTAAATCAAGCATCGCTTTAGATGGCATGGAAAATGTCAGTCCGCTCGGTCTTGTGACACTGACCCAACTCGCTGCTCTAGGCCTCCCATAGTCAGCTGGTTCCTACAACAGTTTTGGGCTGTGAGCCAGCGGCGCAGTTCACAGTGACTGCGGAGCGAGGAAAGGAGAGACAGAAGGAGAGACTACAATCCGCGTAACCCGATAACCGGCTGAGAGAAAGAGATCGCTGCGTCTCCAAGCCGCTGTAACGGAAAAGAGTCCCATGTTAGGGAAATAATTCGGCGACAGGGGTCTATTTTAGGAATGCACCCCAGACAGCTTGACAGAAACGTGTCCGTTTTGCGTATTGAACTGAAATAACTCATTAATAAGAACAAAACGCATATATGTGTGTGGTGCTGCAGCAGAACAGGGCTAAAAAAGGAAACAGAGAGCGCTAGTGTTCTCGGTGTCATTGAAAGCGCACGCACGACCTTCACTCAAGGTCGTTTCCCGACGCAGCGTTTCAGCTGAGCTGCATGCGCATCGAAACGCTCCACGTGGGACATTTTTCCTCTCATGCCCTCATCCGAACGCCTCTCGCACAGTTTGGTAGATGTTTTACAACTTTTACAGAGTATCACGAGATCTTTTCCGACAGAGGCTTTTGTGTAAATGTGGTTTATGGCTCCACCACAAAGGGTCACACCTCGGTGCTCTGGAATGTTGACAGAGGTCATGACCTTAAAAACAGGTGGGAACGACTACACAAACACTAATAGCATGCAAAAGACAACAGCTGGGAGGTGATGGCTATATGCAGAAAGGGGAAGCTGAATTATTCTCATGTTAAACAGTGACTTCTTATTCTTTTTAACAGACTTGGGATAAAACAGACACACTCTGAAAAACGGAAATGAGCTTTTGCATGCAGGGTTTCTTAAGCACGCTGCATAGCCTACATAAAGGCATACCAAAACTGAAACTTCTGTAATCATTTACCCACCCTTCACCTTTATCCAAAAGGTCTTGGGCAAGTGTAGGGTGAGTAAATAATGAAATACATTTTAAATTGAATTTCTTTCCTAAATTTAAAGTGAAATAAAAACAAACAGTTTATGTTTAAAGCTAGGAATAAAATACTTCCGAAACGCATACAAAAAGACAAGGGGGATATAATCTGAGAGAAGAACAAAAGTTTAGGAGGTTAAAAAAAGGACAACTTTTTAAAAATTGTGTATGTGGTTTGAAATTATTGAATAGTCTAAAACATATTCTCAAACAATGACAGGATATTAATCAATTGCATGAATACATATTATTTAAGGAATATAATGATGAATAGAGGTGATTGAAAAATAATAAAATAAGAAAGATATGCAGAAATGCATGATTATATGCAATACTATGTATTTTTAGGTCTGTTATAAAGTGTAAATGTACAAATGGAAATAAACATAATATATCAAAGATGCCAAAAGGGCAAATATGTCTTATGTAAAAAGAAGCGATAAGTAAAAGAAGAAATAAGTTGAAGTAATAGAAGCATGATGTGTGTGGTAATGGGGTGGGAAATAATAAGCTTGTGCTTCATCCTGCTCCATTTTGACCATGGTGAAAAGTTTTTTTTTTTGTTTTGTTGAAGAATTTTTATGCATGATATTTCTGTTTGAAATAAATAAATAGATCAAATCAATTTCTCTGTTGAACACAAAGATATTCTGAAATGTTGCCGGGACCCATTAACTTCCATAGTCATTTGTTTTTTTCTATATGAAATAAAATCAATGGGTCCTAGCAACCAGCATTTTTCTTTTGTGTTCAAGGAACTCAGGTTGAAAATCATATGTGGAAGACTTTCATTTCTGGCTGAACTATTACTTTAAGTCAAATTTGCATAGGTAAATCAGAAGTAAGTGTTGAGTCATTTTAACTTGGGCAATTTACTCA